GAATGATCTCCAAGGCGAACGAGAGCGCGAGCAGAAGATCGAAGCCATCAGTCGTTGGTCAGAGCGCGTGGGTAGTGAAGCCGGAGATGACCCTGCTCTTCCTTCGTCTCGAAGGAAAGTACCGAATAACCGACTTCGCGCAAGGAGCACGGGAGACCGTCCCCTTCAACAAGAAGACTATTTCAACCTGAAATTTGGCCCCACCGGTCAGGCTATCCCCCCCGCCTCGTCTCATACTGCATGAAAGTAGCGAGGATGAATATAGCGAGACGTCGGAAAGCACTGCCAACGCAGAAGAACCGGGCCGATATGACCGATCAACACCAGAGGTATACTCCTCGCTGGAGCAGAAATCGCCGGTAGAAGGCGAATCCCGTCTTTATCCCTGGAACGACTATCCACAAGGTCCAATTCGAACAGAGATGATGCAGCCTGACAGTTCGACGGCAGCTATGGTCGCTTATGAAAAGCGCGCGAGAGATTTGGAGACGGCTTCTCTCACTGCGACTATCGACAATAACAGTATTATTAACTTTGGCGCGAATTTCGAACGAATGAGTATTTATGATGGGGCACCGAAGAAGCCAGAGAAGCGCAACAGCACTTTCTTGAAGCGCTCCTACCAACAGGCATCTAATATGTTGAAGCGCCAGGCTTCGGATCTTTCGCTTGCCACGGTCAACTCTCACTCCCACCATGCAAGCCCAGAGCCAGCGCAGCGCAAGGATAGTGGCTCTCACCGACACCGACTGAGTCTGTCCACAAAGCACTCACGGTCTCCAAGTTTGAGTAACGCTCTCCTGTCCATGTCAGGCCAGCTGGCTGCGGTCGGCGGCAGTAATTCGGTTCAGGCCGCATCTCCCAATGCTGAGCCGAGCGCTGGCAGAAACAGTCTCCAGGGTCGGAACAGTCTTCAAGGCCGGAGCAGTCTCCAGATCAAGGCTCGTGGGCGAAGTAGGAGCGAAGTTCCCAGAGCCCCAACACCGGGACTCATTGACTTGATGACCACTCATGGTGGTCCGCCCGTCGCTAGTATTACCCGATACCAACAGCAAGAGCCCAGCGCAGTGCCAACCCCAACCAGTGCAGCACCGGAGCTCGAAATGGCCTGTGGTGAAGATGAAGACGACATTGATTTAGCCGAAGACAAGGGCCTTGTGATGCATTTCCCACCCATCACGCGTCTGCCGGTGCCCACGTTCGAAGGGTTCAAGGCGCAGATCATGCAATTAAGCCCTGGCTTGGAGCCTGCCCTGATTCATCGATTCGCACATGCACAGGTTCAGCGGTACAAGACCCTTGTCGAGCTGCAGCAGAAGCATTCCGCTACAGTCACCAATCGAAAGTGCAAATCTGGCAAGTTCTGCAGCGCGCTTGGGGGTCAGCCGGTGCTGTTGCAGCAGCAGAAATCGCTCGCTGATGCCGAAGCTGGACAGACTCAATTCCGCATTACGGATTATAGTCAGGGTGGCGATCAACATGTCAAAGGCGAAGGAGCCATCGCTGCAGCGCAATTTCCTCCAGGCGTTCCTCTCCCACCCGTTGCTCGACTGCCAGCTCAGTTTGAGTGCCCGATTTGCTTCCAAGTGAAAAAGTTCCAGAAACCCTCTGATTGGACCAAGCACGTCCACGAGGATGTGCAACCGTTCACGTGCAGCTTCCCTGAATGCATGGAGCCCAAGTCCTTCAAGCGGAAAGCAGACTGGGTTCGACATGAGAGTGAGCGACATCGACAGCTTGAGTGGTGGACGTGCTCGTACCACGACTGCTCGCACATCTGCTACCGCAAAAACAATTTCGTCCAGCACCTGGTTCGCGAGCACAAGATGCCCGAGCCTCGGGCGAAGAAGACAAAGGGATCGACGACCACGGCGGAAGGATCGGCAGCTACGCAGCGGGAACAGGAGTTCTGGCAGATAGTCACTGACTGCAGGAATGAGCCCGAGCAGACTCCAAGCAAGGAGCCCTGTCGCTTCTGTGGGAACGTTTGTAGCTCCTGGAAGAAGCTAACGGTCCACCTGGGGAAGCACATGGAACAGCTAGCCATGCCGGTTCTGGAACTAGCAAAACAAAGCTCGTCCACCCCTAGCCAAATCCAAATCCAAAGCCAAAGCCAAAGCCAAGTCCCGATGGTGGGCGGGTCCGTCGAGTCTCACCACGCACCTGCACCGTTCCAGAACCTCCCACACCCAGCAGAAGACCCTAGTGCACCAGTACAACTAGCTCGGCAACAATATTCCACTAACGATGTCGGCGGCCCAGCCAGCCACAACCACGCCTTCTTCAACTACTCCGACATACCCATGGCCAATTATCCGTCCATCTCGGGCACGCAGCTATCGATGGAACCGGAATCGATCGACCTTCCCGGCGATCAGTTCCCCAGCTACGGCATGGGACAATACCATGACCAAGCCACGCTCCACCCACCGACCCAGACCCACCCCCTGCATCAACAATCGTCTTCCTCGTCAACGTATCCACCGCCCTTCAACGCGGTTCCACGCGCCCGAACACCCGAGACGAACCCTACCATCGTGCAGGGCTCCTATTCGCTGACTTCTCAGCTCCCGCCTCAACCTCACCCTCACCCTCACCCTCAACAGCCGGCCTCGTTGTACTCCGCTCCGACCCAAGCTGGCCCTGGCCCTGTCCCTGACCCTGCTGGGTATCCGACATACCAACCTGTGGCGCCGAACGCTAATGTTATTAACGGCTCGTATACTTCCGCGTATACAACCAGTTATTCGTCTCAGATGTGATGAAATGATCTACGACTTATTTTTTTCCAATCTTCCTTTTTTTTACCGTGACGTTATGCCCTTTCTTCAAGTTTTTCTTGGGTTCAATTGGCATGCAATTTGCATTTTCTGGGCGTGCGTCTACGTGTCTACCTGAGTACAGTAACTACTCTACATATACCCTTCCCCCTTTCATTTTATTGTGAATCGTGGATCTTCATTTACCCGTTTCCGTTTCCCGTGTCGGCTGATTGCTGCAAAGTTGTACGTCACGTTTTATTAGTCGTGCATGAGGGAAGGGTGAGGATTTACTTTTTGCAGATACTTTTTCTGAGCTATATTTTATTTCATTTCTTTTGGTTTTCAATTTATCGACAATGAATCTTTTCTTCTTCTTCTTGCCTACATACATACGTGCATACATACACAGTTGTAGTACATAGCTTAACCTTCATTAATTTTTGTACATAGTATTGGCTGCCATTTTCCTACTAGTTCAGATGGGCCAAGACCAAGAACTTGAAATGTAGCCAATCTTTGTTTTTTTGAGTCCCTCATGGTATGTTTTCTTTTTCCTATTTCATTCAAATTCTGCATGTTTACTTTTTTCACTCCTCGATAGTCTTCCAAGTTTTTTCCCCTTCCCTCCAGTCCAGTCCGGTGCTTCCATTTCTGTTCCTCCTCCTCCTAACAGGGTCACGTATTCGGAGTTAAGCCATTTCCCGCATGCGTGGAATGATGATGTACTAGCCGAGACTATCGCGGGATTGTATGTACACATATTTTAAGGGGCACTGGGGAATTTTGTCTCAGGCGGCCAGTGGCGCGGCGTATGTATGCATGGCATATGAGCCATCATATTTTTCATTATGTTCAGAGTTTGATCGGAAGTTAGCCGTCCTCGCGTGTTTCAAAAGGGGGGGGGCCTAAGGGCTCAGGAGACTCGGATCGGATGTTTGAGCCCCGTTGAAGATTAGATTCTTAGAAGGGGTTCGCCCTACCCTCCCCAGCAACGTACGACGCGTGGATGGAAAGTGTCAGGATGTTTCACGTCTATCCCTTGCTAAACGGCATGGCGTCGGGGAACGAGGGCGCCGATCGTCCCTGTCACAGCCCGATTTGGTCCTTGCGTCTAAAGAGGGTTCGGTTCGTGGTTCGGTTCGGTTTTTAGCCACACTTTTTCTATTTGCAGTGGCAGTGGCAGCTGCAGTTGCAGCTGTACTCGTACGAGTACCGTAGGTGGTGCGGTTGTGCGGTTGTGGTTCCAGCCTCAGCTCTGTAGGTGTAGGGAACGCTGTGACCTTCGTAGAGTACGAGTAGGTAAGTACGAGTATGGAGCAGCTAATTTAACTACACTAGGTAATTTACTATCGTCGATCGTTGGGTCCGGATAGGTTCATTCGTGTTCATGCCAGTGTTCATAGGGTCCTCCAAAGCCATCCACCAGGAAGTTATATCCCAACAACTCATCGAATCCAGATACCAGTTGTGCGACCCTAACATGAACTATGGCTCCGATAGAGTGGGAGCGTTGGAGCGCCAGATTTCTAGCGCGAAAAGTCAAGCGCACAGAGCCGATCCAGACTGAAGGGAGGGGGATGGGGGCGATCGACCTCCCAACCCGGGTGAATCGTCGCAAGATGCAGCGGGGCTGTGCAATCAAGGGATGAATGACATGCACATTCCACGATGGAAATCTGAGTACGAGTACAGAGTAGAGTGCACGAAGCTCGCTTTCGCTCTTTCTTGTTTCGTATTTGTGTCCCTTTTTTTTCTCTCCCTTTTCTTTCTAGACACCACATTCCGCCCTTGATTGTCCGCGTGGTTAACCGGCTCGGGGCGAAAAGTGGAGTTATTTTTTTGTCTCTCTCTTGTGAGGTTTTTGTTTTATTTTATTTCATTTTATTTCATTTTCGCGTGCGCTGGGCTTGCATGTACCTCGTTTTTTTTTTTTGGCAACGAGGGGCTTGCTGCATATAACCTTGTCATCCCCGATTCGATCAGTCGCTTTTTCATGTTCTTCTCTTTCTGCCAGATGTCACACACTCGTTCAAGTTTTTTGTGATCCTTATCCTGATCCCGACTTTCCTCTCAGCTTGTTTCAGTGTGGTCTTCCCGATCTATATACTCCCCTCCCCCATATATCCACATCCACCCGAACCACGATCGATCCACTCCTCTATACTTCCTGTTCTCTACTAGTACTACTCGTACTAAACTAAAACGGCGGTGGGATCTTGACCCAATCACATCATCTACATGGAGGTTCGTGTAAACTGAAGATCCGTCATCTTCTCAACCCCACCTTTCCTCTCCATCTTCCAGCCATTCCAAGGAACCCTGGAAGGTTCAAGTTCAAGTTCAGTTGTTGACACCGTCCTCTTCTTTCCCACAGGACCCTCAAATGACCTGGCAGGACTCAGGTGATGTCCTTCAAGGCATCATGGTCGGCCCTGATGCCCACCACCCACCAACTCTAACTATGGGCGATTCAGCCTCAACATTACTCGACCTCCACCTAAACACAGACCTCTCATCTCTCGAGGCCCATCCTCCCACTCACAACCACTCCTTCCTGGGCCCGTGGTCCTCCTCCTCATCCACTGAGCAAAACTTCTACTACCCCCACCACTACCCCTCCCGACTCACAGGCGCTCAGGATGCTTGGAATCCGCTACAAGTCACCGGCGTTCCATCATCCGGGATGTCTCATTTAAACGTCTCACCGGGGGGTGATGACTATGCCTTCCAAAAACCCCACTATCGGACCCCGTCTGATAGCGGGAGTCAGTATATGGGCAGCTTGATCTCGGGTGACTCCGGGTATGCAAGTAATAATGGCGCACCTCAGTCTGTTGTTGCTTCTTCTTATGGTATGGACTCGAGTCCGCATCTTAGTGCTAAGGAACATGACTTGAAGTTTGGCGAGGCTTTGGCTTTTTATGATCAGCAACAGCAGCCTCATGGTATGGGGGTTGGGAATATGTTTATGAAGGATGATTGTTCTTCGCTTTCGCTTGAGTCGGTTAAGTGTGATCATCCTGCTTGTTCGTGGATTGGGAAATGTCCTTCTGATAAGAGGTAAGTTGTCTTCTCTTCATCATCACTGTAAAATGCCAGTGCTAATAAATGAATGCAGGAAACACGAAGCTCGCCACCGGAAATCCTTCAAATGTGACGAGGCAAACTGTCCCCGGAAAGAGGGCTTCGGCACCATCAACGACCTTGCCCGCCACAAGAAATGCGTTCATAATAAAGAACCCGAGCGCGGGCCGAAGATGATGTACCTCTGCTTTGGCAAGAACTGTCCACGTCCCAACAAGCGCTGGCCTCGGCTGGATAACTTCAAACAACATCTGAGCCGCATGCACCACGAAGAAGACGCGGATGCACTACTCAAGAAGTCTATGGACTGGTACGAGAGTGTGACTGGTCATCGCGGCCAGAAGATCGAAGACACCTCACAGGATGATTCGATGCTGGACATCCCGCATGATATGATGTCCACGCATTCTGGAGACCTAGATGCCGATGGGGATATTGCCGAGTCATATTGCAGTTACGATGCAGTGGATTTCCCATCTTCTCGTGATCCAACGCCGAGACCATTCCAGAGCACACAACACCTTGAAGTCTCTCCCATCCAACAACATTCACAATTCTTGTCCCCGCCTCGAGCGAGTGACAGCCGCATCGAGCGAAGCAACGCCAACCCCGAAACATTCGTATCCGATGCCGCAGATAACTTAATCACCGCCATGACGAAGAAAATGAACAACCGCCACCAAAGACAAAGTCACAACAGCGACGAAGGAATCGAGCTCGAGCCTGAGAATCCAAATCTATCTCAACCTCAGCGTCAGATTCTTCAGAAAGTACTATTAGCAGCCCTCGACCGATTATCAGACGACGCCTCAGCCTCAGTCTCAGTCCCACCCGCGCCAGTCCTCGTCCCAGTCCCAGTACCGGCCGAAATCAAACAAGAGGGATTCCAATGTGATCTTTGTCCTAAACGAACTCGTCTCCGCTGCGAAATGAAGTAAGTAACTAACCCCTCTCCATCCCCCTCCCCCCAACACACTCAAAATCCCCTCCCACCTTGGGTTCGCAGTTCCTAACAATTTCACCCAGAAAGCACCAAAAACGCCACGAACGACCATACGGCTGCACATTTCCCCACTGCGCAAAATCATTCGGCAGCAAAGCAGACTGGAAACGACACGAGAGCTCACAACACCTCCACATCACGAGCTGGTTGTGTAATTCAGATTCGGGTTCGGATTCACACGAGGACGGCTCCGACTCATGCGGCCGAATCTTCTACCGCGAAGAAACCTACATCCAACACTTAACCCAGTCCCACCACATCGCGAAAGCGAAATTAAAATCCACCCTGAGCACGACTCGTCTCGATCTTGCGGATTCACGCCATTTCTGGTGTGGGTTTTGTAATCGATCTATATATTTGACTCCCGGGGTTGTTGGTGCGGCGGCATTGGATGAGAGGTTTAATCATATTGATGTTGAGCATTTTAAGAAGGGGGAGCGTGGGGGGGGATTGGTGTTTTCCTTCGAGGACGAGTATTGGGGGGTGGGGATGAAGACGGGGAAGGTCAGAGGAGGAAGAGGAGGTGTCCTGGTCTTTAATGTGATATGATAATTTTGGGATAGATTGATGTGGTGCGGATGGTTTATGAATATTCTGTATAATGTTATACCATTTTGTCATGATTGATATGGTTCAGGGCGAGATTTTTAAGATCTTATGTAGGAGGTGCGAGAGATGAAGTAGTAGCATGTGTTATCTGTGACAGAAGCTCAGAACCCTGAAAAGTGGTGATGATATGCGAATTTGTAGAGATCTAGGAGAATGCGAGGCAGCAGCGGAGAGGCGATCTTGGAGGTCTGAGACATCTCCGCCTCCAGGGATATCATAATCAACTTCACCCGTTTGTAACAAATCACATGGTTGTTGCTTTGGGATGTTTTAAGTACCTAGGCATCTGCAGGTCTATCTGTATAGAGTTGTCTCCTCTTCCTCCTTCTCTCATGCTCAGCCTTTTCAAGTGCCACTACATATTTGATCTTTATCGTATCTGAGTTCTTCCCACCGTTCATTGTCTCTTTCTCAAATTCAGTCTCAGAAAGCTTCGTCATCCAAATCCTCCCAGTCCTACTCCACACGGCGATCGTTGTAGTAGCGACGGGTGATGTTGAAGCAGATCGGGTTATTTCGATTCTATTAACCGAGCACTCGTCGACTCCCCCACCGCCCCGATATGATGGCCGATAATCTGACGGAATATACAAAGCTCTTTTCCCCTTGAACTCAATCCAAGATAAATCATTTAATGAGTTGTAACGAAAGCCCAGGTATTGGGCGTTGCTCAAGACGTTCCGCGAGGCATTGCCATCTAGGGAATTCGGGTCACTGTTTGGCATGGTGATGCAGCAAAAACCAGCAATCAGCCATCTATCATTAGGGCCGAAAGACAACTTGCTGGGTCGGCATCTTATTAGTTCCCAGTCAAGGATCGAGATGATCGCTCTGGGTGCTCCGGTATCTGTATTCCATATGAATATCAAATGCTTAAGGGGAGCTCGGAATGGAGGTTTGGTAGGTAGAAAGGTCCGCCATGAAGCAGCCACTGATTTCGAATCATCGCTAAATGCGACGTTCTCGTACTCTCCATGGCGATTATAAGGCTTCTTGATCAATGAGGGCTTTGAAGAGGGCAGTTCCAGTTTCCAAATCACGACATGTTGTGGATGGTTTAGGGCCACCAGCTTCGAGTCGCGCGAGAAAAGGACTATGTCCCGGTTGGATGATGACCTCCACTTTTTGTCGACATTTAATGTACAATTTCGGGTTACTGTCTTAATATTATAAATTCGAATGTCAATTCCGCTTCCAGTGAAGACGAATAATTCCATATCAAATGAAAATGTGCCCCCAAATCCTCCATCTATGGGTGTGCGATGCTTTATAATCCCAGATAGTGTTTCTCCTATGACAAAGACAGCGTTTTTTGAGAGACCCGACAGATCCGATAAAGAGGTAGAAGCGAACAAACTCAAATCGTGAGAGAATTTCAAAATCCAGGGTGTTTTAACACTAGCTGCTTTTCAACGGCCCCGGTTGAAGTCTGACTGACTGTGACTATGGTGTCCATTGGCGTCCATAGCGCAACTCGCTCCAGGTCTGTTGCAAAGTATTGCCTATATCAACCCCTGAATGACGATGGTTTGACAGAGCTTGCGATGTTTGATCATGAGGCTCTTTTGACTCATTTAATAACATCATCATATCCCAGATTTTGACATGACCGCTGCGTGGATCTGACGCTAATGCCAGTAGTCTGCTGTCGTGTGATAGTGAGAGTTGACTGGATCCGGATACATCCAGCGTTTTGAGGATAGACCAGTTGGAAGTGTTTCGGATTATTATATGCTCGTGTCTCGATGCCGATACCAATAGTTTCAGTGCGTGAGGGGCAATCATCAGCCTCACTATCAAATGACTGGACGGCGCTATGAACTGTCTTTTGCCCTGCAGCTCGCCAAAATCTAGCTAGATCAGTCTAAGCATGAGAGAATATATATCTCATCATGCTATCGCACCTCAATATGATAATCTGAATGCAGATTTGGTGAGTCGGGTTTCGACTACTTTTTGACAGCCATTATGGCGAAAATTGAGGAACGGTTTGAAGAAGGTACATTGTGGTGAGGAAATAGAAATGCGAGATGCAGATTTAGATAAAATACTAGTAATGTACAATTGATATATTAGGCTGTCGCTGACTTTTATTTCTGTGCGGCTGCCAACTCGCGTGCCTTTTTCTCCAGCCCAGCCATTTCTTCTAGAAAACATTAGTTCGAATCTCGAACATCAAGGGGTTAGAAATAATAGATACCGTTCTTCTCCAGCTTCGACTCGTCCATCTCCAACTTCAGCCAGCTCCAGTAGATAATTTGGTAGGTGAGGATTGCCCCAAGGAAGACTTTGCCGAAGGGGCCCATGAAGGTCTTATATTTGGACATCTGGCCACTTGTCAGTCCATCTTTATATTCAAAACATGCCCTCATGTATCGTGATAGACATTCAAAGGACCTTAGAAGCTCCCTCCCAGGACAGATACTTACCGATTCCCGATAGGCACTGGGCTTTTCGGCGTTGCGCAGTAAGGGCGTTGAAGAGAGGAAGCGCTTGGCTGGCGCACGGGCGGCTAGCCCGAGCCCGAGGCGGGAGGCGGGAGCCAATCTTTGGGCTGATTGTCGGACGAGCATCTTCTGAGTTGATGTATGATGTATTGTGGATTGTCTGGAATTGTTGCGTTGCTGGCTGGGGGTTGAGGAGCGCGGATATGACGAATGGGGTTTAGCGTGAATTTTTGGGTCGGGCACGCGTGGTCTTGGCTCTGGGTTGAGAGTGATGGACTCGGAGTGGTCTTGGTTTTTGGATAAACTAGGGCTGTAATTATTCTGAGAGGATGAGATTCTAAGTGAGAAATTTACCTTGCGAGGAATACTCAAATAATCGCTCGTCATAAATTTATTACTGTATTCAAGTCCATGAGGCCCAGCTGGATTGCCTCATGCCAGAGTTTTATATATTGCTGGCACATAGTTCAACCTCTGGCGAGAATATATTTCAACCAACCTTGGTATTAATGCGAGACAGCCATTTGAACATCACCAAGAGAGGTAAAATTTCAAAACATTCACCATTGAGTATATCTACGTGCACACTTTCACTATTATAGACAGATTCTGGCCTCCGCTCCGTTTTGCGCACCAGCCACTGCCCGATCTATAGATGAGTCAGCAATCACATGATATCAGGTCCGGTTGAATTCTGGCGGGCAGGCATAGGAAGGAGCCACAACCCAAATGTTAGAAAGCGCCCAGCAGTGCTTCTACCAAGTCCCTAACTGTCCTCTGACACCTCCTTTCACCGTCATGATCCCCCGGCCTCCCCATCGCGCCTGGAACCCGAAACACCGCGATCGGGGCTCTATTACATCGGATATGATTATTTTAAGTGAATGAAGAGCTTAAATAAGCTCGCCATTCATCATTTATGGGGGTCGAACTTGGGCATGGGCCAACAGGGTGAAGCCGAACGTATTCGACTGAGGATGGCCGAGTGGTCCGTGCTGGGATGACTAACCCATCAGCCACACGACCCCCTGTGGCTGGTGGACCACTCAGCCCAAGCGCGAGTCCTTTCCGCCCTGGGTCATTCACTGCTCGTGTTGATTGAGATAGATGGACTGTTTTTCTAACTGCTCTGCAATCTGTCACATCTTGCATTGTGTTACTGCCCCAGAGGGCTCTCTTTGTCTAGATCCCTCAAGTTTGGACGCGTCAAATCCGAGTCCGTGAGACCTCCACCGATTGTTACCGGTTGCGCCTCACCATCCCTCCTGTCGCCAACTTCCACCCGTCGATCAGCAATTGTCCCGTGGGTCATCGACTGCGACCGAGGGAACACTTCTCTGTGGGCTGCGTGCCTCCTACCCCAGTCTTTCTTTCATCGCCGCAACCGATCTGTCTTATCCTTTGTAAGCTCCCCATCGTGGCCTTGCTATCGCGAGGCACTCGACAATCGAGACAATCATCGAATCTCAGCCCATTTTCAACCGATATATCCTCAGCTTGGTGTTTTATCGCGATTCTTCTGGGCCCTAGCTGACCCAAGTGTTCCACTAGTCTGAACCCTCCCTCTACCTCGTTCGCCCACCATGCGCGGCGGAAAACGCACCCTCGAGGAGCTCGCCAACAAATCCGATTCGAACGACGAAGACTACAGCGATTCTCCCGCCCCACGAAGATCAAAGTCAAGCCCCAGAAAGAAACCCGGACATGGACACGCCAAGAAGAGGCGACGTCGTGATTCGAACAATGATATTGTGTCCGATGGCCTCGATCTGAGCGATGATGATTTATCCTTTAGCGAATCAGAGTCGGAACAAGACGACCCTAATGTTCCACGCAATGCACGAGGTACTGCGCGTCGAAGAACAACTCAATCTCGACCGACGTATGAAGAACCTTCTGACGAGGAATCGTCAGAACGAGACGAGAATGCCGATGCAGATGCCGACGGAGAAGCTGAAGACACTATCGATGGACCTTCGCCCAAGAAGAAATCTGCTATCGTTACGTTAAAGCTTAAACCCGAAATTCTACAACAACCACAATTCGCTACTCGAAGAATGACTCGTCGTACCCGTGGCGCCTCAGAGGACATTTATGCTCTGACCAATTCTGGACGCCATATGGAGACCGTTGAACGTGGCACTCTCAGCCCAGAGGCTGAAGGTTTGCGCCGGAATTCCCGGGGCCGCCGATCATCGAAGCAACCTGTCTTGAGTGAGGTTATGGAGACAACCCTGGAAGTCATGGAAAGTGCGCCTCAGAGCTTTGCCGAAGGTGATACGCCAGCTGTCCCCGACGCCGAGGATAATAATGGTGATGTCGACATGGCCAATGATGATGGGGTTGTCCCAGAGTCCGAGAATGGTGACGCGAAGGTCGAAAATCACGAGGACGAGGACGAAGATGAAGATGACGAAGGACCTATCACTCGGCGACGAAGCCGGCCGAATCGGGACCAGGAAGATAACGAAGAGGAGCCTGAAAACGAAGAGCCTGAATCCCGTCGGTCTGGCCGCAAGAAGCCATCCTCACAGCGCAAGAACGATGAGAGCGACTTCGAACCTGAGGAAGAAGCTTCCAACGACGAGTCTGTGGATTCACATTCTGCCAAATCCTCGCCTCGAAAACCAAGCCAGGCTCGCGATGAAGAAGAAGAAGACAGCGCCACTGGCCGGCGTGCCGGTTTGCGCAAACGACCTTCACGCGCCCAGTCCGAAGTCGCGGAGGAACTTGCCGAAGAACTGCAAGACCTGCGAGGCGGTCGCCCTCGGCGTCGTATGGCGCAAGAGGTAGTCTATGAAAAGCCTCGTCGGAGCCGCAAGGATGTTGATTATCGCATCATCCGTCCTGACTTGGTCCTGACAGCCGATGATGCCGACAATGATTTCGTTACCGAGTCTCCATCTCGCCGTGGGCGTGGTGGCGGCGGTGGGGGTTGGCAACGAAGTTTGTTTCCAACATATGGTCCATTCGGTGGAGGTGGGCCTGCAGCGATTCTTGGCCCTCCTGGCGCCCCTGCTGCGACTGGTGGCGTGGAAAGCGACAGTAGTGATGACGAACTTCCTCAGCCTCACCATCCGAAGGGTCATGGCCTAGCTACCGGCGGCCTCGTACCTCAAGCTCATTCAGGTGACCCGGCCCAAAATACTTCTGGCACACCAGCCAACTTCGGCAAGGTCAAGGACAAGCAAGCACTGGCTGATGCGGATCCGCTTGGTGTGGATATGAACGTCAACTTCGACAGTGTAGGTGGATTACAGGGACACATTGATCAACTCAAAGAGATGGTCTCGCTTCCATTGCTGTATCCAGAAATTTTCCAAAGGTTCCATATAACCCCTCCTCGGGGTGTGTTATTCCATGGTCCTCCTGGTACCGGTAAGACACTTTTGGCCCGGGCATTGGCGAACAGTGTTAGCTCCGAAGGCCGCAAGGTTACTTTCTACATGAGAAAGGGCGCAGATGCTTTGAGCAAATGGGTTGGTGAAGCTGAGCGTCAACTCCGACTTCTTTTTGAAGAAGCACGCAAAACGCAGCCCAGTATTATCTTTTTCGATGAGATTGATGGTAAGAAGTTCTCCCCATCGTTAAAAGCCTTTTTGCTAATCGGATTTGCATAGGTCTGGCGCCCGTGCGTTCCAGTAAACAGGAACAAATCCATGCATCGATTGTCTCCACTCTCCTGGCATTGATGGATGGTATGGATGGACGTGGTCAAGTCATAGTGATCGGTGCAACCAACCGACCTGACTCCGTTGACCCTGCTCTTCGCCGCCCTGGCCGCTTCGACCGCGAGTTCTATTTCCCACTTCCTAATATTGAAGGCCGACGTGCGATCTTGGACATCCACACCAAGGGGTGGGACCCTGCCCTCCCCATCCATATCAAAGATGAGCTAGCCAAGATCACCAAGGGCTACGGTGGTGCCGACTTGCGAGCTCTCTGTACCGAAGCTGCTCTCAATGCTGTTCAGCGAGAATACCCCCAGATCTACAAGTCAGACAAAAAGCTCATCATTGACCCCCAAAAAATCGATGTTATCCCCAAGGATTTCATGCTGGCAGTCAAGAAGATGGTCCCATCCTCTGAAAGAACAACTTCCTCTGGCGCAACCGCATTGCCTCAGAAGGTCGAGCCCCTGCTGCGCCAGGCGCTAGCCGACATCGAGGCTTCTCTCGCTGAGATCTTACCCCAGCGAAAGAGACTCACTGCTCTAGAGGAAGCTCAGTATGAGGAGCCCGCAGATGGAAATGGATTCCGACGAGAACAAATCATGCAGGACTTTGATCGTTCGCGAATCTTCAAACCGCGCTTGCTTCTCCGTGGATCCCGAGGAATGGGGCAGAAATATCTCGCAGCGGCCCTCCTTCATCATTTTGAAGGTCTTCACGTTCAAGCATTCGATCTTCAAACGCTTCTCAGTGACTCTACAAGGTCGCCAGAGGCGACTGTAATCCAACTTTTCGCCGAAGTGAAAAGAAACAAGCCAAGTGTAATCTACATCCCGAACCTTCACTCTTGGTCAGAAACGGTTGGCCACACTGTAATATCCACGTTCTTGGATTCGCTTGACTCAATACCGCCTACTGATCAAGTTCTACTACTTGCTGTTCTTGAATCAGGCGAAACGGAAACGGATCCCGCTTTACTCAAGGAACTGTTCGGTCTCTCCAAGATGAATATGTTCGATATTGAAGCTCCTGGAAACAAAGCACGACATGAATTCTTTGAGAAATTGATCGAATACGTTCAAACCGCACCAACCGACTTCCCTGATCCCGCAAAACGCAAAATGCGGAAACTCGAGGAGCTCGAAGTTGCACCTCCGCCACCTCCCACGCCTGAATCGCAAATGACAAAGGAACAGATAAAGGCTCAGAAGAAGAAGGATCGTCAGACCCTCAATCTCCTGAAGATCCGAATCCAGCCGATCATGGACCAGATTAAGAAATATAAGCGTTTCCGGTCCGGAGTGATCGACGAAGCACAAATCCGATACCTGTGGGAAGAGGCAGATCCGAATATTGTCACCAGTGATGTTCCTGTCGACGATCCTTATACATACAGACCTTTCGAGAAGGCTTACGATAAGAACGGCGTACCTGGTCTTCGAGAGACCGTGTCCGGCAAGTTTTTCTACAATATGGAGATCGTAACAATGGAGAAGCGCTTGTCCAATGGTTACTACAAACGTCCATCTGACTTTTTGGCGGACATCAAGCGAATTGCTAAGGATGCACGTCAATTGGGCGACCAAGAACGACTGTTGCGTGCGAATGAACTTCTATCTAATGTCGAAGTTGACATTTCTACTATTGAATCGGCCGAGCCAGCGCTCTTGGCAGAATGTGAGAATGTTTATCTTCGTGAAGTGGCTCGTGAAAAGGACGCAATCGAGCGTGCCAAACTCGCTGCTGAAGAAGCGGAGAAGGCAGCTTCACGACCCGTCTCTGCTAACGGACTCCTTGGCAATGCTGAATCAAAGGCTTTCTCTGCTCATGATTCGCGTCCAGTTACACCTACCAAACTGTCAAATGTCAGCTTTGTCAACGGGAACCACAACGGCGGTGGCTCGGATTTGAACGAGTCCGGTTCTCATGCTCAGAGCAATGGCTCCCATGGCGATGGTGACGGCGACGTCTTCATGACCAACTCTGAGGATCACTCTGGCGATCACTCTGGCAGCAAGGATACCCAACACAGTTCGTTCGGACCCTCTGCACAGCCGAAGCCAGCATACTCGCACACTGCACCATCCCAGCAGCTTCGGCGAGAGTCTGGTCTCTCCAGCTTCTCACAAAAGGGACCCATGACTCCCATGGCCCCTGGGTCTCAACCAGCTGACTACACAAATGAAGCGTCTACTACCCAGACAACCTCCGACAAGAAGTCTTCCGAGCAATTGTCCAACCAACAAAATCAAACACAGAGTCCCCAGGTCTCACGGCATGAGTACCCTGACCTTACGCAATATCCCGATCGCGTCTCCCAGGAGGAACATCTGCCCGATACCCAGCAGGGAGGTAGCAGCCAGCCTTCGCCGTTACCGCGGGACTCGCAAGCCTTGACCCAAGCAGACGAGCAGAGCGGCTTGAATGGCAGCCATTCGCAGTCACAGCCAAAGCCACAGCCTCCTCTATTTGATGCCTCCAAGCCCACAGCGAATGCATCTACCAATCTGCAATCGTTGCTGAATAGTGAACCGACGCCTGAGCTTGTTATTGACCACGAGTACATCATGCATCTGCACACAGAGCTGACTCAGCAAACAAGCGGCTGCTCTGTGGCGCAGCTCGAGCAGGTCAATGCTCGGTTGATGGACTACATCTGGCGTATGCGCGGCGAGTGGAACCGGACAAGTGTGGCCAAGGGCATCACTGAAACGTTCAATGCGACCTTGGAGGATATGCAGTCCATGCAGGAGGTCGGGCCGATTAGCCATCATACCAAGCAGCAAATGGCCAATCAGCCATACTAACTGCAGCTGGTGACGGTTTAGAAGCTGTTTTGCAATCATCTTCGCTTTCTTTCCCCTTGTTAATACATTTGTTATTGTTTTTTCAAACCTACTGTCATGTCTAGGCCCGGCGTTTCATTCTGTCATGAATAATTGTTTCCCACTATACCGACTTTTTCGTTTCTCTCTTTTCTTTTCTTTTTTCGAGGGCGAGTGTGAGAGTGGGTACAAGCGAAATGGGAGAGTTCTGGGAGGTCCCAAATACGTACATCTAGAAAGAAATGGAAACACGATCTGAATATTATCAAACTACTGTAGAAGGGTCTCCATAACTCAAAGAAATGTCCAAATTGTTTCCATTATCTTATTGTCGACAGGTCTTTGTGCTGACCTCGAATCTTATACTTCGTGGACATGTGACGTTCGACCCACTAAACACCTGGCCTTTGCGGTCCTGCACCTTGTTTCCGAGACCCTTCTTTCAACAATTCCACCACCAACCTCGAATTCGCTCCGTAATTCTCTCCTGAGATCATGACCAGAGCTTGAAATATCTATAAACCTCCTTTCGACCTCTGGCGCCCCCTTTCTCATAAGATACACACTCCCTACCGCACATCTACCACGCCCGCACCGCAAACATGGTGAACTGGCTCAGTCTCGCCGTGCCTTTGGCCTACTTGGGTGTACTCATTGGTTCTCTCGCAACGTTCTCTTCTCTATATCGAAAGCGCAAGGCCCGTACGTCTCTCTCTCTATCTCCCTTTGGAATCCAATCCACCTGTGCCCCGATTCCGTCTTTGCTCTTTGCCCCTCGCACTATGAAGGGAATGGAATCAAGCGCCGAGCTAACAACACCTCTTCCTTCGCTTTAGAAAAAGCTATGTCCCTGGAACCCTGGTTCCCAGCACACCTCCAACGTGATATTTATTTCTCACTCCTCCACCTCGACCCCTCCTCCGAATCCGAGAAAAAGACCCCCCAATGTCCCCGAGTCCGTTCAGAAGGCTGCGCTCCTGCGCCGCGCGACGGAGGATATCCGCCGCGTCATGACTCTGCGTAACCAGAAGCAAGCTCTCTCGGTACTTCTCCAGCGCGGCAGTGTCGGCGATGACCTGTGGCAGCGATTCATGCGGGCTGAGAAGGAGATGGAGGAGGAGGTGCGCGATGTTGTTTCCGAGGTATGTTTTCGACCGCTACGGGAGTCTTGGAGTTTTCGCTCGGAGATTGCTTTCAGAGCTAGCTCTTCACCCTAGGCCCTTCTGCGAACTTCGTTACTGACTAACTCTTTCTTCTCTCCACAGGCAAACGCCTACACTCCCAACTGGGGCCAGACAATCTTCCAATCCGCCAACGAAATGATGAACAACGAAATCTACCGCCAAAGAATCAAGGAGCATGAGGAAAAGCTCGATGAGGAGCGCGTTTGGTGGGAGAAGAAGCGCACCAGCGTGAAGGAGAGCTTCATGAAGGAACTGAATGAGGATGAGACTCTGTCACCACAGACCCAGACCCCCGCCGCTAAGACTTCTGAGACCGCCACGCCCGCGAAAGCGGCAGCTTCGGTACAGGGTAGTGATGATGATGCAGTATTGGTTGAGGCAGATCCGTCGAGTAACCAGGCTTCGCCGAGTGGTGGGAAGAAGAAGAAGGGCAAGGGCAAGAAATAAATGGCGCACGGGCTTGTACTATTATTTCTTTCTGCTCCTGTCTTTAATTCAATAGTTATTTCATATAGAATTACCAGCTGGGTGTTGTTTGGGATTTTGAATATTTTTCGAGACTGGGTTGTGTAGTATGTTTTTGGTATGATATTCGATATGATTGACTAGTAGTTAGTACTAGGATTCAAGTTGACAGATCTCAGGAAAAGAGTGCCCATGCATGGGTAAGGATCGTGGTTGAGCAAAAGTTAAGAGAGGGAAGTGTACATTCCGATTCAAAATTCGACAAAAGTAATATACAGGCCTGTTTATATGCAAGGCTTAGAGAATAATTATGAAACGCCAGTCCATGCAGTGAACTTCCAAACAAAAAGCCAAACCCGGCCTCAGCAATTAGAGTAGTTTGCTGTCATTCACCCCTAAAGGTGGACCAAGATCGATTTTGCCAACCTGCATCTCCGCTGCAGCAATAGCCAGCTTTTCTTCCACTCGAGCAGGGTCAAGACTTTCTGCACGACTCAGAACAATACGTAGCAGATTAGCCATGATCTCAAGCTGATACTGTTGCTTTTCGTGAGGGTCAAGCTGATCAACACTCAATCCTTGCGTACGCAAAGCCATGGATTTGCGTTCGCCAAGCATCTCGAGTAGGCGGGTAACCTGGGTGATGCTCTCTTTGCTCCGTGGCGTCGAAGACAAGCGGCGAAGGCGACGCTTGGGAGTATCAGTTGGAACGCTTGCTAAGCGGGCCACCTGTAAGACTATCATGCGGGCAGTGGTATCATCTGGTGTATAACCGAACATTGCGCGCATAGAATGCAAAGCAACGAGTGTACCGGAAACATCTTTTGAAAGACAGAAGCAGCGCACAATCTGGTCATATAGATCCTTCGAAAACTGCGACAGCGTCTCTTGTCGGGCACGCGAGGGAAGCTTTGAATACCACTTGACCATATTGGCATATAGCTCACGAGCAGATGGGAAGCCGGCATCAAACGCAGTGCGCCCACGATCGTATTGAATCTTGGCACAATCCCATAGACAAGCGTATGTCTCGAGATCGGGTCGGACGCTGACAGACATCCTTTGGAACTTTGACCACAGAGATCTGATGTCTTGTTTCCGGAGATCCGCATAGAGAAGGTGATTCATGAAGTATGCATTTGGCTGGATTTGTGCATCTCCAAGGCATTTGACCAGATATTTCACCATATCGTCATCGCCTCGACGGGTATAGTGAAGAAGCAGAATGGAAAATGTTTCGATACCGGCAGAAGGTACTTCCCGCTTCAGGAATTTCGGTATCCGGCTGGGATCGGTCACCATTTGATTCGTTTCAAGCTGAGGGGCTGGTTTAGCTGGCTGGAATCGCTCCCAAACACCATCGATTCGGTGTTGAATCATGGCCCATCCAAGTCGCTCGGCCTTGTCTCGTGAGGCGGCGTTGCCCTCGCGGAGCCAACCGGCCATTATACCATTCAGGTGCTTGTTATCTGGCCTGATTCCACGCTCGTACATGAGCTCGATTACCAGGGCAGCCGAGTCAACCTGACCCATTCCAATGAGCTTTTTCATCCAGCTTGCATAAAAGAATCGATTTTGAAACTGACGGGGTAACAGTGTGAGTGCCGATAGAGACACCTTGTTGACCGCTTTCTCGTCGATGCTTGAAGCATGCAGATTACCAGCCAGGCCAAGAGCTGCTTTGTAAAGGGCCGTGGAATCGTTGGCTGGGTCTTGTCCAGTCACCATCATGTCCTTGAAAATGGCGACTGCAGTATCCAATCGACCAGCTGTAAGAAGACCGATGCTGACTCTATCATAGTCTTCCATGGTCATGTCTGGGCCCAAGAATGTTTTCAGCTGTAGATACAAGGCCCATGCTTTGATCTCGGCTTCTGCCCCTGGGAACCTTCCCCAGGCTGTAATAACTGGTATCAACACTCGTGGTTGGCGAGTGTTGTCATTCGAAAGAAAAGCTAATGCGATATCCTGGGCTCGTTGAGGGTTGTTTTCGGCCGCGAATAATCGTACACCAAGCATCCAATATTCTTCCAAGTCTTCCTTTGTTTGAGAAAGCTTGGTCTGATAAGCTTCCCACTGTTCCAGTGCTTTTCCAGGATCACCACCATCATTCAGAACTTTGATATAGGAGAGGATCTGGGGTGTGGAGAGAGGTTTGTCGATATCGGCTGCGTCTTGAACGAGGGTTTGAAGGTGAGTTGATCGCGCGGATTTGGCCGAATCGTCGGTAGCTTGTGATTCCCATACTATGTCCATGGCTTCTGCTGGAAGCGCATCGAGGAAGCCTGGAATGGCCTGTTTGCACCGGCGATAGCACTTCCATACTTCTTGCCTGGCGCGTTCGTCCGATCCATTTGCAGTATATCGTTGTAGGGAATTCTTCAATCGAATAGCGTAAGGATGAGAATCGGGACCCTCGAGTTTTGCCTCAGCGAACTTTTTGGTAGCCAGCCTTCGACGCTGTCTGGCGCCATCTTGCCAATTCTCTTCCTCCAGCGCCATTCCATGGAATTCCTCCTTCAGCATATCATCCAATTCCCCATCAAATACATCGCTTAGCGAAGGTTGAGGTTCTGCCGGGTTCTCTTCGTCGTATTTCCGTAGGGCCTCCAGGGCAATCTTCCGGTCGTTCTCTGGCAAACTTTGGATAAAAGGGCTGTCGGGGTCGAAAGGGCCTTTCTCTAATTCCTTGAGCTCTTCTTCAAGCTTCGCCAGCTCCTGCTCAACCTCCTCTTTTTCCTCATTATCCTCGGCTTCGGGGTCAATCTTGCGTCGCTTCTTGCCATCTTGTTCGTAAAAGTTAACTTTGTCGTTTGGCCCGCCGAAGTCGAGACGGCGCGCGGTCACAGCGGAAAAGGAACGTCGGGGAATCGACGGGCTGCGAGCCGCATAGTACCACCGAGCTCCTCGAACAACCTGGCGGAGCATATGGAATTAATTAATCGATCATGGGGGGGGGGGGAGGTGGGTTGATAAAGTTGATAAGAGTTGCAGAAGTTCGCCGCACGACTTCCGTCGATTTCCCCTTTTCGGGTTTAGCGTCTTCCGCCCTCCGCGAAGTTGCGCCGGCATCAACTCATCCCTCGACGCGCTTTAACAAGATTGAGCCCAGCAATGGATCCAGACGGCCTCGAAGAAGCGCTGGACCTGTCTCGGGACAGGTCTCAGTACCAAGTGAGTCTTGACTTCCCGTGCTCTTGCAATACGAGGCTAACCTGCTACCAAACAAGGGCGTTTATATCTACCAACCCGCAAAACCTGGGAAATCGGCCAATGAACCCCCCAAAGAAGCGTCGCAAAGTCTCCTCCACCGGTGCCCAAGACCCTAAATCTGATTTGCAACATTTTCTACCTCTACTGAATGGAGAGGAGAGCGCTGAGGGTGTACAACAACGACTGAATACCTACAAGCAGCTGTGGTCCGAACAAGAGCAGAAGATCCAGGTGGGAAATCGATCAACAAGGGTGCTTGGAATATACCTGCTCACAATTCTGATGTAGGGAATTTTGGAAGATGTGGATGCGGGAGTTCTCACAGACGTGCTGTCCTTCGTGAGAGAGACGTCTCCCCAAACGTACGGCCCCTAACCACTCGGAGTCATGGTCTCTGTCTAACTTATATCTACCTAGGTGCAATGGATGTATACCGACGGCTCTTGTGACAGTGGGATCCAATGTCTCATCCCTTAGCAGATTACTATCTCGCCTTAACGATCACTTGACCTCAAGCGGCGAGGGTGGCGTTGTGGTATTGGAGTCGGGCGACGCAACCAATTTGAAGAATTCATTGAAGAACGTTATTCGAGCGGCAGTCACAAACACCGAGGGCAATGATGGATATCAAAAGTTCCTCACGGATCGAACAGTACGTTTTTGAAGCCACAATATCCACGCATGCCATACTGATAGATAACAAGGGGCCTCGACTACTCGGATATGACTTGGACTTGCTTAACGATTACGTTCAACGAAAAGGGACAAAGAAGTTGGTTATTGCGTTGCGAGACAGCGAGGCATTTGACCCAGCTCTCCTGACAGACCTGCTGTCGCTATTCCAGTAAGAATGATATAAAGGCCGCTTTGAGATCACCGCTAATGCATTCCTAGATCTTGGCTTGATCGTATCCCGTTTACTATACTACTTGGTATCTCAACATCTGTTGAACTTTTCGAAACCCGGCTTCCTCGATCTTGTGTCTCTTTACTCCAGGGCAAGCATTTCGAAGTTCAAGATGCAGGTAACTGTGTCGACCGGATATACGAGGCCCTTCAAACCAATCCGAATGGAAAGTTGTGGATCGGGCGTAACATCACGAGCACCCTATTTGAAAGAGCAAGCGACTACTTCCAAACCCCAGAAGCGTTCAGTCGTATGGTCAAGGTAAGATATGCATATCTTTACAGCGTATGGAGCGTCAAGTTTCTAATATGTGAAAGTATGCGTGCATGTCGCATTTCTTCGCCAACCCTCTTTCTGCGCTACTCGGAGACTCCAAACAACCCGAATTATTCCAGGGTCGATTTATCGAGGCGATCAGAAACCTGCCATCTTTCCAAATGTAAGCACAATTACTATGGTGGCGCAAAATCATTTTATTAAGAGACTCGCAGGTACTGTGAAGACCTGGTGGAAGCTGGCTCGCCTATGGAAGTTCGGAATTTACTTGAGAATGATCAGCATTTACTCGGAGAGGTTTTCAACCACCTTGAAATCGGCCAGCAAAGAATGCGTGATATATTCCAGGCAGTGACTCTCATCCATGCTTGCCTCCAGCATACCCAAGGCACGAAAAAGTCAACCATATCGGATCTATCCGTCCGTGCCTTAGCTGGAGAGCTCGGCGAATCTCAGGTCGTTGATGATATGCTGGCTACCGTCAGGGCTATGGATTCCGAGAAACTTGAGGGTGTTCTTGCAACCCTACCACCCGCTTTATCCCACGATTCAACCCTTGCGGAGCTCAAAACGGACTTTGGCACATTGCTGGAGACCCGTCCAGACCAAGACCCTCTACGCAGTGAATATAACATCAACAGCTCCGTAACCAAGACAACTGTTGTTCAGCAGCGCATTCAGCTCAGCAAAGGCAAGGCCAACCTCTCTGGGCAGGATCTCGAGTATACCAAGATCATCGATCGACTAGTGGCTGCATTGCAAGAATACTTCACAGAAATTCTGATTCGACCACAAGAATTATTCATGCATGAAGCATTTTTGTTTGATCTGCGCAACCCACTTAAGGATAACTTTGCGCCTCGTCCACGTTTTGCGATCGAGCGTGCAATGGGTAGCCCTTTCGACTATTTGATTTCTTCGTCAGACGCCGATCAAGGCCAAGCCAGGATATCTGCTAAGCAGCCTGCTGCTGCTATCTTATACCGGCTTTATCTGGAATCCGGTGCGTTGGTCAATGTCCATGACCTCTGGCAGGCATTTCTTGCGGTTTTTGAAAATGAGGAGGGCACGAAATGTGACGAGCGTATCGTCATGGCTTTATTCTATGGCGCCTTGTCTGATCTGAAGATGTACGGCATGGTCAAGAATGCTAGCCGCAAGAAGACCGACCACTTGGCAAAGTCGGCATGGCTGGGATTATAGTTACGAAATTTTCTATTTTATAGAGAAACCAAACATCGTAACGAGTTTCAAACATCAATCAATCATATTCCCTAATCTGGGATGGGGTATCATAGACATGTAGTCGAGTTTCAAAAGTAAAAAGCCATAGCCTGCCTACTCGCAGGCTTCCATTGGCCCAAAAATGTAGCAAATTTTGCGGTATCATTCTTGGACTGGTCTCTGAATGATATCAGCTCTTCCGAGCGGCCGTCCTCCTTCACTTAATACCATCGCTTCCCTCCGCCGTCGACGAAGTGCTTGCTCTGCAGCGTTGCTTTCTCGATGCCTTCTCGGTGAGGATTCAGGGTATGCTCCAGCTGTATCCTCTCCGTCCACCATCCACACATCGCTGTCTGCGTCGTCATCGTCGCCATCTTCATCATCCTCATCGTCATCCTGGTCATTCTCCTCAATCATGCTGCCCATAAGACCATGTTTGCGGAGTTGCTTGACACCATCGGGGTGCGAGGTCAATGTTCCAAATATGGAACTCATGACTGCGTCATCTGCCCACCATGCTTTCATGAGAATAGCCACGTCCTGTCGACGTGAAGGCTCGCGCAGCGCACAGGGAAATGGGTATTTGCAGAGCCAGCGACTGACAATGCCGGCCTCGATCGCAGCATGTATATTTTCAGGCAGGAGAATGTTTAAGATAGCAAGTGCTTTCTTCTCACCCACGGGTCTTGTTTTGGGGAGGATAGGCGAACTCGTGGTAGACGTTTGCTCGGTATGTTCGTCCAGAAAATTGCAAAGACAATTAACCAAGGCTGTATATGTCTGGATGTCTCGGAGTCGGGTGCAAACGGAAGTTCGAGATACTATTGACGATAAGTAAGCAGCAGCTCCAGCAACCATATATTTATGGCGGACATACACGCTCTGTTCGAGACCAGAAAGTGAAGCGCGGTCAATGCCCTGCCTTGCCGGAGCTTGTCTTTGGATGCCAGATCGTCCAGTAACAAATCACGCGTTCCACCCTTAGTCGATCGCTCTGAAATAATACGCAGCGCCCTGTTGAATATTAGCTGGTGACTTGTGGTGACGGGATTGTCTGTCATACGCGGCTCGGAGGTCATGGCTCGTGCTCTCGGAAAGCTTCAAGAGGGTATCTAGCTTGAGAACTGAGAAGTCGTCAATATTGGCAGTCGGAGACTTATTTGAGCATATATAGCACTCACCTTCCTCTGTCCCCTCACTGATAATCTTGTCTTCTCGTTCGATCTGCTTGATCTCGGTGAGATCAACGACTTGGCGTAAGTCCGTGGCGATTCCACGCACGGCGAAGAAAAGCGATATGCCTAGTAAATTCAGTTTTGAGCTGTTCCAAATCAGATTCAACCTTTCTCACCTAGGCATAGCCACAGCACGCCGTCCCCCGAGAAAGGAGCCATGATGTGAAGTGCAAGTGGGTGATAATTGGAGATGCGGAGATACGCTCGATAGTCGGCAGAATCGTCACCGCCTCGGTGGGTCCATTTTTTTTCTTAATCGTCGTGAAGCAACGAAAAAAAAAGGAACCACTCCGCAAAGTCCAGCCAGACAACAATGCCGCCTTCGCAATTGAAGCAGCTGAAGACTTCGCTTCGGGATAGCGGTGTGATCCGCCCCCAGCAGTCTAAGAAGCAAAAGCGCGAAAATGCGAAGACCGGTGCTTCGGCGCAAAATCGGAATCAGCGCAATGCCGCTCTGCAAGCAATTCGAGATCGATTCAACCCTTTCGAGATCAAGGCTCCTAGCAACAGAACCAAATTCGAAGCGACAACTCGCGATGGCCCCTCAACAGCCGCGAAGGGGTATCGTCCAGGTGTTACCAAGTCTCTGGGCGAGGAAAGGGTGGGTTACATATCTAGATACTTTCTGGGCTGGTGATGTTCATAGCTAACCATAACGAACAGCGCCGTGACACACTACTGAAGGAGATGAAGGATCGCCACAAGACTGGCGGACTAGTCGATCGCCGTTTCGGTGAAAATGATCCCACCATGACCCCCGAAGAACGAGCCGCCGAACGGTTCGCCAGAGAAAGCCAGAAGAAGATGCGCAAGGAATCTATGTTCAACCTTGAAGATGAGGAGGAGGATTTCCAACTCACCCACATGGGTCAGTCATTGACCCTCGACGGGAAAACTCTCGACGATTTCGATGCCGATGGCCTGGACGGTGGAGAATCTGACGACGAAAAATCGCGAAAACGGAAACGAGTCCTCCCTGAAGATGGGGAAGAAGAGGAAGAAGAGGAAGACCAGGACTTCATTGATTTTGGAGCCGAGGGCGAGGGTCACCCCGAACGCAAGAAATCTAAGGCCGAGGTGATGAAGGAGGTTATTGCCAAATCCAAGTTCCACAAGCACGAGCGGCAACAAGCCAAAGAAGATGACGATGATCTACGAGATGAGCTGGACAAGGAACTTCCTGATCTCTTCGAGGCTCTTCGCGGTATGAAGGCCCCGCCCAAGTATGATGAGCCTGCCAAGCAGGATCTGGCAGCTATGAACCCAGAGCGCGCGGCTATGATGCAAGCACCGGAGCAGCAGGACACAGAAAAGCAATACGATCAACGACTCAAGCAATTCACTTTTGACAAGCGGTCCGCACCTACGGATCGTACGAAGACGGTCGAAGAAAAGGCCGAGGAGGAAGCCGAACGACTCAAGAAATTGGAGGATGATCGACTCAAGCGAATGCGTGGAGAGAACGTCAGCGATGATGAAGATATGGCAGACGACGATAAAGATTCTTTCTTCGCAGGAGATGAGTCGGAGGAGGAAGAGGATGATGCGATGGCTTTTGGTCTTCCAACATCTTCGACTGTGCCACGTGCCCCCGATATGGGCGTCGAGGATGAGGACGACTTCGTTATCGACGACGACCTTGTTGAGACCAGGTCAAATGTCAGTCTATCTTTGGATGGTAGCGATATGGAGGAAGAGGAGCTTTCAGAAGATGACGAGCCTGATGTGGCCGAGCAGGAGGACGAGCTCATCAATGGAATGACCCTCCCAACATCAACAACCGGGACAGCTGTGGGGATCACTCAATCCGCCACCGGTAAATTGGCTTTCACATACCCCTGCCCGGCCGATCACGATAGTTTCCTTGAAATTATCAAGAATGTGCCGGCTCAGGATGTTCCGACAATCGTTCAGCGCATTCGTGCCCTGCACCACCCGCGTCTCAAGCCCGGCAACAAGGATAAGCTCGGCAAGTTCGCTGAGATCCTCGTGGAGCATATCGCTTATATGGCCGACGAGACCGAGGAGCCCTCCTTCGCAGTCATCGAGAATATTCTGCGTCACATCCATTCGTTAGCCAAGACACACGCCATTAACGTGGCAACGGCGTTCCGTGCGCGCCTTCGTGAGATATCGAAGGTCCGTCCCCTAAACCTCATCCCCGGTGATCTCGTCATTCTGTCCGGCATCTCGACAATCTTTCCTACCTCAGATCACTTCCACGCCGTCTCCACCCCTGCTCATCTGTGTATTGCCCGATACTTGGGACAGTGCAACGTTGAAGACTTGACTGATCTGGCAAGTGGTGCCTTCGCTGCAACCCTGATTATTCAGTATCAGGCCGTCTCAAAGAGATACATGCCTGAATTCATCAACTACGCGTTGAATGCCCTCTGCAATCTGGCTCCTACAGAAATGGCCGCCGAGCTTAGAGCTTTCCCCCCCTCGCAAGATTGCAGAGACCCTCCGCCTGGAATCATCCAAGAAGATCTCCTCGCGGAAGCTGCAATTCGACGACGTCATCAACTCTCCTAACGACCCCAAGGCGGAGGAAGAACTCAAGCTATCCCTTATTACCACATTCGCCTCTCTCCTTGGCTCCTCTTCGGACGTGTGGTCCGAGAAGTCTGCCTTCACCGAGATCTTCACACCGGCCCAAGTCGTACTCCAGCATATTTCCAAATCTTTCAAGAACAAGGTCTTGCCCGTCAAATCTGCTCTGGACAAGATTAACATGAACCTGACCCAAGCCCATCTCACCCGCCGCCCACTCTTCCTCCACGACCACAAGCCGCTAGCTATCAAATCAGCCATCCCCAAGTTCGAGGAGAACTTCAACCCGGACAAGCACTACGACCCGGATCGCGAGCGTGCCGAGACCAACCGCCTCAAGAAAGAGTACAAGCGCGAGAAGAAGGGTGCCATGCGCGAGCTGCGCAAGGATGCCAGCTTCGTTGCACGCGAGAAGTTGCGCGAGAAGAAGGAGCGCGATTCCGAGTACGAGAAGAAGTACAGGAAGCTCATTGCCGAGATCCAGAGCGAGGAGGGTCGTGCGGCGAACAATTACGAGAAGGAGAAGAGACTGCGCCAGGGCAAGCGCTAATCTACTCTGTAGCTCGGACTCTCTTCTTGTCTCACTCTTTCTGCCAGGCTACCTTGGTGGATGCTTATGCATATGTCTTGTTTTCTTTGCACATGTTCTGGATAGGTATATACTCTCTTTGTTTTGCCCTTGGGCTGGTGCATGGTTGGGAATTAAAAGTCGAAATACATCGCACATTATCAGTATTAAATCTTCCGTTCCAATAGAACGCTATATTCAGTGCTCTAAATTCATAGTTTGCCTGGTATGTTCCTTACCCCACAGTTGCTATTTCATAAGTGGCAGTCTCTTACTAGTATTATGCGAATACCTACTAGTGGTAGGTAAAATTTCCATTTTGCATGCGTCGTGGGAGAATTTCAAGTTCTCGATCGCGATTTCATTGGTCATAGGAGGACTCGGGCTCGCATAAGTCTTCGATGCAAAGACCAGCCCAGAGAAACCTTGGATATAACTATCAGCCTAATCTCTCTCAACAACAGGGAGACCCCAGAGAAGGAACGAAAAGCCCCCGGGGGGCCCTCCAAGATCTGGATCTTATACTTACATTCCCTTGGACCCGTCACGTAGGACACCAACTATCTGCATGACAATTTCAGGATCTCGAAGCACAAGCAGTCCGTCTTCTAGGCGATCGTTGAGAGATGTGGTAATATCTCGATCGATGTCAGCACTGAGCTTTTGTCTATCGATAAGCAGGAAATATTGTGGCTTGGTCCACTTGAACAAGTCTTCTTCCAAATCAGGTCGGCCTGAACATATAATTTTCAATTTTCTGACAGGTCCACAACAAAGTGTAGCCAATGCCCGGGCGATGTCCCGGACCAGAGCTGGCTTGCACTCATCCAATCCATCTAAAACAATGCAGTAGGTCTTTCCCTCTCTCTAGTTTGGAGAGCAAAATTCAACAGTCTCGCTCGTGTCGACGTTCTGGCAACCATCTTGCATCGAGAGCAGGCTTCCATGATCACTTCTTTCCATAAGGAGATCGAGTAATTGGCGAGAAATACTCCCCAGAATGTTCTTTGCAGTCAATGAATCCTGGTCTTCGGAGGAGCAGAAATAATGAGATATGGTCTCATGATCTTTGCGGCATGAATGTAGATAGGATATCACATTGGAAATGAGGACAGTCTTCCCCATGCCCATTGCTTCTGAACATCAAAGAATGGCAGTCTTAGGGCATTCTTTCGATGTAAGGAATGTAGGTTTCTTCATCAGCCATTCCGCAGTCAAATGAATTCGCTGTTTGAGAAATCGTTTCCACGGTCGAATATGGTCAACAGAAGACAGAGTCTGTCGAATCTTGGTTTTCAAGAATGACGTCTCAATTTCCATCTGGTCTATTTGCCACTGTCTTGTCTCTTTATGTTGATTTGATGATCATTGGAGAAATTCAAAGCCGAAGGCCTGAAAGAGGCATTTTTCCTGACTCTCATACTCCAAAAGCTGTTTGGTTTCTTGTTCTGCCTGTGCTGACGCAAGTTTTGTTTGTAACTCGATCTTATATCTGGCAGATTCAAGCCGATCAATGAAGCTCTTGAGCTCGGACTCGAAAGGGGACCAGATAGAAGAGATGGCTTGTGCGGCAAGGTCCGACGAGACACCTCGATGATCTTGATGCATAGCTAGACTATCACGGAACAGTAGTCACACAGCGCTTGTTGAAGATCAAGACAGCCGTGGTAAATATGGCTAAACTCTTGAAAGGGCGGATAAATAAGGCCAATTTCCATGATCATATTGGTGACTTTATCGAAATAAGAAGCGACGTTGCTGGCCACCGTGATGGCAGTCTTGACCCCGCCCATGCCCAGAGCAGCAAACTTTGGATTGGAGCTCACGAACGTTTCGACGGCCCCCGCAAATTGCTGTGTCGGACTTAAGAAATTACACAGTCTTGGAGCAACGCCTCGTCTTGTCTTGCAATTATCCTCAGTGTCGAGCTTCGCAGCAAAAACAAAACTCTTTCAGCGTCTGGTATTGTCGTGCTGTCTTTGAACTGCTGCTGCTGCTCTGCCGTCAGGACATCCTGAAATTTCGAAAGAGCTTTTTTCAGAGACTCTGTTTGGGACGCGCTCCTTTCCTTTCCTTGATAGTTGAAGGGCCATTTCAAAGACTGGATTCACGAAAACGATATGACATACCAACCCGCTGAGACTGAGGCTATTGTGGATGAAGTTGAGTCTATCTTGTTGCGACAGAACGATTCCATGGGGTTACCCAATATGCGAAAATCCAACGGATCAAGAGCAGCCTGAAGAGAATGGTCAACTCCGATGGGCGCATGAATTATCGCGAGGCTGTGTTTGGGCTGCGCTTACTGGACTTTCTTGATTGGATGGACAATTATGGCATTTAATTGGATAGCTCTTAGCATACTGGTGCCCGAGGCCACTAATTATATTATTCAGGAGCTGGCTTCACAAAGATTTGCGCAGCGGCTGCAGGTGCGTTGTCAACAAGATCTTCATAAACAATTGGCTCCGTGATTAGGCACGCATCACGCAGCCCCAGCTGCCAGCGGTCGTAACCACCGCGGGGCACAGAAGTGGTCGTCCACATGCCATTCTGACGAAAGTCATTGGTAACAGAGACAACGACATCAATTGGAACATTGGGAAAGAGTTCGGAGAGCTCGTCCTGGAATGACTCTGCGTCGTGGAGGAGGACCCAGTCTATGCCCTTCTGAAGAGCGATACAGAACCGCTTCTGTTCGTCTAGAATCTCTGGTGTTATTGTGGCAGTTTCTCGGTAATACACACTCCATGGGACGTCGTCTTGCGTGATCAGCTGCATGGCAATAGCCACATCAGGATTGCGCGCGACCATAGCCTGAGCAGAGAGACTATCGGTGACGAAGTAGTCGCCCATGCCGCCTTGGAATAGATTTCCCAGCATTTCACCACCCAAATCCTGAATATAGTCGACTGATCTCGCATCAACACCGTTCTCACGCAGCAGCATCTTGAAGAAAAGGCCAAAACTGGCCCCACCACCCGAATTTATCAAGACAGTGCGCCCAGCCACTTCAGATACCTTGAAACATTTGTCCCTGGCACGTCGAATCAAGGCGAGAGGCGCCCGATTCGCAATCTGTGCGAAGACAGTATAATTCTGTACCCTGTTGCGGTACATGGACGGCACCCAGATTCCCCCAAGGCACATTGTAGCAGAACCATCGGCGAGTGCGTCGAGCACATCGTCCCAAGGTGTAGGGATTTGCACCGTCACGTCGAGTCCCTCTTCCCGGAAGAACCCATGCCGAAGGGCAATGTACTCTGGGAGGTAATTGAGACTATAACCAGTGGCGACAATGTGAAAGGGTTGCATGTTTAGCCTCTCCCAGCTTTGGGCTACAGATTTTGTGGTATATCGGATCAGGTTGCGGGCGAAATGAAAAGCGGTATGGTATACAAGGAGCTTTGGTGCCGCAATAAAAAAAAGAAATGCGAAATGAACTCTTCGAATTGTTGGTGTGAGTGCTGGAAAAGTATTTGAGAGCGTTCACTTAAAGACCTTCGTTAAATTCACATCCAACGCTAATGCAATTGGAGATTTTCTTATCATCAAAACCTTGCTAGGTCGACTTTTAACGATTTTCGGAGAACACCGATGGTCCCACTGGCTCTTTTGCGGGGCAAACTTTCCATGCCTGTGGCTGTTCAATAATCCCGATATCTATGCGAGGGAAGAACATTCCTGGAATGGGTAGTATTCAGCACTTTATCGCACAGAATATCAAAATCATGAAAGGAGTGAATGCATGTGCATTCGAACAAGTGAAGATATCCGGGAGCTAGGCAGCAACGGAGGGCGATATTTTATGCCTGAGGCATAGGTGCCTCAGCATCATTTGACTTCTTAGCTCTGTCCGTGTACAACTTGAAGGCTTTATTCGGTCTAGAACTCCTGGTGTAAGCTCCTACTCTAGAGCATCCTGATCTAATTATAAGTCCAAGTCTATTGATGCGCCAAAGTGACAAATGCCATATGTGAATTCTACAAAAACAAATAAGGGTAACTACATCCATGAACCATGGATCCTAGAAAATACTTTCAATGAGCTAGATTTTGCAAATATTTCCAAATGGCGGACGCCTAATATATTTGGAGCTTGAACTTGCGATCTTGATATATGAGGAACACTATATTACTTGCAACCCTGCCCCTCCCCCCCTCCCCGGGAAGCTGTGTATCTAAAATCACATCGCGTTGATCCGAAAAGGCTCAGGGTTACTTTGCTTGGCAACTAGAATCGGGTTACGATCCCGAAATCTCCACCAGCATTTCTCGATTAGGCTATCTATTCCATTTCATATAAGAGATTAATTACATGGGCCTCATTTATCACCGGAACTTCAACAGCCTATTCGGACACCAAAATGATACATTATATGCGCGAAGAAACATACCTCCTAAACTATCTTATGAAATCCCACCAAAGCTTATTTTATGGATCTACTGGTCAGGGTAACTCACCTAGCTCTGCTGGATTCTCGCTCTCACCTTTCTCACTGGTCGCGTGACTCTCTCCCTTTTCAGTCCTGATACTACGCACGACACTACTCTGTACACTTACTAGTACTTAATATCAAGTTACATCAAGAGTTCCTATAGAGCTCCTTTTCATTTAAATCTATATATGTACTGGCATGACTATGTAACAAAGAGACCCCAATCGTTTGACATGTGTAAAAATTGTCTCCCCCAAATCATTGGTTCATTAATTTAACCGGAAGTAACGTGAAGAGGGCCGTTGCCATCGTCCTTGGGGCAAGCGGTATCGGTATCGTCGGACTCGAACTCGACAACACAGCTGGCGTCTTGTCCGATAGCAATACCGATGAAATTGGTGTCTGTCTGCCCGTCTCCAGATCCAAGTTCGTTGCCATCACCATCCTGCACAGCACAGCTGTCAGGGTGACCCGCAAAGTCAGCCTTGCAGTGGAACTTGCGAGGAGAGGCCCAGCAGTCGCCCTCAATGGTGAAAGTGCGGCCGTCACCGGTGTTGTAACAGGGTGAGTGGTCATCGGGGAAGCTCTGGTCGTAGATTGCATCACCAGCGTCGTTGATGATCGCGAACCCGGAGTAATGGCCGCTCTGACTGCCGCCGGCCGGGCCGGAAATGGTAGAGAAGTCACCAGCCGACCAGACGACCTTGAGGTGCTCGGCGTAGATGGGTGCGGCAGCTGCCAGCATATAGAGGAAAGTGCGGAGAGGAGCCATGGTATTGATTGTGGAGTTGAGACTTTGTTGATGGAATAGAATTGAGAGCTTGTGTTGTCCTTGGGGCAGCTTCCCGAGGGCCTTTTATACCTCGTCGAGATCAAATTGTACCAACAAAATCTGACGCCAAGAAACTTGCGCCCTTTTTCTACGAGTAGAGTCAGGTACAATTCGTTGGAATGTAGTAGGAGCTGTGGAGACTTCACAACTTCAAGTTTGAGGAACATAGTATAGAGTTCGAAGGCATGAATCATTGAGCAGGGGTCCACATTTAGTACCTTCCAAAGTCACCTTCATATCCTCACAATGACTAAAATAAAAATATTAGTAGTATACCAAGATCCCAATAAGCCCCTAGCTCTTCAATCACTGGACCATGAGCATATTCCCCCTTATTTATTTTCTAAGAAAAAGAAATCGCAGTAGTTGAGCGCACTTCCTGCCACCAGACTGGACGTGCGACTGTCAAGCAAGGCTAAGAGAGGCGATATGTACATACGAGATGTCGGGGATCTTTGACAGCTCCACAAAAAAAGGGGCCAAATTATCCTGGATAGGGTTGAGTATGGTAAATTGGCCCCAATGACTCGGAGTCTGACTCGGAGTCTGGCTGTGACGAAAACCGATATGGACAACACATCGTCGATCCAGAGCGAAATTCAAACATGCCAAGGGTTTAGGTACGACTTGCCCAATGACAACTGGGAAATGGAAGTGTTGATCACCGACCCATCTTGGGGTCGTAAACCGTTTGTCCCGGTCCCGTGCTGAACATAGATAGCTAATATTCCGGTAGGAGCTCCCCGTGTGTGGACTTATCTCGCATTATTCAGTCCACATCTTAGCCGGAATCTCTCCATGGCCCAATTCTGTCATTTTTGACGATTTCAATGACCAAATTCGCAAGTCTCGATTCATAAGTTAGCCCCCTTGAAGGTGATGACGTAGGATCTGCATAAGCAATTCACATAGCCGACTTAGTCTCAGACCTCAAACGGGGCACTGAAGAATAAGCACTAGTAACACACCCGCTAGAAGCAATTTGGGGGCAGCTCAAGTCAATAATGACATCAAAAGTCTGCAAGCCAAGCAGGCTTGTCACTTTAATTCCAAAGAATCAATTTTTATGCAATAGAATGGAAAAGGGTACATTTTCGTCTCATCTTTGACTTAAAATACCCATGGAGATCGAGTCGGACAACCTTGTAATGGAGTAACTTGCTACTGATTAAGATTTGTTCACAGCGCTACTGTCAAAGTATCATCTCCGCATCTTTCTGATAGTGACGAGATTAGATAGGATTCATACCCTGCCGACAATTCTTGTGCTTATGGCCGAAGATCTACGATCTTGGCGGGGAGATCTGCCCCGAGGCCACTTTTTGCGGCAATGGGGGCCAAAACCATCATACCCTTGGAAGGTCCTCAGCCTTCCTATTCCAGCTAAACTGAGCCAAAGCCAGGTCTGCTGAGCATCGGGGTCCACTTTCATTCAGAAAGGCACACCAACCCCATTACCGGGGTAATTGTTTCACTTTGATTTATCGCCCTTTAACCTTTAATGGAAAGGATAATTCAACATTGAACTTGATTCTATATCAGATCCATTTCCAATTTAATGCATCTAAATGCCTTAGCTTTATGGTCTGATGTTTCACGGGAATTATAAGTACATCATCAACTGGAGGTGCACCCCACCCCAGCGATTTATCCTCCCCTTCAGACTCAAGTGTCCTTCACGACTCAACGAATATTATCGGACAAAATCAACCTCCCCAAGTACCGCTAAAGGTCAAAAAATACTCCAGGGCTGGTCATAGTTTATCTAGATGAGCTCTTATTGGCCACGCTTCCAACGTTGCTTGGGGTATTGCTTTATTAGACCAACATCCTTGTTCGGAGGGGTGCTAGAAGGACCACCCTTTTCGCTAATTGAACCGCTCTTAGCACATTTTTTGGCTATACATATGGAACAGGGCACTTTCCGATCCTAGATTAATATGTATTTATTATACATGTTTGGATACACCCCCGCCACGTCCAAGTACCCCCGATGAACAACTATCTGTTCTTGTTTAAGAGTTCTCAAAGATATATAGAAGTTCTTCCGCCCGCTGCTATCTTATTAAACTATATTTAAATATCTTAATCAATATCATACCAAATAAATTAACATATTACTATTAGTTCATTAATATTTCTTTAAACAGAGTACTAGTAGCCACTAGCAGTTGGTAACTTTTACGGCGCCACTGTACCTTGTGAGTGAGTGAACACGAGAGAAGATCACGGTTATTGGAAAAAAGCACCCTTTTTTGGCATTTAAAAAATAATTGGCAATTGCGGCTTGTAAATGGGCATGCCGTACCTGCCCATGGGCCATGGGTCTGGCAGGTCTACGGGCAGGTACTACTCGTACTATTACATCTGCCCCAGTGACAGGCGCAACCCTGATCGGTAGAGGGTGTTTCTATCATATCTCTATCCCATGAATCCTAAATTTTCAATCTTTCCTTGATCAAGCAATCATCACAATGCCGTTCTACCCAAATTCCACCATGGTCACTTTGACCACCTTCGCCACCGTCTCGTGGTAATTATAGCCTCCGCGAGGTTTTGTCCGGGGCTGCCAACCTCCAAGGGCGTTAATCTGGAACTGGCTCCAGACGGGTAAGTTAAGCTCACGAGCCTCATCCTTGTCCCTATGCCCTAGTATTAAGCGCTAACAGTTTTGGGTCATTTTAGCGGCCGAGGGCACCACCGCTCCCCTCCCAGTCTTAACTGAGCCTGGGGAGGCTCCGACCCTTGCCTGACCCCGCTGTCTTGCCCACCTCCGCAAAGGTGGAGGTCGTACCGGTCTCGTCCCGGTACACGCTTGTCCCTCTTCCACCTGCGGCGCCTGCAACACCACCTCAACCCTCCCACTGGCTTTTCCCCCGCGGCCTGAACGACCCTTGGGACGACGGCGCTCCTCTGGGCTTTTTGACCGTTTTGGCTTCCCTCTGAGAACGCCAGTGAGACGAGATGAAGGGAAAACTGTGCGTTTTTGTATCATTTTTTATATCCTTTATTTTTCTGAACATGGTTTGCTGGTGGTGTCTCTGACTATCTTGGTTTTCTCCTGTAGATCTTGTGAGCCTCATAGTTTACTGTAGCTGATCTTTCCTTCAAAATTAGATAAGAAATCCTCATTTTCTTCTATCATTGGCATCAATACTGGAACAAACGTTTCATAATTCTCTTCCAACCCCGCCCAGATGGGTTTGTATGAGCACAATCAGTATCCCCCAGAACATTAGCCCTATAATCTGACCGAAGGCCTCCTAGTTTAATCATAATCTCATCAACTTCGACAGACGGAGTGATTGTATGGGCCACGGGAGTACGGGCGGTTGAGAGTGCAAGACTCGATTCCCTTGGCTACCCTGGTCCCTGAGAAGCTTTAAGAATCATGCCTATAGTCTTTCAAGTTGCCATTGCAGTCCATGTCGTCCTGGTTCTGGTCCAGCGTATGTCGCGTATGCTGGTTTGAATCCAACTTTAAAGAAGTATAGGATTGGTCAATTCCGTTGGCTGTGAGCTTTGCCATGGTGGTATAGAGTTCGCCATGGCCACGAGACACGCGTTCTTTTTAAAATTTTGCCATCTCTGTTGTTATCTGCCCTCCTTCCTCAAATATCTCGACTCCCTGTAGAGCAATTCTATACATCGCTGGGGATCACCTCCAGAGAAATCAGCTTGCCCGAATTCATCTCGAGAGATACTAGCTGGATCGGTTGTTCGAGAGATTTCCTCTTCCCATTGTTTGCTCTTGGTCGCCAAACCAAACATCCGATTGGATGCTTCTCGCATGGACCATTCGCTCCTAATTACAGTACTGAGTATGCCATCTTGACTTTGCTGACGTGCTCATACGAAGTTATCGTACTAGGTAAAAGCAGACTCATGATGTGACGAGAATGATATATTAGCACATATGAATATTACGTTTCTAGGCTTTTCCAATCCAAAAACAGCAATAATCATTGAATATCCTTTCTCATAAAAACAATTTCTATATCCCACCTGTTTCCATTACCATCCCACACGTCATAGTAGTTCGGCACAGTCTTGATAGGCGTGTATCCCCGGCGACCATACCAGGATTCATTTGTGATCTGTAGAGAAGGAGTGATTTAATATAGAGTTGAAGGATGTGCTTCGAATGTATGTTCTTACCTTTGGAATGCTCCCGTATGTAGACATTGCAAAGTCTTCTCTGATTTGGTGTTCTTTCGTAACCGTGTCAAGCATAAGAGTCTGGGCGCAGAGTGGCTCCCGAGCCGCCATATCTTCGACTGCGTCCATAGCTGCACGTCCAATTCCCCCACCTTGAAGTGACTGCAAGATGAAAAAGCTTTTAATCCAGAACACTCGTTCAGAAGGCATGTCAATACCAAGTCTTTCCGCATCTTTGTTCTTGGGATCTAATGAGATATGGCCAATTGGGACAAAGGCTACCTGTAATGCACGGCGTGTCTTCCCGTTGACTGATTCTGCAGTATCGTGAAGCACTTCTTCATTCACATTGGGAGGTTTTTCAATTCCCAAGTCTGACTGACGGACCTATAATCTCAATTAGCAGATATTTCTTTCGGTCATTCATGTAGCAGGAGATGATTGGTTAAACTTACAATCCAGTACATGCATTTCTCACCTCTAATTTGTTGCTGTCTCCATTCCTCCTCGACCTTTTCATGGTCCCAATTGCACTGTATTCTCTGGTTATAGAGCCACCGTCGATGTGTTACTGATTCAGCATCCCAAGGGATTAACGAAACCTTCAAATTCGAACTCATACCTGCGTCTGGAGATCAGGAGCAGCAAGTTCTATCATCAGAGATTTAAAATATCAGATTTTGTGTTCTCTCCGACGAGCCGCATGTTCTGCCGAGTAAATCACCAAACCAATCAGAGAGATGAATATTAACCTTTGAAGAATCTGACATGCCGAAGGCCCACATCAGACACCGGGCCGGAGACCCACATCAAACACCGCGGGGTCCGTTAATGTCGAAGCTGCGGGAGTTCCTACATGAGTAGTAGGTGCTAGTTATTAGTAGTATACAGGTACTATATATATAGTATATGCTAGCCTGTCAGTTCATATTGTCGGAAATTTAGATTTAACCACGAGACCAAAAACGAATCCGTTTCAACGTGGACGAGGTTTATGTATGATCAACTGTCGAAGCGAGGGCTCACGTAAATGAAATTATCATCATCATATTTTTATCTTGAATTTATATGCAAGCCATGCGAATGGCACTGTCATCCTCAGTTATATCGGCTGTGGTATCGGCCTGCCCGGGACACCCGTATGAAATACCCCCCAGGGGATTCTTGCATCCTTAATGGCGTTGATTTCCTCGAGTCCTTATGGGAAATAACCCGACCATACAATCGATAAGACATCAAGCCATTGGGCCATCACAGAGAGAAATCTGGTTTCATGGTGCAGTTGTGATGGCGATCCCAAGTGCTTCCATACTGATCTCCCTATCTTTCCCGCAGCGCTTCGGGCGGAACATCAAGGCCGCCTCGCAGACCCCGAAGCCAGAAAAACCAAGGGCCTGGGTTAATATCTAAGGACGTGGGTGGCATGTCGAGGACGAAGAACTTTATATGAGTTTTCATTGGCAATTCACATATCGGAAGCTTTATCCATGAGAGTCGGGGAAAATGTAAGAGAAGGGGCGCCCCTCTTCTTCTTGAGAGGAGACACATTCCACGTTCCTGCTTTCGAAGAATGCATGCGCTTTCATAATCAGCCTTAAGGATTTCTCAACGCCCGGAGAAGGCGAAGAACCATGGATAAGTATCCATCGCTGCAGAAGAGCACGCAGATGCGGGCCCAATTCTATCAATGCAGCTCGGCGGAGCTGTGCCATCAGTTGGGGGTGGCAGAAGCCACCCATGAGAGTCAACACTGCGGTCGCTAGCCTGCACGTAAATATCCAAATGATGAGCCTTAAGAATACAGTCAAAACTCTTGTTCTAGAACTTACGACAAGGAGCACAGCCATGTGTCAACCATCACTGTATAAGGGATCTGCTTCAGATGATGCAGCTTGAAGAGGCAGGTATCCAGGGCTATGCGGCACCCATCTAACACATGAAGATCATTATTGAGATCAAACGACGGGTTAGCGAGGGCCCATTCCAGGTACGGTCGGTAAATCACACTCCGGCAGCTAAGATACCACTGTCGGAGGTATTCGCTGTATGGGTCTTCGGCGGGCTTCCCATCTTCTTCGAACTGCAAGCTGGGCGGCAACGTCTGGTACCAATCTTGCAGCTGGCGGGCCAATTCTTGGTTGACAGAAAGGAAGTGACTGGAGTATATTTGGAGCCCGGTTTCGCGATCGTACATCATGTAGTGGGCTCTGTTGAGAAGCCGGCGGAGGGCAATGGTCGCGAGGAGGTAGAATGTGGATTTTTCTCCTTCTTCGGGGTCTTCGTGGGTGCGGAATTTCCCGGGGAGGGAGATCATGGATTCTTTTTCCGCATTGTAGTTTTGCGGGAGCGATGGTAGCTCTGAGATGTAGTTGCTGTAAAGGATTTTGTGAGTAGGCGGGTTTTTTTTAGCTTTGGGAGGTTGCACACCTCTCTAGTACAAAGCACGACCAGAATACTCGGATGATGATCTCGCGGTCGTCACGCTCTGAGTTGTCGAAGGTACATTGCAATAAAAAGCGACAGCGGGTCGCTGCGCTATTAACGTGGGACCATGTTTGCAATGGCCTCTGCAGGAAAGAGAAATAAAGGCTATAATATGCCATTGTCAGTTCCGTCCTAGCGCATTCGGATGGTCATATTCCCATCTTACCCAGTAAGTAGAAGACATTGGCATGCCTCTACACTCATTTCTATATGTGCCAAATGCAGCATCTTCATGGCAGCATTGAACCATGCCGAACCCCTTTGTTTGAGCTTCTGAGACTCATCGACTGAAATGCCTTCGTCTATCACTGAAGCCCCGATGCATCCCAAGGCCATTACCAGTAATGCTTGGCACGACTGGGAACTAGGCTCCAGGTCTTCATGTGATACTTTCAATTGGATAGACTTGAGATTATCCAAGCTCATCGTCGGAAACCAAAAGTTGTATGTTTGTTGAAATATGCTCACCATCGCTTTGACTTCGGACATGCTCACGCTGGGAAATATGGCATAAAGTGCATTCTTAAACGGCGAGCGGTTATACTCCATCGACAATAATGATTTATTAGCCTCCTCTCGAATTGACGGTTGATCCAGAAAGATAGGCCACTTCAGTAGCGATTCTGTGGAAGAAAGGTGGCCTGATGACAGGACGGCACTCTCGGTGAGGTCCTTGGAAGTGCTAACACTTGCATGTTGGCGTGTATCTTGAGACATTGGTCCAATTGTTGACATCGGTGACGTCGAGCTTGTTTGTGCTTCGTTCACTACATTGGATCCTCTGGCATTGAAGGCCTGGGATTTGTTCTCAGTGAGGAGAATCACAGAAAGGAGGTACAGGCATGCTTACCATCATATTCTTGAGCTCATCGATTGAAGTTTCCATTCGTAGCACTGTATCCAAAATCATCTCACTTTTCCCTCTTCTGATTCAAAATGAGTTTCCGGTCTTCGAGAAACTTAAATCAAACACTTACGAAATAGCTTCCGTGCCATATAAACACGTTACATCCAAGCTCATGCAGGGTCCACAGGGATCTCGGGCATCACATCTGGCAAATATGTTACTAAATATGCAGCAATGTGGTTAGTATTCGGTGTCAACTAACCTTGTTTTACGTTGGCGACATGAATCGCACTGCGAGTCATGTTAGTCCCCGCTCCCGGGGTGGACTTGCTAAAATGTGAGAAGTAGGACAGGACATCGTGAGACAGACCGCTCGTGCCGCCCGGAACCTCTTCATTTCCGATGTCTGCGAACAGTCTTGGACGTAAAGACTTGATTAAGTCAGGCAATGGCTTTCATCGACTGCAGTATATGGATTAGAATGTAGAATGTGTAGAAAACGAGTCGTAAAAACCCACGCGGAGCTGAAAGTGGGGTTGCACGTGACGCGCAATCGGCGAGTTTCTATACTTCAAGTTGAATGAATGTTCAATTTTGGAGTTAAGATTTGGACAAGTGAAATGGTTGAAGTGCCTTCAAGGACTACGGCGCTCGATAAGCGCAGGGTGGTCAGTAAGTAGTTGTATATCGGGGTATTTTCCTGACCACTATTGCCCACCATTATTGACCCCCTTCTGATGGCAGATCAGTAGCTACCTAAGATGGAATAGATTGGCAACCCCACTCCATTTTAGGTAACTGCTAGTCCACCATCAAGAAGACAGAGACCAGGACGGTCAACAAGGGCTTGGAAACTTTTACTGTGCCACTATACTATAACTACCCTTTTCTACCGGCCTTAATACCCCGATATGCAACTACTGACCACCCTGCGCTTCTCGAGCGCCGTACAGAGACTGCAGATACCGCCTACCTGAGAGGCTAATTCCGATATGGCTTTCAAGTAAGTAGGCCCAATCTACGGTTTGGTCTAGACTCTACACTGACTGACTCCAACCTTGGAATATTCTATAATTTTGACAAAGAGCACTCATATTTTCATCCGAAGGGTGTTTTGATGTAAAAGTCGTTAGGGGTTAATGATGCTACTAAGAGTTTGTCATTTTATTGATAGACAGGTGGTTACCTAGGTATATACCACGACGTTTCACATCCTATAGTGAGACAGGTTCTAACAGCATGCCAAGCGCGATATCTTGCACAGAAATTAAGTGCTCATCTATAGGTCCCGGCCCACACGCCGCAGTCCCAACTCCCGCGACCTGCCGGTCCAATCTGACGAACAAGGCACCTTCATCGACCAGGTCACAAGGATGCCGGGCATCTTCTATTTGCTTGTCGGAGTGCCGGCTGGCGGTCCAGCTCAACCCACTAGTACCCCCAGTCAACCAAGTGCTTTCCTGCGGGGTTGCACGGAAGCCAGTTCCATTTGACGAAACGAGCTCCAACCACGCTGTGTCCATACGATTGCCGTTCTCCTGGGGAACTTCATAATCAGTCCGCAGAGAATCAATGCTGTCAACATTCCACAGACCGAACTTCTGCGCCGCTTTCTTGTCAGGGTAGGACTCCCCGGGTCCAAGCCCGAGCCAGCGTGCAGATGTCAGATCAGAGCTGACGCGAAGATTCAAACCAACTCGTGGGACAGTGGTGGGTGCAGCACCCCTGGGCTGTAACTTGATGGATACAGACAGTGACCCGTCGGGCTTGACTAGGTATTGTGCGAGGCATTTCCAGCCCCAGGAGAGAACCGGTGGCGAAAGGAATGTCTCACTTTTGACACAAACATCACCTGCCCCGGATGATGTGATTTCGAATGAGCGAAGTTGATTCGTGATATTTTCCACTCCGAATCGCTTCCAGTACGGCGCAGCGGAAGGTGCATCATTGTCCGTGGGAGGACGCCAGAAGCCAGGAACCATGGCTGGCCCGGCATCTGGGCTGAGACTCGAGAATCGTGTTCGACTTAAAAACCCACTTCCTTAGATGTCCGTGGATACGATCAAACTCAAAGGACCAGTCCGTTCCGCTGATGGAAACAGTGGTCTTGGCAGTGTTGATATTGATGGCGTTTTGCATCTGACTAGAGCTCAACCCGATGGCAGAGGGCTTCTCAGAAGGGACGGATACCAACTCTTGCGCCCAAGCAACGGTAAAATCATCCTCATCCCATTCGACTTTCTCTCGCTGGTGCAATGTAATGGTCAAGAAGGCCGGGTGAAAGTTGTGCTGGAAGAGCTCTGCTGGGAGAGGCACCTCCGCAGACTGCCCGGCTGAAAGATGAGGTAGTTCAAGTAATCCGGTTGCCAGAGTTTTAGCTCTAAGATAGCTCATTAGTATTCTCGATATCATCCAATTAAGAACCATGAAACTCACTCTTTGCCAAATGCCTCAAGCTTGTACGAAGCTTGAAGATGGTCTAGATCCAAGAAGTCGTATTTGTTCTTCAGAGACAAAACCTGTCCCTTGATTTCCAGTTTGACTGGCTCGAAAGCCTTCTTTAACTCCAGCAGACCCGGGAGCGGCTCATGGGCACTGTTCAGGAGTCCATCCATCACGAAGGTTCCGTCATTAGGATAGTCATCGAAGTCTCCACCGTAGGCATAAAAGCCGCACTTACCGTCTTTACCTTCTACCCACAATCCATGGTTGGCCCATTCCCAGATGAAACCACCCTGCAAGCGTGGGATTTCATCAAAGCATCTCTCGTAGTCTGCCAGCAGACCTGGCCCGTTGCCCATGGCATGGGCATATTCGCAAAGAATAATCGGCTTGTCAAACGTACCGTCATCGGCAACATCCTCAGTAACTGCGAGTGATCGCAAGCGTTCAATATCAGGATACATGAAGCTGAACATATCTGTCGTCTCTGCGTGAATGTCACCCTCGTAATGAATCAAACGCGTGTTGTCAAAGGCCCGGGCGGTCTCAACCATGGAGCGATGGCAACTACCGAAGAAAGCTTCATTTCCCATGGACCAGATGATGACGCTGGTATGGTTTTTGTCTCGTTGAATGAGTGCTTGCATTCTGTCAACGTAGGCTGCTTGCCAAGCGGGGTTGTCCGATGTGTGCATGCCACACTTTGGGAATGTTTGGGCTTTGCGGTCCTCATAGCCAAGCGTCTCGTCCATGTCCATCGGGCGAGCTACTGCATCATAGAAGCCATGGCACTCTAGGTCAGCTTCGTCAATGACCCAGAAACCCAGCTCATCTGCCATGTCTAGAAGACGAGGGTCAGGAGGATAGTGACTGCATCGAAGGGCATTGACATTGTGGGCTTTCATAAGAAGCAAATCTTTTCTCATGAAATCCAGTGGCACCGCCCGACCCAGAAGAGGGTGATGATCGTGTCGGTTAACACCACGAAGCCTGATGGCCTTCCCATTGACTGTGATCAGACCATCTTTGCGCTCTACTTTGCGGAAACCAACTCGCTGGGTAGTCTTCAAGGTCTTGTCAGATCCCGGGGTCGATAAGATCATCTCCACTTCATATAGGTAAGGCCGCTCGGCAGTCCACTTCCTGGGAGCAGTTACTGGCACTTTGAGCTCAACCTTGCAAATTTCTGGCTGCAAGATTCGTTCCGCTGAGGATATCGTCTTTCTCGTGCCACCAATCAAGTCAATCAATCGGATTTCAAGGCTACTTTGCTTCGATACCTGGTAATCGATCGTTACGAGCAGTGTTGCGTCTGTGTAAATCGAATCTAGGTCTGTACGAATGAACCAGTCATTCAACCGATCAGTTTTTGGGAACGCGATTAACGTCACGTCGCGGAATATTCCTGTATCATAGTGTCAGTGGATGCTTCTCTCCTATTACGTATGATCGCAATGTCATTCTAACCGGACAGCCACCACTGATCTTGATCCTCAATATAAGTCGCGTCTGACCACTGATAAACGCGTACAAAAATCTCATTGTCACTGTTCCTCCGAAGATAAGGCGTAACATCGAATTCGGAAGGGTTTCTGCTGCCTTGTGCATACCCCACCAAATTCTGGTTCACCCAAACGTGGTACGCGCTGTCGACCCCATCGAAACGCAACCGAATCTCGTCGGTTTCATTCCACTCCTTTGGCAATTGGAACCGACGGCGGTACGTTCCAGTAGGATTCTCGGTAGGTACGAATGGAGGGCACACTGGAATTGGGAATTGTGTGTTGGTGTAATTGGGCTTACCCCAGCCCTGCAATTGCCAGTGACCCGGGACACTGATCTTGGACCAAGCCTCATTCATATCTTCCTTGTCAGGCACTGGTGCTGCTAACGGGGCCCTGGCCATCTGGAATTCCCAGTCTCCATTGAGGAGCATCGATGTTGCAGGGATGTGATACGCTCGCGCCGGGAGGCAGTTTCGTCGAAAAACCGCAGGATTCATGTAGTCTGGCCGCTCAGGGTCGGCCTGGGGAGACAACTGTGTGATCTGTTGAGACACCATTGTGATTGAAGATCGCGTCTAATTCCTAGGGAAGTGGTTCACCGTTGGAGTGGATTGAGCCTGTGAAATCAACTGGGCTGCATTCTTCTTATACCCGCCACGGACAGCCTGAGAGAAGAGAATTTGGCTCTCGGGAGGCCAGTGAAAATTTACATGATTGTTATCACATTTTCTTTTCTGGTTGACGCAAGTCCGGTCATGGAGAGGGGCAATGTCTGTAATATTGCGGTGTTTTGCTGAGCCGGGTCAATCGGGGCCGGCAGGTGTTGTCAGAGAGACCAATCAGAAGTGCCGGGGCTAGCGGCACCGGGTGTATCGGGGCCGGCGGGTCGGTTTGCTTGATGGACCTTTCCCGTCTGCGCTACACCAGTACATTTTCAGCAAAGTGCAATGTGCGGACGAACTAACCTACCCCACGCCTCTGCTCTGATCGGTTAGCTTCCCCAGATGCAGACTTCCTGATGACCGGAGGTGGAGATTCTGGAGGCCGAATTGAGAGATGCGGAGGAATACGATCAATATCAGACAAGATCCAAAGTGTTTAAAGCCCCCCCTTCCCCCGAGACTCCCCATTGAGCAACATCAGATTCTGACAAGACCTGCCAATTTCATCTCTCCTGCACTTTTCTAATTTACTCCTCTTGGGCCCGTGGGTCTGGGGTTAATTGATCGTCATGGATCCTGATAAACAACAGGTGGACAGTGCCCACGTGGAATCCACGCCGGTCACGACGGGCCTGGAAGATGCAAAGCTCGCACAGTCCAGGGCAATGCAGAGCCGAGAGCATGACATCTCCATGAAAATCGCCATTTCTAAATACTGGAGGTCCACAGGCTACTGCATCTTCTTCTGCATGTCTGCAGTCCTATGGGGCTACGATATGCAGGTCAATGGCGGCCTTCTTGCAGCGCCCCAATTCCGTGCTGTCTTTGGATACACGCTCCCAGATGGCGAGACCATTCTTCCTGCAAGATGGCAAGCTGCCTTCAATATGATTGCGACGGTGGGCGGCATGATTGGAAGTCTCCTGTGCGGGCCTCTCTCGCTTCACATCGGCCGAAAGCTGAACTTGGCTCTCGCCTGCGTCATATCCTCAGGTGCCATCTTCTTGCAGTTCTTCGCCTTCCATCGGGGAGTTCTCCTCGCTGGAAAGCTGGTTAATGGCATTGCACTTGGCATGTTCCTTGTCACTGCCTGCGCCTACTGCTCCGAGTCCAGTCCTGTCGCGATTCGAGGTCTCACGACCGCCCTGGTGAACTTTTTCGTCGTGATTGGCCAGTTGCTGGGGAACTGTCTGATCAAAGCCTTTGGGGATAGATCAGACACATTTGCCTATCGAATCCCCTTTGCCTTCCAGTGGTTGTTCCCGTTGCTTCTATTCTCCGGGGTGTGGTTCTGCCCCGAATCTCCCTACTGGTATGTCCAGCGAGGCCGGATTGAAGACGCCAAGAAGTCTCTTGAGAGATTCCAGATTGGCGGAAATGTCGATCAATGGCTCTATGAGATCCAAGAGACCGTTCGAATGGAAGAAGAATCGGCAAACTCGGCAGGTTACATTGATTGTTTCCGAGGGACCGATCTCCGTCGAACACTGATTATCTTCGGCGTCTGGACAATCAACTCTTTCAGTGGCGTTAATTTCGTGTTGAGCTACTCTACTTACTTCTTCGAGAGTATGTCATTCATCTTGATATCCTATATTACCTGACTAACGTCTCTTCTTTGATCAGTTGCCGGTCTTCCGACCTCCCGCTCCTTCGATATGGGCGTGGGTGTGACTGCTGTTGGTGTGATTGGAAACATCTGCTCGTGGTATGTCATCAACGTTATTGGAAGACGGTCTCTCGTTCCAGGAATGGCTGTTTTGACGATCATTGTATTTGTAATTGCCATCCTGGATGTCGTCCCGGGCTACAACCACTCGATCGCTTGGGGCCAATCCGCTCTGATCATTGTCTGGAACTTCTTCTATGACCTCACTCTTGGCCCGTTGGGATACGTGATCTGCGGAGAGATGTCTTCGACTCGGTTACGGTCTCATGTAGTGAGCATTGGCTTCTTCACGCAGAACCTGTGGACGCTGGTTATGACCATCACCGTGCCCTATATGATCAATCCCGACGAGGGAAATCTCCGAGGCAAAACTGGCTTTATTTTTGGTTTCTTCTCCATAATTGCCACCGTCTGGACTTACTTCTATCTGCCCGAGACGAAGGGCCGGTCTTTTGAGGAGCTTGATCACCTGTTCGAGCAGAAAATCTCTGCTCGCAAGTTTCATGCTTATCGTCGGAGAACGGAGGAATGATTTATATCTTGGAAAGAAAAAATGAATATGCACCAACGTTATTAAGGTACCTAACACTTGTTTGAACGAGAGAACTACGGCGCTCCATAAGCGCAGGGTGGTCAGTAGTTGTTATAAGGGTATTTTACCTGACCGTCTTAAAAGCCACCTGTAACTTCTCGGTCTAAGATTACCAGTGTTCCATATACATTTTTGGACAAAACTACAGTAGTACCACAAAGGTTTCTACTCTCTAATTTTCCACCATTATTGATCATCTTCTAATAGCAGACTAGGCTAATCTTTTCCATCTTAGGTAGGAACTTGTCTCCCTTAGAAAGATAGAGACTAGGGCGGTTAGAACACTAGCCATTTTAGACTCAGAATTTACAGGTGGCCTTCAAATTATGTGTCTAGATCAAGAAAGTACCAGAAATCAAGCCAAGTATCTCGTCACCCCTTGCCGCTCTGATCAAAAGACCTAGGAGTCTACCTTTGTTTCCCACCTCACTCTCCGCTCGTTTGACAGTATATCGGCCAAGTCACACGAGAAACATGGTCTGTGATAAACCACGGCAGGAGGCCCATTCAGCCATTCAGTGGCCACAGCCCTTCGTCCACGGCTGGGCTAGTGCACTGGACCGATCCAGACCCTGACGGCAGCTCTAGAATACTAGAAGAAAACCATCCTGACCCACAGATGTACATGGTGCGTGTGATGCAAAATCGAAATTTGTTAGCCTCAGGCTCCCATGGGCGCACCTCCTCACTCGCTCATCTTTTCCTGCATCTCTCTCCCAAACGAAGAAATGAGATATCTTTCTGCTCCACCTTCGTACCAGTGTGTGCTCTCTGACTAAATATGCACGTCGATTTCAGCAGCGGCACCCCAAATGGACCCTGATCAACTGATTGCTACGCGGCTTCTCGCCGCACATGATAGCCAAAGTGGGGTGCCTCTGTAGATAATTCGAGGAATGCGACTTTACGACGCCATGCACAAGGAGACCACCGATTAAGATGGTGCAAGTTATGACATGAGAAGCAGGGAATCTCTTACTAGAATGCCGGGAGGATCTCGTTCCAGCCCTGGGCGATTATGTAGTACCACCTGCAGGATTGTGGAGTAGACATGCGGAAATAGATTCCTATTCTGCCTACATCCTCTCCGCTACTGCATTGTTGTCCTGCTCGGGTCTAAACATGAGAAGGATCTCATAGCAGACCCTGGTTGGATCTTACTACATAACACTCTCTCGCCTCTCATTTTGACTTCAGATATGGGTTAAATGGAGTCACTGGATCCAATGACTGGGCTACTCAGAAGAGAATACCGCTTACAGTTGCATATTGGTCAGTTCACTTTTTTCGTGTGATAATAGCAGGTCACTAGCTGAGAGTGAAGCCAATTGCTCCTACCCAGCTCGGTAAAGCAGCTCCCCACAGTAGAGACGTTCTTTAAACGGGGCCTCATCACCCTGTTCCACACAGTTCTTCCAATGTTTCCCATATCCTCTAGCATTTAACCCTACTTTGACTTCCCAGCTTAACTTTCTCGAGTCTCAACTGCCCAAAGCTTCGTGATTATCACACATACACCATGGCTCTAGCATACGGTCAGGGAGAGTGCTTTTTCAAGAAAAGCGCTTTGAAGTCTTATGTTGGTGAACGCTTTACTGCTGAAGACGAGAAGCAATTCTACACCACACTGGTTATAGAAATGATCTGGAACCAAGAAGCTCACTACGGCGAAAAAGCATGTAACGGTGACGCTGGTTACCCTCACAAACGATCGGATTATGACACATATAAATGGTATTTACAGCACAAGACGGGCACAGTGAGAACAAACGAATTCAGAGATTGGTATGGTTTCTGGAAACATCTGCCCCTCTCATATGGGGCATACTTTCAGCCAACCAAGCTTGTTAAGCACGCGATGTGCACTAGTGGGAAAATATTTGAGAAAAGACATAATGGCCAAGCTTACGAGGTATTATTCTCCTCTACTTGTGCAAATATAGAACTTCTTTTTTGCTTACAAAATACTACCGTTGACTAGTTCATGGTTCACGTTTGTCCCTTTGCCCACGACAAAGGAAGAATGGGTTTTTATTGACGTAAGGTTACTGATCTAAGAAAAGACATCTACCCTTGAGAGTTGTCGCTAAGAAGGATTTAGCGTCTTTGTTCTATCCGTGCCATCTACGTCCCAGTTTCCCATAAAGCCAGTCAGAAGAATCAAGATCTCTGCACTTATCTCCACGTTCGATTCAACAACATGAGCAACATCACACTTCAACATCATAAAGACAATACCCCAAGAATTTGCTCAGTTCTTCGACTTGGAGGCCGTAGAAAAAACCAAAACAGAGCTCACATGCCACGAAACATTTGGCCTTCAACATGATAAGAAAACGGCTATCGGCATAAACATAAGGAAACTTGTCACTACTCTCATCGTTCCTCGCGAATATCACAAGTACGATGCATTCAGCTCGAGGGCCATTATTCTCGTGGACTCAAGCCTTATTCCGGTCGCTCCTCTTTCCCAAATGTTCACAGACCCGTCTATGGCGGATTGGGCAAAGGTGGCATCAAAAAACAATGGTCTCAGTGTACAATGGACTGAGGATAAAGACGAGGCAAACGAGTGGGCCTTGAAGTTCCTCAGAGACACTCTTGTTATTGCTACTGGATCTATCCCAGTAATTGGTCCGATCCTTTCCATAGGGACTGCATTGACTTTCCAGATGCTCATTGACCCAGATGAGTTCATGGATGAACTTGCTGAACAGCTACCAACGTTCAGATTGCTGGAGGGTATGATGTTCGAGATGAAGAAATTGACCTCTGAAACCCGGAAAAACATGGTCATCAAATTGGACGTCGCATCTTCGATTCAAATAAACGCAACGAATACGAACAGCAGCGACTTAGTGCAGAAAGATCCCGCGCAAGAGCAGAAGGCAGATTCAGAACAGAGCCAAGATGATTCTAATGAGGAATACTCCACTGTACCGCCATTTAATGCAATTTCCAAAGCCGAATACGATGCCACAATTTTCAAGCGGATTCGAGGGCAGATTGCTGATAAGTTCTTGCAAGTACTTATTCACCCAAGGCTATGGCCTAGGAAGTGATAAGGACATGGTCTATGCCTTGATCGCAAACCCTCCAAAGGAGCTCCAAAACAAAACGATAGAAGAGCTAGTCGAGACTGTTGAGAACAATTGGGTACGTGAGAGACTCCAGACAATGAGACGATCAAACTTCACTGCAAAAGATGAAAAGGAATGTTGGACAACGCAAGACCGGAAGCAGAGAAAGAGTTGCTATCGAACGCATTATCTGGCACCAATTATGCGACTGATGATTATAATTGGGCTGCGAAGGATGCGGAAAATGCAGAAACGGCGGAAAAGAAAGCCAGGGAGGCAGCCGAATTAAAGGCCGCAGGGGGAAAGGAAAGGGGAATTATGCAGAGATACGGGATGAGATGGGATCTGAAATATCTCTCAGACCCGAACCGCCTCTCAGGCTCGGACTGATATGATAATGTTCGTATAGTACCCGTGTGAATACAACGACCTACCTCATGGTGCTACTCCCGAGGTCTGGATCTTTATCCTTCCAACGTTGAGAATATCTCCACTCAATTCCAAGGTTCTTTCGTTACGTCAGAATAAAATTGGCTTTGTTACTCTAGTCGCCATTCTCTTCGATTAGTTCCTGGGTATATTAAGATAACTTCTAAACTACATTTTCGGTCTCTATAAATCAACCTAATACTTTCAGTTGAAGAATACATCATATTTCATTTCCATCATACGCTCTAGATGAAGGATCCCCTTTCGATCGTTGAATCAAGAAATTTCGGCTTGATTGACCCTTTGGTTGGATATTGCGTTGCCGTTGTTACAGCTATCGAGTTTGATGAAAGCATGGGGAACCATCCCTATTCAAGACACGGGACGGAGCCGTCAAGACTTTCATGATCGAAGGTTATTGGGATTTATTATAACATCCCACACGATACTACTAAGACGGTTCCTTCGAGTCATTCACGCATGATTAAACACCGTTAGGTAGTATTGTTAGCATCATGATGCCAAGAAATATATATATACTCAGGTGTCGACTGCCAGCCTGGAGTGTGATGTAACACGAGACCCGGCCAAATAGCCTTGGAAACAATCCAATCACATTCAGTCACAACTGCCCGCCACTAACTTGAACCAGGCAAGTCATGGTCCGGTTGAAGCCCGAATAAACCCCGCCTAGGTACAATAACCAGCCCCGGGTTTGCCCCAGCAGAAATAGCAAATCGCCAGATCTTCCGGGGTGCCGAATCTTCGGAGCGTTGTGCCTAATCGGGACCGATCCCCCTTCGCCCGGCCCCGGATTCAAGGAAACTCTTTTTTTTTTATTTAATCTTTTTGATTTCTGGAGTCACGCGAGTTTGAAGATTGCGCAAATGCAACTGCAAATCAAATGCAAATGCACTTGGCCGGTTTAGAGGCATTACGCTATGACGAATTATCCACTGTTTCCACCCCCCTCCTCTAGCTCTAGCTGCTCGATCGACCTTCCCCTCCTCGCGGCAGGCCCGCTTCCAGCGACTCTTTGGGCATCTCGCAAGGGGTGCAAGCACCGGTCGGCCATTTTCTGCCCTGCTGAGAGGTTAGATATCAAATATTAGACTGTCGGCATTCCTCCGGACGTGGGGGAGGGGTGGTGTCTTTCCCCCCTCTAGCTTTGCAAGCCACAAGAAAATCCCTGTCACACTGATGATTTGTTCTTAGCTGAGCTCGGACCGTATTCCTTCGCCAACAACCCTCGGTCATCCGGCGTGATGACCGAGGGTGGGACACTCCGCATTCCAATCCTGCCGCCCTACGGAGTCTACGGAGTCAACGGAGTCCTCCTTTCGCTGCCAAGGTTTTAATACCGTGGCTGTGGCTGCATGACATCGCACTGGGTACTCCGGACTTTATTGTGTCCGCAATCGCGTGGAAAATTGAATACTACACATACGAGTAATCGAGAACCCCCCTTGTTGTATGGATTTCGCAGAGAACACGCAGTTTAATAATTTCAATAATTGTGGACAACACTCCTTACTGGAATGTTTGAGAATCCACCAACACCACACAGCCCTTGCTAGCCTCGCGTTGATCGGGAGGCCATCTCGGCAAGTGTTGCGTTGGCCTTAGCTCCCGGCTCGGCTCCTGCGAGTGGCAGATTGGTACATCCGTAGCGCCAGCTCCTGCAGGGCTCTGACACCTTTAGATTACTCTGACTTTACATACATACGTGATCCTGCTGCAAGCGTAAGGCAGCGATAATTAATCCCGCAACATCTGCAGGATTTACAGTCACAAGGCTAGCCCAAATATTGCCTCCACACAACGCGCGCAGATGAATGAGTATATTTGTACTCCGTATGTATGCTTTGTTTCAGTCCATTGACACCGTCCGGAGATAGCGACACGGAGTACCTGGACCTGGACCAGCACAATACGAACAGAGCCGGTGGCAGGATTCGGGCCCTGACCTTTCCCAGATCCTTGATTGGGGCCACCGGATCCGCTTTGGAGCGCGTGAGTATCTGAATTCTCCAGCAAAGCTGACCTGAGTGGACTCTTGGTTCCATCCTCAGCCCTCGACAAAGTTAGCAGTCCCCGCAAATCCCCGATTGTGGCTGTTGTTGGTTTCCCCATAACGAATTTCGTCATTTCTAGTTTTTTGACTTGGGTCGTTAAGGGGGAAAATCCACCAGAAAATATTATTGTGCGTGGCTCTGGATGAGCCTCCTATGTGGATCTATCCAGATGAAGTATGATTTTCATTGATTTTTTGAAGAATTATTGATTCCAGGCCTGTTTTTTGATGTTCATGATCGGATCCGCAACTATGAACTGTGAGTGCCTGTATCCGCAAAGTCCGAAAATCGGCACTTCTCTTTCCTCAGCAAATTATGCACAAGTATTGTATATCAAGCAAAGTGTGCATCCCGAAATGGTCGGAAATTATGTTGGAGGGCCGGTGGCCGAGCCAGCTGATTCCTGCCTAGGCATTTCACAGGAATGTATCTAGGCTTACTCGCAGGAAGTATAATTCTGGACCGTCGGACCGCACGGCTCTTTAAGTTTCCAAGTCAGGGTTGCGCTCCGGTCCTCGGCAATTTCGGTTTGTCACGGGGACCTATCAGGGGTAAGATGGAATTCTGGACTCTGTGGGGAGTTTCTGAGTTCCGTCCAGGCCGTTGGCATTGGCGTTCGTGTCTGGGGGTGAGACAGTTGTGCCGCCGGTTGCATTGGGCTAGATCCGCTCTTAATAATGAAATAATCGACATTTGATTGAGGAAAGCCTGGAATAATCTAATTAGAATTTGAAGATTATTTTCCAATTAGATTATTCTAATTCTCAAATTTGTAGTTATGTACATGCAGTATAACCACCGACGGGGATTTCTTGTTGTACAGGATCTAGAGTATTTTCACAGCTATTTATCTCTCTTTCTCTCTCTCTTCTCTCTCTCCTCTCTACTCTGTAAAGTACTCCGTGTCTGCAAGATAATCAATGTAACCATTATGCACAGCGATCATCACAGGTATCAATGCTTCGACGGTTTTATTCCCGCAGTCAGTGGAGCACATAACAGATCAGCGGAATAGGTAGGCGCAGATCAAGTCATTCTCCAGGGCTCCTGAAATAGGTAAGCCTGCGAGAGACGCCTCCACCTAGGGGCCCGCTTCTTCTCCGCCATCGGCGACTGGAGACACCCGTAGAATGCTCCAGTCCTGGCTGGACTGCTGCTTTCCCCCGTCCGCCCCAAAGCTCACTAGCGGCTGTGATCTTCCCTCAGGACCAGCGGTCCGGTGGCTACTGTGCCGCGGGACCTTGGGGGAGTCGGCGTATTTCGGGGAATTTTGGGGAAGTGGAGATTTTTTTCTACGGATTATATGTATTTCTTTCTCCTTTGCATGAATTTTGATTCAGATATAATTGTAGTGAAGATAGAAAACAATGGCAATGAAACCAAGAAGGAGAATCCCAACAGTTTCACCCTAAGAGGGTTATCATGGAACTAGTTTCGTTGTCTGTTCCATATAGCCGACTGTAGCCACCACCGGTACGGTATTTCATTACATACCGTACCGGATCCGGTCGCATTTCCTTGACGGGGGCTCCACTCCAGAAAATTCAGACTCAGGGGATTTCATGTTTTGCAAGATCTAATACTTCAAGTTAAATAGTAGAATCAGTTTGAGTAGAAAGATGAGTAAATTGAGAATTTAGTCTACAACCAGCATGCAGTACTATAGACTATAATTATATCCTTCATCTATACTCGTTGTAGTAATTCTCTCCTGGCACAGTAACGTGACCGGGCCGATGGCAAACGCTAACCCTAATTCGTGGCCAGTGACGCAGTGCTGCCACCCCCCGGTCCAGCGAGTTTACAGTGAACTAACGCTTTAGTCACAGAGGGAGTGCAAATGCCTCTGGTGTGGGGAAGGCGGCCCCGGTTGGACGAATGACCACCACTGGATTTGGGGGGTTAATTTGACTGGGTCTGCCCCAACTGGAGTTCGTCAAGTGGGACCTGGGGGGGAAGACAACCCATTGAGAGTCAGTCTTGCGATTCATACTTAAAATGCATGTGCCCCCCCCCATCAGCGCGCGCCTCCCCCGGTTTTTTTCTTGTAGTTCTTTGACCCTCTCCACTCTCCTCGCCCTTGTGGCATCTCATGCCTCTTTTTTCTTGTCTGTGATTTCGTCTTGTTCTTCGATTCTTCGATTCTTCGAATGTCCCCCCATTCGCCCCCGGCACACACATCATCATGAGTAGCGCCACCGCGACAATGACTGAAGAGTCTGGAAAACGAAAGGCCTCCGCCGCCGGTATTTCTGCCAACCGCCCCGTGAAACGCAGAGCTTCCAAAGCCTGCTGCTGTTGTCGTGCCCGCAAAGTCCGCTGCGATGTGGTAGAAAATGGCTCTCCGTGTACCAACTGCCGACTGGATCAAGTCGAGTGTGTTGTCACGGAGAGCAAACGAAGAAAGTTCGTCTTAGCTGCAGAAAGAAACAAAAAACACAATAGTCTTTTATTGCGTGTCCGAATAAAATACTAATGGTAGAATCTGCGTGCAGAAAGTCGCGTGTCGACCTTGAAAATGCAGCTCCGTCCGAATCGCCCGAGGCGTCGGAGGAAAACCCACTGCACCGATTCGACATGGGCATGCCTGACATGGCTCCCACGTCTCCTTCGCAGGCCTCTGTCGATGCTGAGAATAACCAGCATATGCCGCATCTGCTCTGTATGTTGGAACAGCTGCCAATGGCTAACAATGATCTACCGCTAACAATGTATGGCAGATCAATCGCAGGCAAGCCGCATCGGCTCCGATGATCGCTATCGCCGTCGTATGGCTCCAAACCCAGCTGTTCCCTCGACAATGCCCCTGGCGAATGCTACTCTGCAAATCCAACAGCTGCTTGATCCCAACTTTGGCAGCCCACGTGCCACCGCCAGCGGCTTCTTGCCGGATTATATCCGAGGACTTCCCGCTCGACTACAAAAAGAAGATATCGACTATCTGGCCGCGAAAGGTGCTCTGTCAATCCCTGACGTGACTCTGAGAAATGAGTTGCTCAAGGCCTACATCCACTATGTTCACACATATATGCCTCTACTGGACCTCGAAGAATTCCTGCAAACCATCGTGCAAAACGATGGCATCCATCGCATCAGTCTTCTTCTTTTCCAGGCTGTCATGTTTGCTGGAATGGCCTTTGTGGATATGAAACATTTGCAGGCAGCTGGATACCAGACTCGAAAAGCTGCGCGGAAAATCTTCTTCCAGCGGGCTCGGCTATTGTACGACTTCGACTACGAGGTTGACCGCATCTCTCTAGTGCAGTCGCTTCTTCTGATGACCTACTGGTACGAAACCCCTGATGACCAGAAGGACACCTGGCATTGGATGGGCGTCAGTCTGTCTTTGGCCCACACAATTGGTCTCCACCGTGATCCCGGTAACTCGCGGATGGACCTTCGGCGCCAGCGGATGTGGAAACGCATCTGGTGGAGCACGTATACCCGCGACCGACTGATTGCCTTAGGCATGCGACGACCCATGCGTGTGAAGGATGACGATTGTGATGTCCCCATGTTGACGCTGGATGACTTCGAATTTCAGTCCTTCTCGCCTGAAATCGTTCAGATGGTGGGAGACTCAGAGATTCTGCAGAACGTGAGCTATCAGCGTGAGCTAGCACTCATGTTTATCGAGAAGGCCAAGCTCTGCCTCGGTGTGAGCCATGTGCTCTCCGCACAGTACTCCGTTCTCAGCCACAAATTCGGCGGTACTATGGAGACTACCATGATGCTGGTACCGAAAAAATCGACCGCTGAGAGCTTCGAGGTGCGTCATTGCGACCAGGAACTGGAGAATTGGCTGGCCAATCTCCCAGTGGAAACCCAATATACGCCGTCCGGAGGCGCGAAGCTCTCCGAGGCCCAGGAGGTGCTTCACTCGCACCGAGCCCTGTTGAAAATGGTCTACCTCACTACATCCAGTGCCCTGCATCGCCCGCAGGTCCTCCCCGCCCTCCCATACCCATCAATGGATGCCGAATTGCAAGAATTGTCTCGCAACAAGGTGCGATTCGCCGCAGTGGAAATCACCAGTATCGCCCAAGACCTCCATATCCTGGACCTGACTCGGTACTACCCAACGACGGGCGTGACTGTCCTGCTCCCTGCAGTGATCATTCACCTCCTAGATATCAAATCCAGCGACCCCGCCGTACGAATGACCAGTCTTCAACGCTTCTACCAGTGCATGCGCATCCTGCAACGCCTCCGTGAGATCTACGCCTCCGCCGACTTCGCCACATCATTCCTAGAAGCTGCAATCCGCAAAGCCGGTATCCAACTCACCGTCGCACCGCAAGATGTCCAATCCTCCTCATCCTCCCGCTCCCGCTCCCAGAAGCAGCAATCAACCAGTAACGACCCCTTCGATGTCCTCATGCGCAGCCACACCCTTACACCACCTCCAGACTCTCTCGCCCAGAAAATCCCCGATCTGACCTACCCCAAGGCGGCCCCCGCAGGCGGGCGAGCTGCCGCCGCCGCCGGAGTCGGAGGCCTTTTCGCCTCAACACCACCACAGTCCGATGGTAGCGAAAACGGCAGCACGCAAAACCTGAACACAAAATATAACCCTCACCACGACGCATTCGCGATTCCCGACCTCAATGCTGACCTCAGTCTCACCGAGCTGATGGACCTTGCCAACGACGCCGAAGTAACGCAAAATGACTTCGACGCGCTGATTAACTTCGACGACGCGGGTAACGAATACTTTGCAGAGGAGAACGCGGCCCCGCCTCCGCCTGAGGAAAAATCCGGATTCGATTTCCATATCGATAACGGCAATATGATGGGTTTCGACACTGATCCTAAAGCAATGGATTTCGCAATGACTGAATCTCATGCCGATCATCACCATGTGGGTGCTACCTCGGCCGAGGCTCAAGCGCGACCCGGTCTGACGGCCGATCTTGACACGGATCTTGGAATGAATCTGAATGAATAAACACATGCTCTCCAGTGTTTTGTTCTTTCGTGTACTTCATTTCCAGATTATGCTTATGCTTATGCTTATGCTTTTGGGAATTAGCGGGCAAATTTTTCTTTTTCTTTTCTTTACCCCTTTTACTAATTGTTGCAATACGGAGCCTGAAGAATTGAAAGAAAGGCACAACCGGTGTTTTGGGAATGGTTCTCTTTTCATGTCTCTTTTCATCTTTTTCTCTTTTGCCTTTTTCCTTTTATTTTTTTTATTCCCTTTTTTTCGTTTCCTGTTCCGCTCTGATGACCACCACGACAAACGTCCATATTATCGATAGATGGATCTGGATTTGGATTCCCAAAAGCATGAGTCCATGTGAATAACGGTTTATACTCAATTAACCCAATTTCATTGAGATTAATCTCAAATTGCGTCCCTTGATCCAGTCTCCAGTATTCCAGTATTCCATATTGTGTACTAAGTTACTCGCTAGTAGATAAGTTAGTGACTAAATAGGCACCAGCTATGCAATGTACATAACTAGTCCCTTTCCATCCATACGCCGTTCGGCGGGTCCTAGTCTTCAGTACCCATGCCGGTGGAACTATAATTTAGCCTTTGAACTAATTCTCCGATCCTGGTTTGGTTCTCTGGGTCATCGGCGTCGCCGTAGATCGACGGGGTTCGGTTCAGACCGACCCCCGGCCTCCGACTCCGTCTCCGATGGACAACATCGGTATCACATGCATTCTTCGCACACACCGCACTGTCATCTTGCATGGGCGATCCACTAGTTTAATTAGTTTACTCTAGTTTCTTTTCTTTTTTTTTTTAAGTGCACGAGGTCAATTTCGTCATCGAGTGTGTATGTACATACTCGTACGGATAGAATAGTATGGGTCGTGATGGTTGTGATCGACAGGGGTTTGGTCTGGTCTGGTCTACATAGCCGCCTCTTGATATACCTAACTAGCACAAATGTAGATTCTAGCAAAATGGCCTGGGGTCTTTCACAGGTGCTGTAGGGTTGTACTAGTGGAGTTGATACTACATACGGTATTGAGTGTTTTTACAATTCCCTTGCGTTTTGGGTTCGGGTTTGGCCCAAGTCTGACGATTATGGCCCGAGTCTCCTACATGAATCCTGAGTTTTATACCAGTACTCATCTTCCTCCTGCCCTACTATCCAAAACAATCCACAGGACTCGGGCGGACATTGATATATTCAACAATAAGTATGGAATTATTTCACATCTCAATTCAAGTTCAAACCAGGACTCGAACTTCATAACACATCGAAACATGGACATAAACATAAACATAAACATAATCTTCGTAGACAAAGAAAGGGAAAGAAAAAAGATAATCACATCGGCGAATAGGGGGAATCAAGACTGAAACAACCAAGCAGAAGGAGAAAAATAAACCAGAAAAAAGAACCCCGAAGAAAGTCCCCTTCATCCATATCCATATCCATACACAAGCACAAACACAGACAGCATCTAGCATCTGTTTAAACACCACCACGACCCATCCTCTCAATCGAACTCATAATCCCACCACGACCAGGAGTGTACATCGCAATACCCGACTTCCCACCGCTATTTCCACGAGAGTGGCCAGCGCCAGCCGGCGCACCGAATCGCGATCTCTTCTCACCGGTAACGGGAGGACGAACACCACTGGACCCAGAACGACTCACGCTACGGCGAGGATTTTCAGCAGGCTCGGCGGATGAAAGATATTCTTCTCCATGACCATGACCATAACCACCGGCAGACGAGACGGAAGGTTCGCGAGTCTCGCGAGTTTCCTCACGTTGTTGAGGAGGTGCGGCTTGGGCTTGGGCCTGTTGAATGGCAAGCCATTCATCAACAGCAGCGACAAGTTCACCCTTCTCAACGCGCTCGGATTCAAGATCAGAGCGAAGGCGTTCGCTGTCCTCCTTCAGTGAAGCCATTTCGTGCTGCAGACCCTCGATCTGAGCCTCGAAGACACGCTTCTCAGCATCGTACTCGTCGAATTCACGGGCGATCATGCTGGCGTTGGCGTTGACCATATTGTCGTTTTGAGCAGTATCAAGTTCACCCCGTAGACGATCCTGTTCTTCATTTGCAGCAGCGAGTTTCTTCTCCACTTCACGCAGGCGCTTTTCCCAGCGAGACTCGTAGCTCTTTTTCAGTGCTGCGACCTTGGTCTCGTGCTTGCCCTTGTACAGGGTGTGAAGCTCACGAGCAACCTTTTCCACGGCATCCTGCACTTCCCGAGCAGTAGCTTCTGTCGATTGAGAGACCTGGCGGGAGCTGGAAGAGGTATTCGATCCTGAAGATATCGCAGAACGCGCGGCAGAGAGTTGGCTTTCAAGTTCAACAACCCGGCCTTCTAGCTGTTCTTTGCCTTTATCCGCTTCGTCAGCTCTTCGAGCTAAACGTTCGCGCTCGTGTTCGCCGTCAACTAGTTCAGACCGAACTGAACGTAAAACGCTTTCCATTTCGTTTCCTCGGCGGTCCCATTCAGCCTGCTCCATCTCCAGAGCTTCCCTGCGACCGGCCTCATTACGAACTTCCTCCAATGCTTCGCCGACACGCCGCTCGGCATCTGAGATAGCTGTCTTCAAACTGGCAACTTCAGCATCTTTGCCGCTCAGAGTAGCTTTCAGCGAGGAGATTTCTGACATGAATCCAGATTTGAGAGACTCCAGCTCTCGTGGGGTGATGCTCGGAAGGGAGCGGGGCGTCGGCGCTGGTGCCATTTCATAGTCCAGGTCCAGCAGTGAGGAGAATTTAGATGGAGATCGGATAGATTGTCGCATGGGCCTCATCGGCGAGCGTCGAGATGGGGAATAGCGACCACCTTGTTGTACGGACTGATGGGGAAAGAAGTTCACCGAATCGCCAAAATCAAGCAAATTGGGCGCTGCGCGGGAGTTCTCAAAATCGCGAGACGGCCGACGTCTGGGGGTGGGCGATCCAGCGGGGGATCCGGTATCAAGCAGAGCACTCGCCCTGTTGTAGGGTCGTCGAGCAGTACCGGGAGTAGAGGGTCCGGCACTCTGTCGATACATCTCGTTTCTCTGAGATTGAGTGTGTCCGATGCTGCCGCGCATCGACTTGAGAGGTGAATCGGCTCTTAGCTTTGCGAAGGAAGTCATGTCGGGCAGAACCGAGAAGTTACTCAAGCCGGTGTCATCCATAGAGTCGTGACAATCATCTCCCAGCGCGGAATTTTCGTCCGCACCAGCGTTTTCATCTTGGAGAAACGTTGACATGCCCTCGTTGCGTCTATCTTCCATCATGCTGTTTGCGATAGTAGACTGGTCTCGTGTAGCGCTTGTCATTGACAACAGACTCTCGTTATGAATGACGCTAGATTCTTCATCGAGATCAATGTGAATATCCGGTACCTCTGACCGGCTGACCATGCCCTTCTTGCATGACTCCTGGGCTTGCGCTTCTTCCTGGCCTCGCGGGGTCTCGTCGAAAGATCGCTTACGAGGAGTAGCTGCAAATGATTGTCGCCCTTCAAGGCCAAGCGAAGTACGGTGTAGTGAACGGCGCGACGAACGAAGCTTCTGCGCCTCAAGCGGCTCCTCGGGGGATCTTTGTTTAGACAGTGAGGAGCGTGCGGCGGCTGGAACTGGAGGGGAGTTCTCGACGCGTCCAATTGATTCGCGAGGGCGAGGAGCTTCGTGCAGCTCTTCCGAATCGGCAAGACCTTGATTTGAATCATCTTTCACATTGCGCCGGACTGGCGAGTGTTGCTTGATCTCCCCGATCGACTCTCGTAGCGATTCGCGAGAGCGCTCCTCGGGCTCGGCATCATTCTCCTGTGCATCATTCTGTGCATCCAACTGAACCGGAGAGTCATACGCATCAGCGGGAGTTGGAGAAGGTGATAGTGATTGTTGAACACGACCGATAGACCGGCGCGAATCCTGGTGAAGATCATATTCCCGCTCATCAAAATCAGCAACCTCAAACCCGTCTTCCTGCAAATCCGCTCTAAACGGCGAGCTCTCCGGTTGTAATTGTTCTCCAACGTCAGGCGAAAGACGCTGCATTTGACGCAATTTCTCAAAACCAACAGTTTCATCTCGCGCATCAGGTCGAAAAGGTGAACTAGCAGGATCTTCAACCGCAAATCTATTTTCCAGGCCTGGCGACAAGGGCTCAACGTCTCTCAATTGTCGGTAGTTAGCGTCAGCGTCAGCGCCAACCGTCTCATCCTCATATTCATCCCGCACATCAGGTCGGAACGGCGAGCTAGCCGGATCGTTAACGGCAAGTCTCTTGTCCAGACCCGGTGATAAAGGATGCTCTTCGCGTAGTTTTTGGAAGTCCACCGTTCCGTCTTCGTCTTCGTGATCGTTTTCGTCCTGCGCATCGGGTCGGAAGGGAGAACTCATTGGATCCTCCGGTTGCGCGAGGCCAAATCTATGCCGTGGCGTCGTTGCTGTTGCTGTCACTTGTTGCTGTTGATGTTGATATTCGCGTAACTTTTGAAAATCAACCGTGTCTTCGCGGGCATCAGGCCGGAAGGGCGAGCTAGCAGGTTCCAGCTCCGACTCCAGTTCCAGTTCCTGCTCTTGGAAGTCGTCGCGGTCATGGTAGTCATTATTCGCGTGAAAGTCGTCAGGGTGGAAGTTTTCTTCGTTCTCGCTCTCATTCGGGTAGGAGTAGTTTAGCTTTGGGTTTGGGCTTTGTGTGTTGCGATCGGTCCAGGTTTGTTTCAGTGGACTTGAAGGAATTGTAGCGTCCGGGGCCGGGGCCAAGGCCGAGGGTTCTGTGAGGAAAGGTGATGAGCCCATCTTGGGAGATGACCGGGCTCGTGAATTTTGGTAGGAGGGTGAAAGGGGTGATAGTGGATTTGACATGGTGCCGGTGGGCGTGTGTGTTGTGTTGTGCTGAGCGGAGCTTAGAGACGAAAGTCTGTTTCTGTTTCTGTTTGGGTCTGGACGGTTGGCGATTGTGGAGGGCGTTGCTAGGTAAACAACGCTAAGCCCGATTGGGAGGGGAAGTATAACGCCCGATTAGGAAGGACTGGGGGTCAACAGTGTACTTTAAGTACAGTGTTAAATCTAGTAATTGAGTTATTGAAAGCCAATTAGTACTATTACTCAAGGTAAGGTGGAATGATTTAATCATAACAAATACAAATTTCATTAAGTTGCTCAGAAACAAATGCCATGATGCGCTTGCGCTCGCTATCGCTGAAATGCCCATCGCTAATATGGCCAGTAAAAAAGCCAAACAGAGCATCAGCACGCTTAGAAAACAGATTGAATAAACCAGCAATTCTCCCCCTTCCTTTTTGCAACAAATTATGTATGTTCAGTGAATAGTATGATCAGTATCTAACTGATTCAGTTGAAAATCCCTACGCATCTTCCTGCGTAGCGGCATCAGCAGCGGCATCGGCATCGGCATCGGCATCGGCATCGGCATCGGCATCGACATCAGTCACAATAATGTGTACCGATTCCTTAGGCGGTTCCGGAATAGGAACATAATGACAAGGAGCCGCAGCCTCGACAGTCGCTGTCGAATTCTTCTTCTGCTGAATGAACGAAAGCTGAGCCGCTCCCAGAATAGCGACTAGGCTGCTTGCCCACCAAGCCACGCCCGTACACCCGAACCCCGCACCAGTGCTGTACAGATAACCAGCAATCGGGGGTGCAAGGGTACGGGCCGCCGCTCCGGCGGAGGCAGCTAGACCGTTGATCTTGCCTAGAACGGAGTCTGAGGGACTGGCTTGTTTGAGCAAGATCAGGAGCACGGGGTAGTCGATAATGGAGAGAATATTGCGGACAATCAAGCAAGAATAGACGCCCATAAAGGTGAGGTTTTGCGGAAGGAAGACCAGGAATGGAACGATGAGATAGGTAATCGGGTGCAAGATTGTCACGACGACGAACAGTTTCCATATACCCAGCCACCCAGCCAAAGCAGGGAAAACGAGACTTTGGATGACGAGTGCGATTATGCCGTCTGTCGACATTATCATGCCCACGGTGCGGGTTGAAAGACCAAGACCACCGGGAATGTTGAAGGGCGAGTGGGAAGAAATAGCCATTAATCCCTGGGGACCCTTATCTTGAAGGAAGATGGGTAAAAGATGGTCGTATGTCATTGAGTGGTAGGTGAAGATAGTCAGCGCAACTACGAGCATGATCACCCGCCAGGTAAATGCTTTCGGCTTCGGAGGCTTCTTCCAAGCGGGCACCGTGCCATCGGAGTGAACATTCCAGATCTCGTCTTCGTGCAGGTGGACTGCATTGAAGGTGCCGTATGATTCGGCTCGGAGGTCAACTCCCGCATTAGCGGTTGCGCCAGATGTGGCTAGCAGGGGCTGTTCGGCAGATGTGTGCTCGAAGAAACGGTGCGTGTTGCCGGGCTGCATGTCGGGATGGGTTTCTTGGAGGAATAGCCAACCACCAATGATGCTGAAAAATAGGAGAACGGAACAGACGAGGTTGGGTAGTAAGTATGGAAAACGGCCGAAGAGGCCGTCGGCGGGAAATACAGAGGGGAACCCATCTGCTGGTCTAGCAAGTAGACCTCCAATAGCTATGTAGACCAATTAGTATAATGCCCATCGTTTGTGTTTATGCATCAAGTGACTCGGATGTGACTCGGATATTCGCAACGTACCAGGTCCAAGGATAGTACCAATTGACCAAACAAATGGCATGACAGCATAAGCCCTAGCTATAAGATTGTCAGTATATTGCCCTGATAAACCCAGAGTCCTTCCCAGGGTCGGGTGGGGTCAAAACATACGCTCATGCTCAGGCCTTTTAACCAACTCGCCAACCATAGTCTGAATAACGCCAATATTCCCATTCAAAGCGCCACCAAAAGCGCGACCAGCGAGGGCAACCCAAAAGTTAGGCGCAAACCCGACCATGAGCAAAGAGAGCATCGTCCCAAAACAACCGGAAAGTAGAATCGGCTTCCGGCCCAGCCGGTCAGAGAGACTGCCCCAGAACATGCCAGTTAGGGCCTCGGCGAGCGAGAAGGCGGAAATCAGAATCCCCGCGTAGAGGGATGCTTCGGCGCCGCTGGCCATGTTGAAGTCTTTCACCATTACCCATGAGTAAGGGAAAATGGAGGTGAGGGCGATTGGTTCGGCTACGCGACATATTGCTGAGAAGAGGAGTGGGTTAGCTTTGCTTTGCAAGATATGGTGAAGGTGAAGAAGTAATGCGGGTGGCGACTCACAGAGAAGGAATAGTTGCGTGGTAGGGAAGCCATCGTGGGAGGAATGAGATCTTTTCTGTAGTGTTAATACCATCGTCCTGTAGAGACAATTTAGACCTTACGACAATCCGCCCCCGCAAAAGTAAAAGTCAAAGTCGAATCTGTCGGTCTAGGTGTTTCGCCAATTTCTGGCAGTGGTGCACGAGAGCAAAGCGGAGATGAGTGGAGCAGAGCAGAGCAGAACAGAACAACGATTGACGAATTGCTCCGTGCGAGTTATCGACGCGTTGTGCAACCAAGGAGATGTAAGGTGAATGCCAGTGGGAGGAGAAGGGAGTAGGTAGGTAGTAGGAAGTAGGTAGAAGAAGAAGAAGAACAAGAAGAGGGGTAGATAGGAAGGCGGACCCAAGTATAAATCTGTGGCGGGTTCTGTTACCCAACTTTGGTTTGGACCGGGAGCGGCGCTAAGGCCCTCTGATAAGGATGGCCGTGGCCCATGTCGCCGAGTCCGGTGAATATCCCTTGTTTAGGCTTAGATAGTTTCTATATGAGGGGGTGTTAACTAGTAGTAGTGTATACCCTAATACTGATCTGGCTATTCCGAGATTGATTAAACATGTCTGCCGATGCATTGTGCAGCGAAAAAAAAAATCTGCCATGTCATGTGGTACCTTGGATGGAAACTTCTAGTGGCGACTCAGGCACAAAAATGTTTAAGTTGCATCGAGCTCGGACCACCCGACTTATACTTCGGTGTTAGGCGCCCTCCGGAGATTTATGCATGCAATAATTATGGTCAAAATTCTAGTATTCTGCAATGTATATCCTCGGAGGAAAAGTAATTTATCACTCTAAATTTATTCTGAAAAAAAATGAAACAGTACGCACCACGCGATTGTTTTGAGCCGCTCCTCCCTCAAGGTTCTCCCACCTCCCCCTCTCCGCGCTTATCCACATTTGTACTTACTTAGCGGCCGTTGGTGGGTTTCTTATTCACCAATCATCCAATCACAACCTTGGGAACCTTGCGGGTTCCCGCAGAGGTGGAAAGAAATCACAAGATCAGTGTCGCTATAGGTTAGGCTAGAGAGCTAGCTCCAGATCCTGATTTTGCTTGTAGTGGCATGCAAGCACCCTTGGAAATGTATTCCCAGGACTTGATACCCAATGCTTCACATCAAATATAAAGGTACCACTACGGAGTAGAGTAGAGATAGAGTACAGATCAACAATTCAACCACGCGATTGAAGCTAATTAAATTCAAGTCCAAACCTGAAAGTATCAAATCAAAAGAAAAAAGTCTCTATAATGATTTCGGGGCTGAAAATTGGATGCTATGGATGACAGAATAGTCCCGACACACGAGCAGTCAATGGAATCACAAAAAAAAAAGATAAGAGGATAACCCCCTTCACTCCACTCCACTCCACACCCCGGACAGGCAAAACAAAATAAAAGTAAAAGAGAATGAAATGCTAGTGAACCACTACCAGTTCCAACTGCGCCAGCTAATCGATTTGATTCCATGCGACCCATTGTGTCACACAAACACAAACATACAACCAAGGGAAAATGGAAAGAGCGAGAATGTAAGAGAGAGAGAGAAAAAGGAGATGGTAAAATGATCGAGCACAACCACAATCACAACTTATGAAGTAGTCTCCGTGTTCGTGGGTGTGTTTGTAATTTCAACCGAGCGGGTCTCCAGCTCCTTGGGTGAAATATCTTTCGAGCCCTCTTTTTCGGTATCTTCGACATGAGGATTTGAAACAGCCGTCGGCTTAATCGGCTCAACATTTCCGGTATCGGATGAGGGTTGGTGTAACGAGGGACTCGCGCTCGAAGAGCCCTCTCCTTCTCCGCGATGGTGAGAAGTATCTTCCACATGCTCAGACTCATTACCCTTCTCCTCGTCGCCGATGACAGCGGCTAGACTGCGGAAGTTGAACATGGGCTCCAAAGACATGTTGCTACCGTCGGCAGTGTCGTGGCCAGGAGTCCGCTCTTCTGGAGTATTGTCAATGAGAGAGGAGGCTGAAGAGGCTGCGCTCGAAACGTGTCGGAGCTGGGACTGTTTGGATGGCTCGCCTGTGCCTAATAAATCGGTCGAAGGGGCTGTTGTATCTTGCTCGCCAGCTGCCGAGGTAGGTCCCCTTTCCACGCCTTTGCCCTTGCCGGTCGTGGCCGTGGATGGCTCTTCTCCAATTGACGAGGAGCTGCTGGCAACTCTTCCAAAGGAAGTCTCTCCAGCTCCGGGGACTTGCAATGCCGCGCTGCTGGCATTGGTGCTAGTATTATTGCTGTATAAGCCGGCCTTGCGAGCCACCTTATCAGCCTTCTTGGCCTCCTTCTCCCTCCTTTTGGCTTCCTTCCTCACCTCCTTCTCATCCCTTCTCCGTCGATCTTCTTCACTGGCTAGACTCAGCCGTATTGCCTCCATCATCATCATTTCTTCAAGATCATCGATTCGAGTGCGCCTTGAGCTGTCACGAGGGGGCGCAATATTCCCTGCCCCTGCCCCTTCCTCGGCGGAATCGGTATCGGGGGCGGTGCCGGGGGCGGGGGCGGGGGCGGGAGCTCGAGGTGTTCGGTCTTGCCGCTCAGTCAAAAACGCCAGCGCATTGAGAGCGGGGGATCCGGACCGGCCGGAGTCCCCATGGGTAGCTCTTCGAAGACCCCTTCGCCCTGAGACCAAGGCCACGGGAGTCGCTGCCAGAGCCAGAATTCATCAAATAGGCTGCAGTATGAAGTGCGGTTGCAGCCGCCGAACGACGTGCAGCATGTGCTCGAGCATTGGCCAACTTCTGGGCCCAATCTGGACGGATTCTATCCGTTGTGACTACAGTGGGATCCGTAGCGGATAATGAAGTCGCACGGCGGCGACCAGGTATTGGCGCAAGGGTCGCAGAGGCGAGAGACGAGGTGGAGGATACTGGAGAGGTGATATTGGGAGAAGGGCGGGCACTGGCGTCAGCTACGTAGGTCAGACCTCGCCGGAATGTAGGCGAAGGGTAGGTCACTCCAAATTCAGGCTGGACACAGAAGGGGCAGGCAGAGGGTTCAGAGACAAGTTGGCCTTCTTCTTGCTCGGTTCTTTCGCCGCCATTGGCTGCGTCTGGGGCGTTCGAGTCAGGCTCTCCATGCTCCGGGGTATGAGGGTCCGGCCGCTTAATTTGAACAAAACATTCGGAACAAATGGGTTGGTCGCAGCATCGGGTGCGGTTTAGATAAGGTGGGTAATACAAAAAGCAGATCGGACATTCGCTTGCGTCCTTGTATAGGTTGACTTCGATTGGCTGGCCATTGACGAAAGGGTCTCGTGGAAGTTGTAGTTCCCGGGGGGTGAGATCGGTCTGCGAGCCATGTTTCGATGTGGTGAGAGCTGCTAGAGTCTTTGCGCGTGTGCGGAAGAGAGGTGATGCTGATGTTCCTGATGCAATCGGAGATACCGCCGACGGTAACGATTGGGCGGGATTCGAAGCTTGGGATATATCGGAATTGTCGGACTGCGAGCGGGATGTGATGGGAACAGTGAGATGTTGGATGCTAGCCATATCAACTGGTTCTTTCCTCTCAACCGCCTTGGGAGGTGTATATTCTAGCTCGGGCGGAATTTCATCCGCTAGAGGGATAGACATCCCCCGAGCTGCGGCCATTAGCTGATGCTCGGCCCATGACTCGGAGAAGTCATTCAAGCCTCTCCAGAAAGGAGCGAGTCGGCGCTCAATCTAAGACCGGGATTGTCAGAATCGCAATGCTCATGCATAGGAACTGCGGGAGTTCCCCGGAAGCTCACCATCAACTGTCGAACCACTGCCTTGTTGAAGTCCTCGGTTCCCACGTAGACACCCTGTGTGACTAGATATCCGCCATCGACATGCTCGTCTCTCATGCTGCGTTCCCTTTCTTTGACACGAGCCACGCGCTCCTTCTCCAAGCGACGTGCTTCACGCTCCTGTTTGGTCTCTCGTCGATGCTCGAGGGTCGCCACTTCACGATCATGGCTGCTACTGCCGATACCAAGCAGGGACAAGTCAGGCCGACTGCTTCTGCCCGACCGAGGTCCCTGGTATGGAGCACGGCCGGGAGTATCGGAAGTGCCCGATGACCATTGTTGGCTCCGATGGCGCGGTGTGGAGGATCGCGACTCCTTGGTTTGGGAATTCCCCATGGCGATATGGAATGGTTGATGGAAGGAGGGGTTGAGCCGATGTTAGGTCCCAGAGCACACGCGGCGGCGTAACTCCGATCGGAGCGGAGAGGAAAGGGCCCCCAAGGGGGAGGGTCAAGGTGGGTACTCTATTATTGGGGAGGGGAGGGGGCGGGGATGTTGATCAGGCTAAAGAGAAACACCGCACGAATGCAGGGGAAAACATCGGATAGGTTGGGGGGGGAGGGGTGGAGGAAAGAGGGTTTGGAAGCGGGGGAGGATGGGATCTGGGGAATGGTGAGAGAGGGAGAGAGAAGGATAACGGGAATGGGAATGGGGATGGGGATGAACTAAATCGGGTACGTAAAAGGAAAAGAGACCAGATCTGCCAGGATCGGAAGTGGCGGATACTCGTAACTGGAGCGTGTCTCTGACCTCTGACCTTTGACCCTTTGCTAGTGTTCTCTGGTCTCGAGCAACTGGGGCACTATCAGTGTGGCACTGCCCCTACATTTACTCGTACAGAAAAGAAATCAAAGACAATAAGGCTGGTCTGGCCCTGTACTCATTTAGTGTTGTCGTGTGCTGGTCTCTCGTCATCACCAGATCATTTACTCGATTACATCAGCCCAGACCTCATGAACTACTGCAGCTATCTACAGTAGTACCTACCTCTCTAGGTAGGTAGGTACTTAGGTTTGTAAAATTATGCGTGACCTGCATTGTTGTCGATCTAACGACAGAAGCTATTGTGGCACCCTGGAGGAGAGAGTACGTGTAATCAAGGTATCATGTACTCCGTACCGACGACGGAAATGAATGACTGGGGCCGGGGCAGTTCCTTAGTATCGGGTACATCTGCGCTAATCTGTGTATGGTAGAGTGTATGCTGACTACCGCTAAACTCCGTTGGGAAACTGCAGTTGACCGTACCTCCCGTGACTCCCGTGACTCCCGTTGGTGGTCCATTCAGGCAGGCGGTGGCAGTACTTCTCCTCTGCGGAGATCCCAAGAAAAAAAAAATGCCTACAATATAGACCATGTGCTACAAACAGTCGGATCTCCCCCTTCCATAAGATCCGGGAGATTTGAATTCTCTCTGCGATGGTCGAGCCAACTCCAACAACAAGACTACACATCACCCCTCTCAATCCCGAAATCCTCCCCTCGGTCCTACCCCCATCAGTCCAACCCTCGGCCACCGACATTTCCTTTCACCACATTCCCACATTCCCGAAAACGACTACGGATATATCACCTTGCCAACCATGGAAGCCGAAAAGATCCAAAAGAAGCTGAACGGCAAGATCCTCAAAGGCAAAAAATTCAAAATCGAGACGGCCCGTCCATCCAAAAGACAAAGAAACGAGGACAGGGACGAAGCCGACGCACCTGCGGAGAAGAAAAAATCAAAGAAATCCGAACCCGAGGATGGCGTTATCGAGGGCTATGAACTGGCCCCAGGCCGTAAAGTGAAGCGAGGCTGGACGGAATCTTCTAAAAAGGAAAAACATAGATCGTCCGACAAGAAGGGAAGCAAGGATGACAAGAAGGAAAAACCCCAGCCCAAGTCCAAATATACCGACAAGTCGGAGCTTCTGTTTCGAACAACCCTTCCGCCAAACCGAGTTGCCAACGAAACCGACGACAAAAAGGCCAAGAAGAAGAAGTCCTCGTCGCGGGAAACCGTTGTCCATGAGTTTGAAAAGACATATACGCAGCCGAGTTTCTTGCGGTCGATTGGAGAAGAGACCAAGCCTTCGACATCATTCGATGAAGAGAAGGGCTGGGTGGATGCTTCGGGGGATGTGAAGGAATCTGCGAGCAAAAAGAGCCGGAAGGACAATTATCGACCGGGTCAAATTGCTGGAACTAAGGAGAAAGCACCGGCTAAGAAGTCTAAAAAGAGCAAACCTGAAAGCAGCTCACCTGCACCAATTGAAGCTGAAGATTGGACTTCTTCCAGTGGCTCATCTGATGAGGGCTCTGATTCCGAAAGCGAAAGCGAAAGCGAAGGCGAAGACGAAGGCGAAGACGAAGGCGAAGACGAAAGCGATAACGACTCTTCTGATGATTCGTCCGATGATTCATCGAACGATTCCATCGTAGAGGCCTCCAAGGACCAAGAACCCGCAAAGGAGACAAAATCCTCCAAGGCCACGCCACCCACCTCAGACGATTCAGACTCGGAACCCAAATCGGCGGCGAAGTCGGAGTCGAAGTCGAAACCCTCAAGCAAAGAGGAGGGTGTCGTGGAGGATCCTACACCTACTGAAGTCCACCCTCTGGAGGCTCTCTTCAAGCGAGCCGCTCCAACTGATTCCGAGGATAAGCCCGCCGAGGACACGAATGCTGGCTTCAGCTTTTTCGGCGGCGGTGATATCGAGTCCGAGGACGAGGCCCAAGCTACCGAACCTCAGACACCATTCACGCCATTCACCAAACGAGACCTTCAAGACCGTGGTTTGCGAAGCGCAGCTCCGACCCCCGACACAAGTCTGATCAATCGGCGCATGAATTGGGAAGATGAGGAAGATGACGAGATGGAAGACGACGCCGCCGTCGATACTCCCGTTTCCAAATCCCGAAGCACGAAGCTGGACACTAAGGATGAAACAGAGTTCACGAAGTGGTTTTGGGAGAATCGTGGTGATAACAATCGTGCTTGGAAGAAGAGGCGGCGCGATGCTGCCAAGGAACAGAGACAGAGAGAGAACCGGAAGAAGGGCATGAAGGGCAAGTCTTGATGTTGGTGATTTATAAAGCAAAAGCAAAAGCAAAAGCATTTCCGGAGCGATTGCTGCGTTGTATATTGCATAGAGCATAATCTATATAATGGTACCATACCTAGTTATATGATAAGATTCAAGTTGATATAGACTCAGGCTGTCAATTACTATAATCTAAATGTAGACATGTTTTTAATAGAGGAGCCGTATACTTCGAAGCGGAGCTGACTTGGTCGATCATCAGTAAGTCACGTGTTGGCCGATAGCTGCGATAGCCACGCAATGGGATGGAGCCCGGAGACCGATCAAAAGCTGGCGTCATCTCAAACCACAGCCGCGATGCAGCCCCTACGGAATGCGCAAAGTGGCAGAATGCACTGGCTGCTTCTGCTTCTTGCGCTTCTCTCCTTCACATCTTTAACAGCAGCATCCAGTAAGTCCGAGGCATGGATGGGGAACCGCGGCGCGGAGACTCACGACTCGCGACCCTACCTCTTGAGGAACTTCCTCCAGCGATGTATTGAACAGAAAAATACAGTACAGTACTAATATGATACTTTGCTTTACTTGTCTAGCACCAACATCATTCTGCAAATGCACATGTTTCTCCAATAGCACGATCATCCCCCTCGACCCCGCGAAATCCGGCTCCGATCCTCTCGACAGCGTGGTGAACCTGTACCATCGTGCATTTGACCACGCACTCACCGACAGCGACAGCTCCGAGTCCGGGCCCGAGCAACAAGCAGCTCCCCAGACCGGCGATCGCGATCTATCCAAGCGCGCCAACAGATACCGCCAACTCAACTGCAACGACTGCAATCGCAAATTCTGCCTCGACTATGAATTGCCGACGTGTAAGGGTGCCAAGGAGGATGATGTTGTTACTACTTGTTTCCGTGAGTGATTGATCTACCCGCGACAAGCGAAGCCCAATTGTATCGCATCGCAGTCCTGCCTACGAATACCGTTATTTGCCTTTTGGAGTGAACGGAGTACTCCGTACGTCACACCGGGCTGTTTTGTTGGAGGATCGGCAGATGTTGAGATGCGATGCGATGCGATGGACCACGAATACGAACCTGAAGCGAACTGGAACTAGTTGACTAACTATTGAATCCATCTTGTACTATAGAGCGTGATTCACGAAAAGACGAAACGGTTGTTTTTATTTTTATTTTTGCGACTGGTGGATTGCTCGCCTGGGCGCTTTGCAAGCCTTGGATTGAGCGATATCTCGAGGTAAGAACAGTCCCACGGGTGAACGGTTGCCTTCTGATCTGCGCCGGTGTGACTAACGGTGTGGGATGTGTAGGCAGCACGAGAACGCCGATCGTATATGCCTGTTAGTGAAGATAGATAGGTTGTTGAATGAAGGTCATTGTGTATATCAGTAGAGTATCTGTACTCTAGAGTAGAGTGTAATTGTTCAAGGTTCTCTGTAATCCAGGGACTTGTACTCCGTACTGTGTAGAAGCTCAAGGGTAAACCTTAGAGAAATGACGAAATCAGACATGATATCCTCGGCCAAGTCCGTGCTAGGAAGCAGATCTCCAATGAGATTGTCGTCATTGGGCACCTGTGGAATGCGGGAGGTTAAAGCGAATGAAGTCCCGAGTTGCCCCCATTGGTAGTGTATGTACCAATGGTTTCAGGGGGAGGACGCCCATCCACCGATCTATTTACACTAGCGCTCCTCCCAAGCCAATTTTCTGATGGGTCCAATCGCCCCCACTGCGCCTTGAAGATATGAAACACGATGAAATAAATGAAGAGCCATTAACACAGAGTGGGTGGTGAGTGACCCCACCACAATCGTATCAATCAAATTGCCCATTCCGGCCGCAATGGCTGATCGCGGCCACGGATGAGAAGGCAGATTCCATGTCAGATTCCATGTCTGGGATCGGCTAATTTGCATGAATGCATCATTGGGTATGGGACAAAGTACGTACGAGTACGGACTGTACGATAGCATTCGGTCGTTGTTGGTCGCTGTCGGTCCCTGATGAGACTAAAAGAAGTTTGGATCGAAGAGTGGGTTCGTTGGTTCAGGCACTGCGAACGAAAACTTGCTGCGTTCCCCCGAATTAAGATTACACCGGAGGGAGAAGAGGAGGGGGCTCATTTCAAGTTTTTTCTCTTTTTCTTCTCGCTGTTTTCTCCTTTCTATTCTTTCTATTCTTTCTCGTATCTCATCTGACCTCTCACAAATCTATTCGCATCCTTCAAGCCCCGATCGTGATCGTCCTCTTATCTCTCAGTGGCGCCCGCGATAACCTCAGCTAGGGTACTCTAGGTAATCTAGGTACCTCATTTAACCCACCGGTCTGCGCTCTCTTGATCAATTGGCTATTTGCGCCGCTCACAATGGCCATCTTCGACTCCGAAAAACGCCCCCGCGGTCTGCGCGTCCCATCCCTCACGGCTATGAAAGCCGGGACTGCCGCCTCAGTATCGCAATTTTCTTTCCACAGAACAAAGTCCAACGAAGCGCAAACTCCGGAAGAGAAACCCGCTCCTCCCCTGCCAGTGCCCTCCTCTACTGGCTTCCCTGCACCTGCTCCTCCTCCAACAAAGCAACTACCACCACCTCCCCAGGGTAGTTCCGGTCCTAAGAAGGAGCTCCCTCCACGGCCGCGCATCACTTCCAAAGTCCCTCCGCGCCGGGCTGTCGGAAGCACCAAAGGTCGTCCTAGTGAGACTTCTCCTACCTCTGCCACATCTCAGGGTCAAGGTCAAGGAATTCGACAGGCGTCGTCTCCTATCATTTCATCTTCCCCGCCAAATAAAGAACAGCCGTTGCCGCCGACTCCGTCTCTAGGTCTGCGCCAAGCTGCTCCTGCTCCTAGTCCAGCTCCGACTTCACCCCAACCAGAGCAGGAAGCTGCATCGCCTGCTACTATCAAGGCTTCCAATCAGGGTCTCCGACACACGGAGCCTTCTCCTTCTACTGTCACACCTACCTCGCCCCAGCTGTCCAAGCCGCTGCCTGCACCAGTACAGCAAGTACAGCAACCACTCCCACCAACACCCCCAGTCGGACCTCAAAGCACAGGGTCTCCAGAACCGACTGCTCCAGCTCCAGCTACAGCTCCAACTCAATCCCACCAACCACCAGTCCAGCAAAACCTCCCACCAACCCCACCACCCGTCACCCTCTCCCCACCCCCAACAGACACAGCATACGCAGACGAAGAAACCGACGCCCTAACACCACTGGAAGACTTCATCCCAACCCCAGATGGCTCAAGCACCCCATTAGACCTAGAGCAAATGTCCAGCAACGAAGCAGCCCCGCCAGGCCCGGGTCCAGGTCCAGCCCACCCACCAACTTTGCACGATATTGTCGATATCCCCGCCCCACCACTGAATAAAGTCCACCACGCCTGTTTCCAGGAACATCGGAATATGCCGATTGCGCAGAATGTGTGGTGCCCTGTTCCATGCATGACGTGTCATAAGAAAGATCAGGAGATTCGGCATCGATGTGTGTTTTGTTCGTTACGGGTTTGTGAGGGGTGTTTCCGCTCGTTGCAGAAGATTAAGGGGAGGGGATTAGGGGGGGTTTTTGAAGACGCTTGAGCAATGATCTTTGCCCGTGGAATGTTTTACCGCTGAGCTTAAGGTGCTTTTCTTTCTGTTTTACACATGTTAGTGGTTGGCGCTGTGTGCGGAGTGAAATGAGACTATCGACAGGTCCGATTTGACTCGGGCGTGTTGAGATTGGTCTGTTTGTATACTAGCGGTGGTGGACTGGACTTTGTTTTACATTTCTTTTGTTTTTGTTTTTGTTGTTGTTTTTGTTTTGTTTTGTTTTCTGTTTTATGATACCAAGGAACAAGTTTTGTGTATACTAGGATTAACCATGGAGGATCAGGTGGGAGTCGGGCATATTGATAATCAGTTTATGTTATGTCTCTGCGGAAAGCAAATGGATATCTTGAGACTTGTATATTCAGTTTATCATTTGATTTTGTGTCGTCGTGGTAGGGTTTGTAGAAGATAAAAGAAAACTCGTAAAGCGTACAGTCCCGGCCTCCTCTCCTCTGCGCATGGTCATGTTATTATCTATTCATCATAGACATCTTCGTCATGCCTCGTCAGCTTGGGGGACAATAGGCACGAGAGAGGTGTGCATGACGAAAAGACAGCTCCATGTCTCCATACGTAGGAGAGAAACTAAGCCGGGATAAGACAAGATGAGAGGAGACGTTGACCTCAGCGGTATATGCAAAGAATCACGTCGAGTAAACAGTGCGTACTAGATTAGATGCACTAGACTCAACTCAATCATGATCCTCCTCCGTAAGACCGGGACACCCCTCCAACTCATCATCCCGCTCATACCGATACTTACACCAAAAGCAATACCGATACGTTTCCCGCAGGTACAGCACTAACTTATGCAATCTCTCCGAGGCCGGCAGTTCATTAAACGCCTCCAATTCCGGATCTTCCTCTTCAAGCTCCTGCTCAACTGCGGCGGTATAAGGGTCGAAATCGAGTCCGAGCCGTGTGCCAAGAGCCTGTTCGTCTTCTGGCTCTCGCTCTAGTTCTGATTCTGAGAAGGTGGGAAGCCGTTGTTTTGGGAAGAATGATGATGGGAGGGAAGTGTGGAGCGCGTGACGGGCTTGTTTGTCTCGCTCGTGGTTCTCTCGTTCCCGCACGAGACCGCGATATAGGACGTTGATCTGGGCGGTTGGTTTGTGTTGGTGTTTGGGTTTTTGTATTTTGGGCCCGGTACTTGGCGGGTGATCGGCGTTGGGGTTGGGGTTGGTTTTAGCGTCGTTATCAGTCACACCACCATCCTGGTCGTTTGCCTTGGACTGCGTCTGTGTGTCTGAGTCCCGCGATGACGATGCAGATGCAGATGCAGATGCAGCAGTAGTGCCAGTGCCAGTGTTATTCTCCTCCTCAGTATCCAGCCTCTCAGCAACTTTCTGCGCCGCTCGAACTTGCGCCTCAGTACGCTTCAATTCTCGCTCCTCCCGGACCCGATCGCGATAGTCGCCTTCATCGCGTTTGATTTTTTTCGTAGCTTCTTCGGCCTGTTCCCGGATTTTGCGCTTCTTTTTCTCATCCATTCCGATTCCGCCGCGGTCTTCTTTGAAAATAAGATTCAGGGGCTCGGATCGGGTGGCTGAGTTCTTGGTGTGCTTGTCCTTGTCCTTGTTGTCCTCGTCATCTTTGTTCTCGTCACCTGCCGCCTCGTTGTTGTCGCGTTTGCCAAGGGATTGTCCCGGTTTGAAGCCTAGCTTCGCCATCATTTTGAATCCCTTATTCGTTGGGTCTAAGGTGCTTTTTGATAGAGCTTCTTCGCGGCGCGCAGCTTCTTCGGCTGCTCGTTCGGCTTTGGAGGGGACTTTTCCCCGGGCCTCTGCCTAGATTGAGTGAAGGTGACGAGGTCAGCGGAGATCATCATGCGGGCGCGACCAGGGGAGGGGAGGGGGGACAAGAGCTACTACTCACCTCACGTTGTTCCCGACGCTTCCGTTGGGTAAAGGTTTCCTTAAACTTCGGCTCTTCGATCACCATGGACATGTAATCGTCCTCTTCCCCCTCATCGGTATCTCCATGATTGGGCGACATGGTTGTAAGATGCAAGTTGCCGTAAATGAGAAACGCAGATTGGGTCGGAACTTTTTGCGGGGAACAAATTAAGGTGGGCCCGAGCTGAAGCTGCTGTGGACTGCTGTGGTGTGGTTAGTACCACCGACTACAGCTGACTTCCCGCTTCTTTGCTTGTTTTCTCCTCCTCCGGCCATTCCCCCTGCACTCCCCCTGCACGCAAGGGGAGAGAATCCGGGAATTTCATTTGTCTCTGGGTATTGGCATTGGTGTTGGCGTTGGCCCTTGCCCAGTCAAGATGGTCGCTCCTTTGTTCCGCGAGGCCTGGGCTCTCGTTCTCACCCTGCTTCGCGCCCTGTCTGGTGATTTCGATTCCGGCTTTTCTTCTACTCTCCGTTCTTCCTTTATTACCTGGCTATGCTGCCGTTTTCAATCTCTCAAAACTGCAATTGACTTCGTCATGGAGCTCTTCTACCTCTTCTTTTGTCTGTCTTTGACTGTCGCACAATCCCCCGTCGTCAACCTAGACTATGCCAGCTACCGAGGACGCTCCTTGCCAAACGGAGTTTCCCAGTGGCTAGGAATGCGCTTCGCCGCTCCTCCCATTGGGGATTTGCGCTTTGCTGCTCCTGAAGATCCGACGACTCAGCAAGGGGTTCAGGACGCAACCAACGTATGTTCTATTCTATGTTTTGACGACACAGTCTATAGAATCAAACAACTCTTTATACTGACCCACGCTGACCTTGTTGTTGCTTCCAGCATGGATTCCTCTGTATCCCCGTCGCAGGCAGTCTGAATACCCCGATTGCAAGGCAGAGATCCGAAGATTGTCTCTTTTTAGATGTTTATGCGCCCACAAAGTCAATCGGGGCAAACACCAACAAACTGCCCGTATACTTCTTCATTCAAGGTGGAGGATTTGCCGACCTCTCCAATGCAAACTATAATGGATCGGGCTTGGTTCAAGCCTCCGGTCGAAACATGATTGTGGTCACATTCAATTATCGCGTGGGTCCTTACGGCTTTCTCGCTGGTGATGAAGTGGAGAGCGGAGGTAGTCTCAACAATGGTCTGAAAGATCAGATTAAAGCTCTGCGGTGGGTGAAGAAGTATATCAGCAATGTAAGATCGACAGCACAGCCTTCTGACAGTCTTCCACGCTTGCATACTTCATTTTACTAACTTGACTCAATCAGTTCGGAGGAGATCCAAACCGCATCGTCATCGGCGGCGACAGTGCTGGCGGCGCATCCGTAACCCTCCTCCTATCCGCCTACGGCGGTCGAAACGAAGGCCTCTTCATCGGCGCAGCAGCCGAATCCCAAAGTTTCGGAACAATGCTCAACGTCCCCGAAAGCCAATTCGCCTACGACAACCTAGTAACCCGAACAGGGTGTACCGACACAGACGACACCCTCGCCTGCCTCCGCAGTCTAGACATAACGACTCTACAAAATCAAAACATCGGCACCCCACTACCCGGCGGCAAAAATAAACCCTTATATCTCTACAGTCCAACCATAGACGGCGACCTAGTCCAAGACCACACACTCACTCTCTTCCGCAAAGGGAAATTCATCAAAGTCCCCGTTATTTTCGGCGACGACACGAACGAAGGAACCATCTTTGTTCCGAAGAGTACTTCTTCCCTCGCCGCGGCGGATACATTCATCAAGGACCAATTTCCTAGTATATCCGCGGCCCAAATGTCCAGGGTGAATAGTATATACCTCACACCCAACCAAACAAAGATCTACCCCGGTTCATCCGCCTACTGGCCTCCCACATCCACCGCCTACGGAGAAATCCGCTACATATGCCCCGGCATCGAGATGAGTTCCATCTACGCAGCCGCAGGCGTGCCCAGCTGGAACTACCACTTCGCCGTACAAGACCCGCACTTCGAGTCCATTGGTGAAGGAACAACACATACCGTCGAGGTAAATGCGATCTGGGGACCCGATTATGTGAGTGGTGTTCCGCCGGATTCGTATTATACGACCAATGCGCCCATTGTGCCGCTTATGCAGGGCTATTGGACGAGTTTTGTGCGCGATTTGAATCCGAATACGTACCGGGCGCAGGGGAGTCCCGAGTGGGGGACGTGGGGGGAATTATAAGAGGATTTTTATTAGGACTAATCAGACAGTTATGGAGAGTGTTCCCCAAGCGCAGAGGGAGAGGTGTAGTTATTTGGCTAGTATTGGGGTGGATTTGAGGCAGTGATTTGAGGGCCCTTGGGCTGTGGGTGGATCGTTGATCTCAGTGTTCAATATTATATACGATTGTGCATATCTTAGTCAGATACCCTTGTTAGCAGAAGTTCTGCTGGGTTATGAGAAATACATTGACTGGTTTTATATAAACTAGAAGTGGAGTTTATCAATATTTGCAAAAGACTCGGAAGGGGTTTTGAAGAGCATGCTACTACTAGTAGAAGCAAACATACCACAAGGGAGGAAGACCACGGTATACTAGTAAATACCGCGAGCATCTAAGGCTAGAGCGTGATATTGATGGATGGTTCATTTAACACTAAATAGCTATAGCACTAGCATATAGTTATTAAACACCGTAGGAATACTGTATCTTGATTAAATATGGTCGTGAACGGCATAATAGTCTCTCTCCACTTTCTCCCAGTGGGATTTCCCACGGCTTAGCCAGCAACAGCAAAGCATTCATTCCAAGTGTGGTCAAAGTGCCAAACTCGTGTCCTAGACGTGTTCGAACGATCCCTGGGAAGGAATGGATGAAAGCTGAAAGCGGGAATGAGGCGGCGAGGTGTTCCATCGAGAGAGAATTCATGGTGATCGCATGTTTCGCACAATTGTGTAGTGAATAATGGGATTTCAGAGAAAGATTCTCGAGATTTATCGTGGACTCGCCGCCTGCTTCCAGCACCGAGATCACACGAGAGAGACGTGAACTTGAACGAACTGCTTCCTCACCTTCTTCTTCTTCTTCTTCTTCTTCTTCTCCTCCTCCTGCATTCGCATTTGCCAACTGTGGCTGGAGATTGGCGACAAACCTCATTCGGGAATAGTAATGAAGGCTCAACTTTTTGTCCAGTTCTTCGTCCGTTTCTACCGTGAATTATATTTTAGTACCACAACGAAACGAAGTCATTTTGATGCGTTGAGTCTCACCATCTCGCCCTGCAGCCGTCCCCACTCCCGGGCTTAGAAACAAGATATTCACCGAACTTTCCTGCCGCTGAATCGCATGGCAAGCGTTGTCTACCTCCCGTATTAGCGAGACAATCAGTTGCGATAAAATTCACTGTGGTTGCTGGAGTTCGTCGATGATTCGCGATGCCCTGCCAATTGTTGTCCTGTTCATCCCTTTCATCTGCCTATCCAGGCTGCATCTACTTCTCGCCGTATCATCATGCCCTGGGTCAAAGTCTCCGAATCCCGATGGGATCGCCCAGCAAATGGGATGGAGAGTTATTTTATCTCCATAGAAAATCTCACAGCCTCGCCTTTTGAAGGTCGTCATCAATACACGATCAATTCCCGGTTGAAGGTTGACTACGATCTTTCGCCATCCGAGAAGGAGAAGACATTGCGACATGCTTGGAAGCAGCTTAGATATCTGCAACCGCAGATCGCAGCAACAGTTGAGGGTGTGAAAAAGGTCTATGAGATTCCCGACGATTTGGCTTTAGAAAGCTGGCTCGAGAGAATATTTATCATTTCCAATGCCAGTGATGCTGAAGAGTTGAGTCGCGATGTGTCTCCTATTCTCCAGGCAACTCTCTACTATCTGCCCCGATCATCTAAGCTCGTAATTCGAGCTCCTCATTCACTCATTGAGGCCGTGGGGATGATAATGTTGTGGTATAGTTACCTCACTGTCCTGACTTCTCCTCGCGTAATAACATTTGGCGACCAAGTGACTCGCCCTGCCCGACTTGCTGGAGACCTTACTTGGTCACCCCGAGCCGCCTCGGGCAGATATTATGGCCAAGGCACAGGAAATAATCAATACTTTCGTCACAACGCCGGGTATTGGGCCTAAGAATGAGGTGGGTAAGGTGGCACCCGGCCCTACCCAAAGACGCGAGCTGGCATTCTCTGTGGACACCACGCAAGCTATCATAGCCTGCAAGAACAATGGGTATAGTGTTACTGCTGCCGTCCATGCAGCCTTTATTCGAACCCTCGTGAAACAGGCATATCCTGCTGGCGATCAGGCCAAATATGCCACTGCAACCAATTACAGCCTCCGCGATCTTCTACCCGAACCTTACAACTCAACCGACTATGCTGCCGCCTTGTTTTACACGCCTTGTGCCTTCAGCCTTGATTCGCCAGAAACTTTCAGTGAGACAGTTCGAGCGCTTGATATTGCCTATAAAACGACCTTCCGCGGGAATCCCGAGAACGTGGAATTGAGTGGTTCTGTAACTCGGGCCCTGTATGAAAAAATGCAGGACCCAGAAGTTCTTGCAGGCCCGGTTCCTCGCGATGCTCTGGTCAGCAGTCTGGGGGGTGTTGAGCGTCATCTACAGCACTCATATGGTGCTGGTGATGGCAGTGTTGTTGTCCGTGATTTCAAGTTCGGCATCGAGGTCGTTGTGGGCTATAGCATGTTTTTCTTCTATACCTTCCGGGACCAGCTGCGATTAATTTATAGCTTCAATGAGGCATCTGAGGACCCTGACAATATTCAAACTTATCTTGAGGATATGCGAAACATATTGCAAGATGAGTTACGGGTGCAATAGGGTCAATCTTACCCGGTACACAACCAAGCACACTCAATCCACCGCCAAATGAGAGCTCGGTTATGAAGAAATAATATTGATTTTATCAGAAGTTCTATGGCTTTGGAGCTCTCTTGGTGGAGTGTTGTCGATGTATTCCCTCTATATGTTATTATAAACGTGCAAAACTCTCTATCGAATAGAACTCGAAGTCCTCATTTGGTCAATTTTACTTTATTTATTGATCATGATTCCATCCGACCAGTAATCCGGATTTTTAATCCTCGAGGCTTGATTGCTGTTCGGAAATTATTTAAATATTAGTTAATAGCGGGAGTGGAACCAAAATGAGATGAACTGATGTGAGTGAAGGGCAAAAGCTCTTGGGGCAATGTCTAGCACCAAATACTATCAAAGGACAAACAGGCCACAAAGGCACAAAGCAGCGGTGTGGACTGACTCAGCCGCAGGCATGAGGCCCCAGGGCCTCAGTACTAGTCGCATCATACGAAAGTCCAGTTCCTAGCATTATACAGATTAAATTAAATTTCACAGAGGAGAGATGCTCTCGCTCTTCAGAGGTGGCAGAGAGTAGTAGTCTCTGCACTATTCTACCCACAAGCATCGCCAAGCCATCCGTCAGTGCTTGACTTGAATGGTCAAAAGGTTGAACATAGCTCCAATCCTGCCATATCAAAATCAATTCTAAGAACAAAACCCAATATTAGTTAAATATTGTGCCCTGTAGAAAGTCGCGTTGTTCACAATGCACAGTCTCGGGTTCATTAGGCAGCACTCAATTCAAGATATAACTTTTCAAATAAATCCAGTATCTCGTACATACGAATCTTATGATTACCTCATAAAAAGGCCAATGTTACAGCCGGAGTTATGCCACGATTAGATAAATCGTAATTAGTTGGAATGACGACATAGTGGATGTATGTTTAGCACTACTGCACCAAATTTATGATGTACAAGTGGTTCGTTCGGCAACCAATATGCAGAAGTATGATATGTAGCATTGAATTGTCATCGGGTATGCGTTGACATGCGTTATAGCTAGTAATCTATTATGCAAAACGAATCTGAGATGCGTCGGTAGTTGCCTATCGGAAGATGCGGGGAATCCCACCCCAATTTGAAGTTTGACCTCTCTACTTCATACATCCACTCTACTCGGTACTCCGAATCATCTGCCTCCAGATCACAAACTACAACCCAACTGAATTCTGCACAGTTTAGGTTGCCTCTTTACAAGTCCATTGAAGCTATCGACTTTCCCTCACCAGGCTATTCCCTGGTTTTTGAGCATCCCTGAACGCACCCCACCCAGACCAACCAGTTAGCCAGTCCGCCTCATGCATCAATTAGCGCTGCCGATCCTTCCCCTCTCTCAATAATGGATCGGGGCAATCAAAACTCTTGATCCTCTGCAGTGCCTCCTGGAGCCTTGCCAAGTCTCTCCAGGCTGTCATGATTGATTCAAGTTGGGACCCTCGTATGAAGGATGTGACCCTGGCCCGGAGCTCCTGCGGAGATGGCTGGTGTCCCCACGATATGCAGCCGTTGAGCCTGTCTACAAGCGTTCTCGTTGGCTCATGCTCCTCGACTCCCCTTATCCTCCTTCTGCTTCAGGAGAATTTATGACTGGCGATCACGACTCTTCCCGGGGCGGCTATCTCCGGTATTATCCTAGTCCTGGCTCTCTGACTGGATATGCCGTGCCATGGCATACGATCCAAACAATGTAGCCTGAGCGAGCTGTCCCCTCATTTGGGGTAGATCCTTTAAGTAGCAGTCGGCAGCCCCTGGCCCACAAACAAAACGTCTTCTTCCACTTTCGACGCTGCTCTTCACTTCTTCATTGTAACGTGGAGACAGAGATACAGACACACCATGCGCATCAACACGTGGATCCCGTTCCTGGTGCCCGTCGCGGCCGCCAGCTTCATCCCCTTTGGCACCGAGTTTGCTCGTCGACAACTTCCCAACGAGCCTACGGGTGTGAAGACAATTAAAACGGCCAACAATGTCACGATTCGCTACAAGGAACCCGGGAAGGAAGGTGTTTGTGAAACAACGCCGGGTGTGAAATCATATGCAGGTTATGTGGACTTGTCGCCCACAGAACATACATTCTTCTGGTTCTTCGAGGCGCGCCACGATCCGGAAAATGCGCCAATCACGCTGTGGCTTAATGGTGGCCCGGGCAGTGATTCGCTGATTGGCTTGTTTGAAGGTGAGACGATCGATGTGTATCGAAGATTTGCTTTTTCAAAACAACTATGGAGTGAAATGTACTGACGGACCGTGTTTTAGAATTGGGCCCTTGTCATGTTAACGAGAAGTTTGAGACTTATGTTAATCCCCACTCATGGAGTGAGGTTTCAAACATGCTCTTCATCTCTCAGCCTCTTGGCACCGGTTCGTAATGACTTCGTGCTCTGAAAGTATGACATATCACTGACCTTGGTAATTAAGGGTTCTCATATTCCGAGAAGGAGGCAGGCTCCCTGAACCAATTGACAGGTGCCTTCCAGGGTGAAGATGTCGCCGGTGTTCAGGGTCGCTACCCTGTGATTAATGCTACTATGATCGGTATGTCAGCTTTGCTTACTTGCGTTGGTGAAACTTCAACTAATTGAGGTCAAGACACAACCAACCTCGCTGCCGAAGCCACCTGGGAAGTCTTGCAGGGATTCCTTGGCGGACTACCAAAGATGGATTCGAAGATCAAATCGAAGAGCTTCAATTTGTGGACCGAGAGCTATGGAGGGTAAGCAGTTCCGAAGACGGCTTTTTCCCCCTTTCTTCCAATACTTATGCTAATACATAAAATAGGCACTATGGTCCAGCCGTGAGTACTAACTAATCATCAAAACGAAGTGCCGACAAATTCACTAACAAGCAAACCTTAGTTCTTCGACCACTTCTACGAGCAAAATCAGAAAATCGCCAATGGCTCCGTGGACGGCATTGAGCTAGAGTTCAACACACTTGGAATCATCAACGGAATCATTGATGAATCTATCCAGGCTCCCCACTACCCAGAATTTGCAGTTCACAACACCTACGGCATCAAAGCGGTAAATTCATCATCTTTTTTTTCATTCCTAGGTTTCATGGCTCCATACTAATTCGAGACAACTAGGTCAACGAAACTGTCTACAACTATATGAAGTTCGCAAACGAAATGCCCAACGGATGCCAGGATATGATCCAGAGCTGCAAATTCACCAACCGAACCTCATTGTCAGACTATGCAATCTGCACAGAAGCCGGCAACATGTGTCGTGATAACGTCGGTACGTCGAAACTCCTATCTCCTATATACCACATCACCCCCTCCCCCTTCTTCCCCTCTATCTATCCAAATCACGACCTCAACAACCCACTAATCCAACCCCTCACCACAGAAAGCCCCTACTACGTCTTCAGCGGTCGAGGAACCTACGACATCCGCCACCCATCCCAAGACCCAACACCACCAAGCTACTACGAACAATACCTCGCCAAAGACTCAGTAATGAACGCCCTAGGCGTAGACCTAAACTACACATCCTCCAATTCCGAAATCTACTACGCCTTCCAACAAACCGGCGACTTCGTCTGGCCCAACTTCATCGAAGACCTAGAAGACATCCTCTCCCGACCCGTCCGCGTAGCCCTAATCTACGGCGACGCGGATTACATCTGCAACTGGTTCGGCGGTGAGGCTGTCTCCCTGGCTACAAATTACACGCATAGCAAGCAGTTCCGCGCTGCCGGGTATGCTCCTTTCCTTGTGGACGGGAAGGAGTATGGCGAGACGCGCGAGTATGGGAACTTTTCGTTCACGAGGGTTTATGAGGCTGGCCATGAGGTTCCATTTTACCAGCCTGAGGCTTCGTTGCAGCTCTTTAATCGCACGCTTAATGGGTGGGAGTTGCCGAAGGGCGAGAAGAAGGTTAAGCCGAATTTTGGGTCGAGTGGGCCTAAGTCTGCGACGCATACGCAGGCTTCTGTTGCGCTGCCTACCTCTACGGGGGTGGTTGGGTCTGCTGTTCCGTGGATGTGAGAAGAACTTGAACGCAGTGGTGTGCCAGTGCATATATATGGCTGTAAGGAGAATTTACATGGAGTAGACTTGTATAAAGCTGCTGCTGCTGCTGCTCTCATCTGAATGCTTAAGTAAATACAAATCAATATTATTTCACTTGAATCTAATCTGTTCATAGTATTCATAGTAGGGTAGATATGGATCGTCTATCCGGATTTTCATATCGCACAACCAATTCCAGAGTCCCACCATCACACCCACGGTGCCAGACACGGACCTAAAACATGAAAGGACGCGCCTCGTAAATGCATATGTTCGTGGCAACCAAGCCGAGAAATCGAACCCTTTAAAAAGAAAATGCAGGAAAGGAAAAAATAATAACACAAATGATGATACAGTAAAACTGATTGATACCTTCTGGTGTCCCGTGGTGTGGACGGTATACCGTATATATCAATATCAATTGTTTACGCCTTATCCGAAGCATCTTCGTGGGCGCGGGGCTTCTCGGGGAGATTAATTCCCTCACCGGTCTCACCGAGGATATCGGCGGCGGTCTCGTCGGAGAATTTCAGATCCTCTTCGACGTCGGTGCTATCCTTCACCTTGAAGAAGATCACAGGTGTTGCGACCAGCATACTGCCAAGGAGAAGACCCCAGCAAGAAGCGAACTCAGTCATGAAGGGAGTCTTGACGGCATCCAGGCTGAAATGAAATGTCATTAGTTAGGAGAAAATTGGGTCGGTGTAGATGCCTTCAGGGGAAAGACTTACCGCCACATTCCAGCTGCACCGGCGGACTGGATACCCTTGTAGAAACCGGCAAAGTTGGCCAGCTTGCGAGCGTTGTTGGACAGGGAACCCATGTACCTAAGGAAAATCATGTTAGCAGATAATCCCCAGAAAGCTAGCAAAGCTCGCGGATATTACTTACCAGTAGGTGCAGGTCTGGAAAGCAGCATCATAAAACCCATAGAACATATACAAGAACATCGGGCCAATATATCCACTATCAGTGAAATCCATATCGGCCTCAACAGTCTCACGCGTATACCTCGTCTGGAAGGCATACCCACCACCCCAAATTCCCAACGTAATAGCGAAAAGAATACCAAAGTTGATCTTAGCACGCATTGGGCGCGAAAACCACTTCATATCAAGAAGTTGGCCAAAAACAAAAGCACCAACCATCTGCATCAACCAGTACAAAAGACTATTCAATGCACGAGTGCGAACAGTGAAATAGGCCAAATTGACCGCGTTGAAGTGATATCCGTAGAACCAGTTACTGGCCAAAAACATCGGGAATAGCCACACGATGTACGAGTCGCTGAGGAGCGTCTCCCATAGGCCGAGGAATTCAGATTTCCAGGTCGGATTCTTAATCACGATTACGCGGGAGCCGTCCCTGCGCTTGATGTATTTGGAATCAGCGAGGGTCCAGCATAGACCGAATCCTACGGCCATTAGGACGAGGAAGGCGATATAGGTGCCGTTATTCACGTTTCCGGCGGTGGAGTGCATGTTCTGGCCGAGGGGGACCTGTGGAGGAGAAAAAGCAATTGGCGATTAGCTGAGTTCAATGCACCTCTCTCTCTCTCTCTCTCCCTTTTGCGAACTTACCAAACTACCAATGACACCACCCAGATTGAAAATAACCCAGAAGATAGCAATATACTTGCCCTTCTCATGCTCCAATGGATAACTCATCATAACGGCACCCTGAGCGCACCACAGCAAACCAGCGCAAACACCCAGCAAAGCACCAGCAAAGATCAAGAAGCCCGCATTCTGATTAATGTTGTACGAGAGCAAGGCGGCGACGTAGAGAAAGTAGCCGAAGCCACCGAGCGACAAGGTAAGGCGAAGACCAATACGATTGGCGATCGAACCGGCGAAGAATCCCACGACGGCAAAGGTACTATACAACGCAGTGTTGGCGTTGTTCACATCGGTCGCATTCACTTGGCCACCGCCACCAAGTCCACTGACCGCATTGTACATGCCGGGACAAAGGAAGCAGACAAAGGAGACGAGGTAGAGCTGTGTCTCTGGCGATGCGAACCAGGGTGCTTGCCATTTGCCAATCTTGAAGATTGGCTTGTACATCCAGTCCGGACCGACGACGGCGTCGTCAACTGCGGGTTCGCCTTGCACGGAAGGCATGGTCTTTTCTTCCAATGATTGTGCGACCGGTGACTCTGTGGACGCCGGTGCAGGCGGTTGCTGCTCCGGCTCGGGGGACATGATCTGGGGAAGAGCCGGTGGGTTTGGAGGAGTGTAGATCGGAGATTGGAGGAGACGATTTGGGGGGGGGGTCAGATCAACGATCTAGAAAAGGGGTGGCTCCAATGGGATTGCGATCGTTGATTGGATTGGAATGCTTTCCCACGTGAAGAATAACAAGGGTGATCGGAACTGGGAAGGGAAGAATGAAGGAGATCGGAAGAAGCTGCACTGAGCTGCGAGAGATTTATCAGAGCTGAATTCGGGGGGGGCCGACTTTTTTTTTAGTTCTAAAAAAAAAAGAGACTATATCCCGTGGACCTATAGTAGCCGAGGCTAGCTTATCGATGTTTCACAGATAACACAATCGGTACGGGGAGTATCCTAGGATACCTTGGGGTAATTATAAGTAATGGAAATGAATGGCACGATCCCATGGGGAGAAGTGGATTTATTACGATAAATTTTGCTCATCATGTGGGCAGTTGTGGGCAGTTGCGGGGATATCGATGATGGGGTTGTCTGGAGATTCTGGAGCCGCTGGAGACTCTGGAGAAGCATCGAGCGAACCACAAAGGATAACCAAGGATGGGCAGTGATAACCAGCGACAGGCAGTGGTAGTGAGATACGATAGAATACCCGCTCTAGATGCGACCGAAAACAGAGTTGCATCCGCTTGCAACCACGACCAACGATACCACAGATTACCCTCCCGGTACTGAATTACATCCCCGCATGCGGTTAATACGGTAATTACCGTACCCTCCACAGTGTCATTGCAGTAGATTGCAACTATAGACTGTGGGGGGCGACGTACAGCCAGTATTAGCCACAACCGTCACTACTGCAGAGTATAACTGCAGTGGTAGTATATACTACCGGCTCTACTGACTAAAGTACGACTACTACCGAATCTGGTACCTACCACATCGGTATGCCGAACCCAATGTCCAATGTCACCTCGCAAACAATCAACTGTTACATCATCACTTCCTCCCCCGACGCGGCCAGATCTATTAACTTCTTGTGTTCCCCTGTTCCTTTTGCCTGTTCCTAATTATCCATCGTCATTGACCGTGACTTGACCTTGGCCTCAACATCAAGATCACCATCAACATGCCTGGCAAGACCACCCCCGCTCCCCGCATCACCAAGTTCACCAACTGCCGCTTGGTACGCGGGTCGAGCCTCGTCGAACAAGATCTCTGGATCGACTCTCTCACCGGCAAAATCCTCAAAGACCAAGAGGCCTTCTACGAATTACATCTTTCCCCCGATGAAATCATCGATCTCGGTGGTCGCATTCTGGCCCCGGGTCTCATCGATGTTCAGTTGAATGGTGCCCAGGGCTTCGACTTCTCTGTCCCCTGTGATACCAAGGAGGAGTATGATGAAGGTCTGCGAATGGTTAACCGCGGCCTCGCACGCACTGGTGTCACCTCTTACTTGCCTACCCTCGTTAGCTCAACCGCCGAGGTTTATCACAAGGTTAGTTTACATTTACTTCCACCCTTTCAATACATCCCGAGAACCTCTACACAGGAACTCTCTCTCTCGTCCCAAAGCAGAGCAAAGCAGAGCAAAGCTAACCACCCCATCCAGGTCCTACCCTCCCTCGGCCCAACAGCATCAACCCACCAACCCACCGACGGCGCCGAATCCCTCGGCGCCCACGCCGAAGGCCCCTTCATAAGCCCCGGCCGAAACGGCATCCACAAATCCGAAGTCCTCCGCGCAGCCCAAACCTTCGAAGACTTAATCACCTGCTACGGAAAGGACAACCTGGACTCCACCAGTCCAATCAAAATGATAACCGCCGCACCAGAAGTAGGCAACATGATGTCCCAAATTCCCGAAATCGCAAAGCGAGACATAATCTACGCAATCGGCCACTCAGACGCAACATACGAACAGGCCGTAGCCGCCACCCACCAAGGCGCAACAATGATAACCCACCTCTTCAACGCGATGCGACCCTTCTACCACCGCAACCCGGGTATCTTTGGTCTATTGGGTCAGTCCGAGCGTCGTCGTCCTTATTATGGCGTTATTGCGGATGGGATTCATTTACATCCTACTTCGATTAAGATCGCCTACAATGCGCACCCGGAGGGACTGGTTCTTGTCACTGATGCGATGCGTCTGTGTGGCCTTCCGGATGGTGTCTATGAATGGACGAATGGCGAGCGAATCGTTAAGACTGGTGCCAGGCTGACGCTCGAGGGCTCGGATAAGATTGCTGGTAGTTCTGCGACTTTGATTGAGTGCGTTAATAATTTCCGACGGTGGTCGGGTGCGTCGACGGCGCAGGCGATTAATGCTGCTACTGCAGTTCCCGCGAAGTTGTTGGGGATGCAGGGGGTTAAGGGGTCTTTGGATGCGGGGGCGGATGCGGATTTGGTTGTTCTGGGTGAGAATGATGATCCGTATTCTGGGGCTACTTTGACGGTTGATCAGGTTTGGAAGTTTGGGGCTAAGATTTTTGATTCGGATGTTAAGGGTGGTGCTGCTGTTGCTGTTTAAGGAAGGTTGACTGGAGATTAGGGGAATGGTCTGGGAGGTTTTGCTTTCGTCTGTTGTGTTTTTGTTTGTTTTTTGCTTGCTTCCTGTTGTCTTATTATCTGTTTTATTCTGCGTCTGCGTCTCATGATATCTACTGGTGGGCGAGGGCCTGGGCGTTTGAGGATGTTATCTTTTTTCTTGCATCGATCCCTGCGACAAGCATCTAACCTTACTACAAATTTTACACGCATCCCGAGCATCGCATCGAATCTTTATCTTTACTTTTGATAGACTTGAAATTTACCCTATGTTAGATTCAAACTGATGTCTTGCTATTCTTCTGTAATTCTAATTTTTGAGTTGATTCTAACGTTTGATTTGATTTATCTTTTTTTTTTAACTCACTGCAGTTTGCATTCCAAGGCCCCAGGGTTAGTATATAATAGCGGGGCGCTACGTATCAAAAGTCTAGGCACATACTATACTACTACCAGTACTAGACAATCCCAGGCTACCTTAAGACAGCACGTTAAAACATCATTAAGTAACGTCGATATGCTCGGTGATATTCATTTATATACCCAAGAATCCAAAAAAGAAGACCAAGACTCGGACACGGGCCCCGGGTACTACTATACTAGATCAATCACGTTGACTAAGGGAGGTTATAAAATCTCCTCCCACCACTTTGATCTCACGGAGCTCGAGCTCGAGCTCTGCTCTGCTCTGCGCCGCTCGCTGAGATGCTAAACACAAAAATTTCCAAAAATACAACTTTTCAGACATACGGTCATGAGAAGAGGGAACAAAGAGTCAACACAGTCAACTATGTCATGCTGTTCCCGCGCCCTCGCCCGCACTTAGCTGGGCTAGGCTAGGCTAAACTTCGCCTACAGACGGGGCTGGGAGCGGGCCCAGCCAGCCTCCTCGGCGATAAGCTCAGCAGCACGCTCACCGATAGTCAGAACAGTAAGCATGGGATTGATCGAAGGCATATCAGGGAAGACACCCGCATCAGCGATACGCACACCCTTAAGACCGCGAATCTTAAGCTTAGGATCAACAACAGCCAGGGGGTCCCGAGCCACATCTCCCATCTTAGTCGTACCCGCCGGGTGGTACACAGTGTGCGCAACACGACGACCATACTCAGACAGAGCCTCGTCGGAAGTCACCTTCGGGCCGGGAGCGACTTCGCGCTTGATCCAGTCCTTGAAGGGGGCTTGCTGGGCGACCTTACGCGCGACCTTGAGTCCCTCGACGATGGTGGCGGCGTCGTAGCCTTCGGGATCGGTGAAGTAGCGGAAATCAAGCGAGGGTTTCACGCTCGGGTCGGAGGAGGTTAGGTAGAGACGGCCGCGGGAGCGGGGGCGGGGGATGTTGGGGGTCATGCAGAAGGCGTCGATGGGTTCTTCGTAGCCTAGGCGGGTTGTGTTGAGGGTGAAGGGGATTTGGTAGCAGTGCATCATTATGTCCGCGGCGCGGCCGTCGAAACCGGCGGCGTCGGGGGGCTTCGCGGCGGAGGAAGATACCAGCGTCCGAGTCCATCGTTGTGGCGCTGTGGTCGACGGGGCGGTTTAGCTCCCACATGATGATTGACTCTGGGTGGTCAATTAGGTTCTCGCCGACTCCGGGGAGATCCTTGATGACGGGGATGTTTAGGGATGATAGCTGCTCGCGGGGACCGAGACCGGAGAGCATCAGGAGACGGGGAGTGTCGACGGCACCGGCGCAAAGGATGGTCTCCTTCTTGGCGCGCAGGGTGTGAGTAACGCCGGACTGAAGGGTGACATTGACACCGGTGACGGTGTCGCCCTCGACGTTGACCTTGGAGACCCAGGCGTTGGTGAGGATGGTCAGGTTGGGGCGCTTCTCATCGCCGCGCAGAATGGGGTGGATATAAGCCACACTGGCACTGCTCCGGCGGCCGTCATCAGGGTTGTAGGAGACGTTAAAGAAGCCGACACCCTCGGTCAGCTCACCCTTATTACGGATGTCATCGTTGAAGTTCTCAATGACGGGGATATCCATGGCACTGGAGCAGGCGGAGATCCAGTCCTTGCAGAGCTGGTTCCGGTGGCGGGCGTGCACGGGCTGGATGGTGTTGCGCAGGTTATCAATGATACGGGTGAAGGTCTCAAAGTCCCAGCCCTTGCAGCCCTTGTTCACCCAGTTGCGGCAATCGTACTCAAAGGGACGGAAGGAGATCAGAGTGTTGTGGCTAGAGCAACCACCGAGGACCTTGGCCCGGGAGTGTCGGATGTGGCTATTGCCTACGGGGAGTGTTAGTGTTCATTCATTCTATTCTAAGGGCGGAGCATGTGGGCTGTGGCTGTGGGATGAATGATGCAAAGGAAAGATTCAGGTTCAAGGCTGTCGCAAAGGGAGGTGAGGTGAGGTGAGTTGAGGTGAGGAGCTGTGTCGTACCCATGGGCTGCTCAACGGTGGGATAGTCGTAGTCCAGCTCGCCACCGAGGAGGTTGAGCCACTCCTTCAAGTTCAGGACGCGGTCATCCATAAAGTCACTAGGACCGCCCTCGATCACGAGGGTGCGCTTGTTGGGCAAATACTGGGCAAGACGAGCGGCAATGACACAGCCGGCGGTGCCACCACCCACGACAATGTAGTCGTAGCTGTTGACATCGATGCCGGGGAGATCGTTAGTGGTGGCCATATTGGAGATATTTGGAGGTTGGAGATTGATGAGGTCGGAGGAGAAGAGGGGAGGGGAGAGAAGGGGAAGATCTCTCTATTTTTAAAAGTAAAAAGAAGAGGAAGCTTAGAAACACTGGGGCCACGGGTGGTATGATCCAACGAGCCAATCCCTCTCAATCGACAACCTTCATTCGGTGTAGACGCGGTTCAACTTTTTTTTTTTTCGCTTTCTTTTTTTTTCTGCCTTCTTTGCGTTGGGACTGGGGCGAATGAGTGGTGGCGATCGTTCGAAGTGGAGTCGGAAAAGAGAACAAATGACCCACTCGGTTGCCAACGGTGTTTCGTCGATAGTTTTGAGACGAAGATAAATGAGCGGGGAAGGATGGGAAATGAATAAGATAAGGGAAATTCAACCCGGATCAGGAGGCTGACTTGAGTCCGGATGAGACCGAGCGTGCTATCTCGAAAGAGGCGTCGAAAGACACGAGAATCTATACGTCACCACGGAGCGCGAGGGGAGGAAAAGAGCCCATCGTGCCCGTGTTTAGTGCAGTTTTCCCGGTGGGTCATCCTGGAGGAATCTGACCACGGATGTGCGATGCCGCGCTGCTCTAGCGAATCTGCAGTCGAACACCCCCGCAAATCCAGAGAAATGAGAAAATGAGGCTGGTTACGTACAAGCGCTGCTCCACTCGCGTTTCGTCGGCCCAAGTCCGGCAAGGGCGGTGTAAAAGATCAAGATAGTACTACCAACTACTCCTCGTACCTACACCTCGGGGCCTCCTACTTGCTTGCACCTTATCAGAGTCTAATTCATTTCCCCTCTTCCTCCACCGCAATCATGTCCCTCTCATTCCCTCCCCGTCAGCTATATTACGACGGTCAGATTCGTGCCGCCTCCTCCGGCAAGACCTTTCAAACTATCAACCCCGCCACCGCAACCCCGCTGGCAGATATCCAAATCGCCTCGAACTCTGATATCGACGCTGCCATTGCTGCCGGTGATCGTGCATTCCCTTCATGGTCCCAGACTCCAGCTATTGCCCGCGCTCGTATCCTTCACAAAGCTGCTTCTCTCTTGCGCGAGCGTAATGATGACATCGCCCGCGTTGAGACTCTCGACTCCGGCAAGGCTTTCACTGAGACTAGCACCGTGGATGTCGTGACCGGTGCCGATGTCCTGGAGTATTATGCCAACTTCATTGGTGGCGGTGGCCTTAATGGTGAGACTACACAGCTCCGTGAGGATGCTTGGGTCTATACCAAGAAGGCTGCTCTGGGTGTTTGCGCCGGTATTGGTGCTTGGAACTACCCCATTCAAATGTACACCCTCCCCTCTCCTCTCCCCTTTTCAAAGGACAGCTTATTTTCAAAGGGATTGTTTTGCTAATTAACCATCTTTTTTAGTGCCCTGTGGAAGTCCGCTGCCTGTCTTGCCGCCGGTAACACAATGGTCTACAAGCCCAGCGAATTCACTCCCCTACACGCCCAAACTCTAGCCGAGATCTACACCGAAGCCGGTCTACCCGCCGGCGTCTTCAATGTCATCAACGGAGCCGGTGATGTCGGCGCCTACCTGACCAGCCACCCATCCATCGCCAAGGTCTCATTCACCGGCCAAGTAGCAACGGGCCAGAAGGTCGCCGGCTCTGCCTCCGGTAACATGAAATATGTGACAATGGAGCTAGGCGGAAAGAGCCCGTTAATCGTGTGCCCAGACGCAGACCTAGAGAACGCAGTCGACGGCGCGATGATGGCAAACTTCTACAGCACGGGCCAAGTCTGCACGAACGGTACTCGTGTCTTCGTCCCCCGATCTCTCAAGTCTGCTTTTGAAAAGAGTCTTCTTGAGAAGATGGCTTTCGTTCGCGCTGGCCCGCTCTTCGACGAACAGACTAATTTCGGACCCCTTTCCTCGTCTCTTCATCAGGAGAAGGTCATCGCTTATATTCGTCACGGTATCGAGACTGACCGCGCAACACTTCTCTGCGGTGGTCCTGGAAAGCCTGACAACGTGCCTCGGGATCTGCAGGCTGGATTCTGGGTAAAGCCTACCATTTTCACGGACTGCACTGATGATATGCGAATCGTCAAGGAGGAGATTTTCGGCCCCGTTATGTCGGTTCTGTACTATGATACCGTTGAGGAGGCTTTGCAGCGGGCTAACGCGACTGAACTTGGTCTTGCGGCTGGTGTCTTTACTAAGGATTTGAATCAGGCTCATCGTCTTATTGATCAGCTCCAGGCGGGTATTACTTGGGTTAATACCTGGGGTGAGAGTCCCGCTGAGATGGCGGTTGGTGGGTGGAAGAAGAGTGGTTTGGGTGTGGAGAATGGTCGGAGGGGTATTGAGGCTTGGGTGCAGAATAAGAGTACCCTTGTTGATATGAGTGGGGCTGTGGCTACTGTTTTTGCCAAGCTGTAAATAATAATGTTCTTGTTTAGTTTATATGACCGGAAAAGGTTGCATAGAGGGTGGGGTGCATTTAAAATTTATTTGACAAGTTAGCACATGAATTCGTTCTTCTCCTAATCCAAAGGTATAGGTATAGGTGGTACTATGACTAGTAGTTAGTAGTTCCTCCCATTTTTGAACTAGTGCATTTTAGTTTATCTAAAGCCTGAGTGTAACCTGGAGTGCATGGATCACAGAAATGCCAAGTCATGCATGATACTACTATGCATGATACTAGTACGAAAATGGTACCTGCACGAAGTATACACTACAAACACACACTACACACAACACAACACAACACAACACAACATAAATAAACTGAACCAACTGAATTCTAAAAGGTATCAATCTAGCCATACCCTATTGCGCCCCAAATTATGTGATGCCGTTTATTCGCTGACGCCTAAATGACATTTCGAATGCAAATTCCAAAAAAAGAAAGACGGATATCATATCCACCATAGCCCATCCCATCCCATCTATCGATTAACGATCGAGATAAAGGAGAAAAAAAAAGGAAGAGAAAAAGCACAAAACGCCACAACTTATCCAGGAAACGGAACGAGAATTCCACAATGCAAGCGATGACCCGAGAGAAATTATGAGATGAGGAAAACGGAAAACGGAAAGGAAAGGGAAAAAGAAAGAAGCGGACTCAGATCAAGTCAAAATCCCAACCCCATGGATGAATGGGGCACGGCAAGGCCCATATGGACCTCTCACTGAGAAGTCATACGACCACCCATCCGGTCAAAGATCAAGTCATTCTTAAGCGCACCGTCCAACCCCCCCGATAGCAGAGTCGACCATTCGCGAAGACATGCTATCAGGCGTAAGCTCATCGTCTTCCATAGTAGTCCGAAGCTCCGTATTAATACGAAGATCCTTGGGAACCTTCACAGGCGTGCGGTCAGGAGTAGGCTGCTGGCGCGGCGGAGCAGAAGTTCTCTTAGTAACAATAGGCGCAGGCATATAAGTGCGAGGACGATAGACGAGCGCGGGACCCTGAGTCCGCGCATCCGTACCAGCCGACTCAATCGATTCAAAGTATCGCACTGTCTTGACCTTCAATTCAAGCGTGGCATCCCGATCGCAGACTACCAATGGGTGAGGGTGTAGCTGTAGTGCGGAAAGTGTCCACATATGATTCACACCGTCTTCGAGACCCTTTTGTAAGGCGAAGGCTTTGTGGGCACCTGTTGCGACGATGACGACTTCGCGGCTGTCCATGATTGTCTGGATACCGACTGTCATTGCCATGCGGGGCACTTTGTTGACGTCGTTGTCGAAGAAGCGTGAATTGGCTAGGATTGTGTCGTAGGCTAGGGTTTTGACGCGAGTGCGGCTGGCGAGGGATGATCCTGGTTCGTTGAAGGCGATGTGGCCGTCTGGTCCGACGCCACCGAGGAATAGCTCGATTCCGCCGAATCGGGCGATGCTTGCGTCGAATGCGGCGCATTCGGAGGTTAGGTCTTCCGCGTTGCCGTTTAGGATGTGGATGTTTTGTGGGGGGATGTCGACGTGCGAGAAGAAGTGCTTGTACATGAAGCTGTGGTAGGATTCGGGGTGGTCGCGAGGTAGGCCCACGTATTCATCCTATATAGTTGGTTATGATAAGTATTTTGAAAAGCCGAGGTGTCCGCGGCGGTATGGTTGGGGCAGATGTTGGTACATACCATGTTGAAGGTGACGACATTCTTGAAAGAGATCTCGCCGGCGCGGTGGCGCTGCACGAGGATCTTGTAGATGATCTCGGGGCTGCTGCCGGTAGGAAGGCCCAGGACGAAGGGTTGAGCTTCGGTAGGGTTGAAAGACTTGATGCGGCCTGAGGTGAGGTTGTTAGTATGTCTTGTGGCTGGGTATATTGTCTGCAATGCAAGCCAGCAAGCCAGCAAGCCCACTGGTGACTACTCACTGACGATGTAGTCGGCGATATACACCGACGTCTCTTGAGGGTCCTCGCGAATGATAACACGCCTGTGATGGGGTCAGCTTGTCCCTTGCAGGGAAGGGAAGGGAAGGGAAAGAGAAGAAGCCATACATGGTGGATAGTTACGTCAGAGGTCAGAAGTAGATATGAGTAGAGTTGAGGTGAGGTGTATTAGGATTGTGAACCTCTTGAGGATGAAAAGATTGGGGAAGGTCAAGGTCAAGAGAAGAAGGAATTGAAGAGAGGAAGATAGGAAGAAGTGATTAAGGGAAGAGAAAGAGAGACGCCTCCCATGGATCGGTTACGTCGGGGTTGGGTGTACGACAGTAACAAAAAGATCAACCGTGTCGTAGTAGATGTGGCTCCGCTCTCGACGTCCAGGTCGACTACGGTTACTACATCCCACATCGCTAACAGGTCTAAAGTACAAAGAATGGCCTCCGCAAATGTCATTGTTGTAATGGGCCATGTGGGCAGGCTGTTAACGTTGGTACGTGTATCCAATGGACGGGGCCCATATGGCCCGTATCTGGACAAGGAAGCAGGTACCCTCTACATCCTCGATCTTTTTGCTGGAAGCATCTATACCATGTGGCCAACTAGAAGAAGAATGGGGAATGACGCGGTGGTCAAGGAGCAATTAAGATTATGATTGGCAGATATCCCTCTTGGGAGTCCAGATAGAGCGGAGCCTGGATGTCATGCTGGCATGAAGGTGCCATCGGGGCGATGAAGAAGTTGCATCCGGTGAAATCGGCAAAAGTGAAGAGGAAGAAATAAGTGGGAAAGCTGGGGGAGGAGAGTGCAACCTTAGCGTCGCAACCAGCTTCGTTTTGTCACGTATAGTAAAATGGTGCCCCACGTGATGCTGACTAACAAATGTCATGGTTACTCCAGTTTCCCCCTCATAGTCCATTAGTTTACTACGGATTACTAGTACGATGTAGGAAGGGGTATAGAGTAGGGTCAGTGTGTTTCCCATAAAATTAAAAAAAAGATCAACAGGTACTCCGTACTCCGTACGTCTGGGGAAGACCTGGGGAAAGGAGAAAACGTGGTGTGGCGTGGCGGTGGCTCATGCTCAACCCCAGATAGTACAGCATAGCTAGTACTCGTAGTAATACTAACTATTCTGCCAATATACCAATACTACTAGTATACTCGTACCCTATAGACTTTGACTTGACGGGCGGAGAGATCCGCTTGCCCGCTTGCTGGTTATCTGACTTTCCCCCCCGATTGCGGCTCCCCGAGGTCTGGAGCTGCTCTCATTTGTCGCATTCGCATTCCCTTCTTCCTCTCTCCTCCTCCTTGTCACCTGACTGCGAACTCGGAGTTTCTAATCTCATCCTCCAGTTCTGCTTGCGGCAACCGTCTCAGGCTTCAACACTCTTTGCGCCTTGCCCTTTCGCCCTTCTCCAGTTGGGCTCCGTTGGCATTCCGCATCCCCTCCCCCAGGGCCATGGCCCCGAAAGAGGACATGCTGCCCCCGGGCTGGGAGGATCCCGATAGGTATGTTGATCGCCTTCTTCCGGTGCACCTATCCCAGTCACCGGTGCACCACCACACCTCCCCCCTCCCTCCCTTCCTATCACCATGCCCATCGGGCGCTGTGGAACCCCATCGATCCCCCGCCATGCCCCCCTCTCGGCGCGATCTAGGCTATTTCCCCTTCGGGAAGCTTTGACATCTGCAGAGGAGAGGCCATAGGGCTGGCGAGGGCTGGTGAGGACGTGTGGAGATGGTGCTGGTGCTGGTGCTGCGTGCAACACTAAACACACCAATGCTGACCTACCACCCTATAGGCAAATGGGCCAGCTGTTTATGATGGGCTTCGATGGCACCACGGTCAGCCCTCAGATTCGGTCACTCATTGAGAACTATCATTTGGGATCGGTCCTTCTCTCGGCCAAAAACCTTAAATGTATCTACTTCTGCTCCTTCTAGGGACTCTATAGTAGCCCAGCCCAGGCGCAACCTGACCCCCTATCCTAAGAAGTTACTGATCTCGTGAACCCACAGCTGCGGAGGAAGCTACCCGACTGGTCCTCGAATTACAGACCATTGCCCGCGATGCTGGTCACCCAGTTCCACTGACGATCGCGTTGGATCAAGAGAATGGCGGCGTCAACAGCTTATACGATGAGATATATATCCGCCAATTCCCCAGTGCCATGGGAATCGCGGCGACGGGGTCAAAACCCTTGGCTCATGAGGTTGCCGTTGCCACGGCTCAAGAGCTCAAGGCCGTTGGGGTTAATTGGATCCTGGGCCCCGTCTTGGATGTACTGACTAATGTCCGAAATCAACCCTTGGGCGTTCGAACCACCGGCGATGATCCCCAGGAGGTGTCCCAGTATGGTGTCCAGTTTATGAAGGGATATCAACAAGCGGGGCTTGCGACTTGCGGCAAACATTTCCCGTCCTACGGAAACCTAGAGTTCCTCGGCTCCCATACCGACGTTCCCATAATCACAGAGTCTCTTGAGCAACTTAGCTTGAGCGCACTGGTTCCTTTTCGTAATGCGATCAACCACGGCTTAGACGCGATGATGGTAGGCGGAGTCTCCATGTCATCGGCCGGGATGAATGTCATGCATGCCTGTTTGAGCGACCAAGTTGTCGACGAGCTCCTACGGAAAGATTTGAAGTTCCAAGGAGTCGTTGTATCAGAATGTTTAGAGATGGAGGCACTGACGCACAATATCGGGGTCGGTGGCGGAACAGTGATGGCCAAAAATGCCGGCTGTGATGTCGTTCTTCTTTGCCGGTCATTTCCCGTGCAGCAAGAGGCAATCAACGGGTTGAAATTAGGCGTTGAGAATGGAATCATCGGTCGCGCTCGCATTGAGCAGTCTTTACGCCGCGTTCTGGCTCTCAAGGCTCGCTGTACCTCTTGGGAACAAGCACTGAACCCTCCAGGTCTTCTTTCGCTCACACAGATGCAGCCTTCACATACCAATCTTTCTACTCGTGCTTATAACGACTCGATCACCGTGATGCGAGACAAGAATAACCTCCTTCCCTGTCCAATATCGTTAATTCAAGCGAAGAGCTTTTGCTCCTCACGCCACTGGTCAAACCACTTGCGGCTTCGGCAGTTACTCTTTCTGTTAATGAGACAGCACACGGTGGCCTCGACTCTTCATCCTGGGAAAGGACCTCTTCAGTGATGAGTGGGGAAAGTGTGTTTAAGGAACTCGGCAGATCACTATCTCGTCAACGAAATGGGCGTGTTCTGCATACTTCTTATACGGCCAACGGCGTACGGCCCATCCACGAAGATCTCGTCAAGCGCGCGAGTGCTGTAATTGTTGTCACAGCAGATGGATATCGCAACAAGTATCAACAAGCATTTTCGAAACATATCTCATTACTTTGCCAATCGCAATATTCTTCAACTGGAGAACGACTGGAAAAGCCTTTGATTGTGGTCTCTGTCAGCTCGCCCTACGATTTTGCCATGGACTCTTCGGTTGGAACTTATGTCTGCACATATGACTTCACTGAGACAGCACTCCAGGCGCTCGTCAAAGTTCTCTATGGTGAATTGGGCCCCACTGGATCACTGCCCGGGTCGATCAGTCGCAGTCAAAAAATCCATCAGTCCCGGCAGCACTGGCTGGTGGAGAACTGGAATGAAGAGCGTGACGGTAATGCCTTGGATGCCTTGCTAGATGCAATGCGGGAAGACTGTACACAAGGCCAGCGCTCCGAGCTCCTCGGTGCTACCTCTAGCAGTTTCCTACTACGGAAAGAAGATATCGACGAGGCACATTTCGTGGTTCGCAACAGCAGCACACAAGCCCTGTACGGATTCTGTGCAACCTACTTCTTTCAATCCTCGGGCACCGGCGTGATTGGATGTTTGATCGTCGACCCAGCCCGTCGCAAACTGTCAATTGGACACTCCCTCCACAGCCGAGCAATTCGCTCACTAGTCCAGCGAAAAGGCATGAAAAGATTCCAACTCGGCTCGCGACTTCCGGGAATCTATCTCAGGCATCCCTACCGTCAGTCCCGTGGAGCGAAAACGACTACGGCAATGGTTTGCCAATCTCGGATGGAACACTTCACTCGCGCGTCCTGTGTGCAGCGTGGTGCTGCGCAACTTGGCGAGCTGGACACCGCCGGAGGGGCTGACGGTAACGCTGCAGAATGCCGATGCTGTTTACGACTTGGTTTACGGGTGGGACTTTGCTCGCACGATCCTCGACCACATCAAGACCAATGCCCGGCAGGGCGTGGCTGATATTTACCGCATGGCTTTGGGCGGGGCGCCGAATTGTGGGATTATTCGTGCTAAGCGGTCGACTGATGATATGATTCTGGGAAGTGTTGTTGTTTACAATGAGCGGTCTAGTTTGGCTGAACATATGCCGACTTTACGAGCTACCAATACTCCCGTCGGTGGCATTTCGTCGCCTGTTATCTCCCCCATTGCGGATGATTACTCGACCGTGATGCAGGGCCTGATCCTGTTGGCCATTCGCCAGATCCGAAAGTTAAATGCCAATGCTGTGGTCATGGATTGTGTACGGTCTATATCCCCCTTCTGATTTGAATCACGTGCTAATCGAAACCAGGTGGACGGCGACGGCAATTTTGACTGTCTTTCTTCGATGGGCTTCACCATGCTACACAGTTTTGAAGAGGTGAATTGTGATGCAGCCACATGGTCGATGATGCATTCATCGTAAACGATAGATGTGTGTGTATGAATGGGCGCAATGGGCGCAATTCTTCTCTTTCCCTCTCAATTGTTCTGGGCCTTTTAAGAGAGACAGCAACAGCGACAGCTGCTTACTCTTACCTTTTTTTTTTTTGTTTCTGCTTTCCGATTTGTTGCATTTTATGATATCCATCTGGCATTTTGGCTATAGGCCCGGGTCATGCCTGTTTTATTCGTTCTGGAACCGGGTCTAGGGTTTGTGATGCAGGTACATGCACTCCCTCGAGGGGTTTCCTGATTGGCGTGTCTTATTTTTCGTTTCTTTTTCTATTTTCTATTTTCTTTTATGTTGCCCTTTTTTCTCGTGTGACTCGCCCCCAACGGGGCCGTTGCGCCCAGGTCGTTTGTTGGTGGGTAGGACAGACAGGCTGCACGGCGTCATCTGGACCAATCTTACATCATTTTTGTGGATATATGGTATGGCATACACCTAGACATAGTATTTTTGTTTCGGTCGAGGAGTGGGAGTCGACCTAGTGGTCAAGAGACAACGTGTCGATCACGGGAGATCCGCACCCTGTTTGCGCCCAGCAGAGTTTGGATGTGGATTTGGATTTTGTGTTCAAGGTTTTATTATTATTCATTTATTTCATCATCATATTATTATTATCTTTTATTTATTTTATCCTTTTATTTTATCCTTTCCAGAACCCCCCCTTAATTCGTATCTTTAGCCTACCATTATCAGGACCATCACCACCATCACCAATAGTAAACCAGAACCAGCGCCAGCCTCGGCTCCAACCGACACCGCCCAGCCCAACATCATGCACATATGTTATGCGCGGAGAGGAGTGGAGCGCCTAACGAGGCACCAGAGTAATCATGGCTGCTTATTGGGCCGGACGTCCGTAGGTGCGTCTACCTGCTCCGTACAGTACTGGAGTACGGAGTACTAGTACTGCCAGTGGGTTTGGAAGCTAAAACTCGCTCGCCTTGGCTCATATGGAGTACTGGTACTGGTACTTTTTATCAAACTATCGTACGGGGAGAAATGTGGACTGGACGGACTGGGCGGACTGGACTGGACTCCGCTTGGCGCCGGAAGCGAACAAAAAGAACTTGAACACTGACTGACTGTATCAGGGAGAAGAGGGTAAAAGTCAAGCATCCACTTTTCTTCGCACGGAGAACAATAAAAGAGGCTCGAGAGACATTGTAAAAAAACGAAAGGAAAGGAAAGGAAACCAAACCGGGTTGGAACTTGAACCAGGTCACTCGTTTCCAATGGGTTCGGTTATCGAAGCGGCCGACGTTTTAGTTTTAGTTTTGTGCATGTTCTGCAGATTCTAGAAGAGAGTGATCTCCCTATACGAGGTTTGCAGAATGCAGAAGGACGCAATGGAAGCGGCGCTAGGCTAGCACCGGAGTGTCGGGGCACATTTGCATCCGGGGGACCCATTAAAGCTGCTGCTGCCAGGACTTGCGGGACTCGAGACTCGAGACTCGGCCGTGGTTTGCCTTTAGGGGAGCGTTTTCAATCTAGTAGAGTTTATTCTGGGTATCTAGGTTGATTGGATTGGATTGGTGGCAGGGAGGGATTTTTCTTGGTTTTTCATGTGGGAAATCCCGCAAGTCGTACAGCTGTCTGGTCCCATCTCACCTTCTCCCCACCAATCACTAATCACTAAACCAATCTCAATTGGATCCGTATATGGCCTAGAAGGAGATGAATTCCACATTCCTTATCTTTGATCCTTGGGTTCACATCCCCGCCCGCCCGCTCTGGGAGCTCCCAGCGGATGCGGACGGTCGCAGATGCGGGCCGGTCTTGGAACGACTTGACTTGATTTGACTTGACTGCCTTGAATGATTGTACGAGTACATTCGTACGGGGAACACGGAAGGACAAGGGGAAACTTGAAAGGAGCTGATACTGAAATGGGTCAATGGCGGGATCTAATTCATTCCATCTAGATCCCATCGATCGACCTCGGTGATCACCGGGGGGGTACATGTATTCCTGTTCGTCGGGAAGTAAATCCAAGCAAAGCTAAAGCCAACCAAAGGTAAAGCTTGAGAGAGGCTCTCGGGGCTTGGACTGAACTTGGACTGGACTGGACTGGACTGGACTTGGACTTGTTCTCAGGGGCGACGCATCGAGTAAGGCGATCCAGTGGATGGGATGGGATGGTATGGATGGGATGGGGGAATGAATGGGGGGGACTTTTGTGGACCACAGCAAGTTGTCAAAGACCCTGGGGATCCACTGACGGTCAAAAGGCAAAGGTCAAAGGTCAGGATCAGCCACTGAGCAGTTCAGGCTGCCCGGCCTTGGCCACTTACACTAGTGTAGGTCGAATCGGGTAAATGCACAGGGGAGATGAAGGGTGAGTTCGACAGATGATCCTCCCAAGCTTCTTTTCTTTGGCTTTCTGGCCCCCCCCGCCACACCCGTCACGGTGGTCAAGAGTGGACGGGGATGACTGGATCCCGCTGAGTTGAGTGTTCCACATGCTCGTGATGCCGTTTCGGAATTACACAAGCGAATGTACTGGATGCATCATGTCGCGAACCTGCAGCAGATCATGGACCTTTACGTCTTTCCGTAGAGGACGAGGACGAGGACGAGGACGGAGATGGCCGAGGCCGAGGGAGAGGGAGGAGGCCCACAATCCTCAAGTCTGCCTGTTGGGTGAGTTGCCAAAGGCACACTCCATATGCACACCACAGGGCAAGACGAGGCAAAGCAGGGCAATGCATGGCATCACATCACCTCCCATTGCCTGTTCTGTCCTGTCCTATCCTGTCGCTGTCCTCACTCACACTGGACCTGACCTGACTGACTGACTTACTTGACTTGGTTCCTGACTCCGACTGGATGCGTGCGGATGTGGACTCGCCCGTTCACAGTGGGACCCCGATGGGACCAATTAGCTTGGTAAAATCGTTAGCATCCGCTAGCATTTCTAGAGCGGAGCAACACGATCGCAGTCACGCAGGCTCGGGGCCCTGGCCCTTTTGTTATCATTGGTCTGAGTGTCTTCGAAGGCACTGCATGTCAGACGGGGCCCATGTTGATCATCGATCCTTCTTCGAGGGGGTGTGTGGACCGTAGAGGTGAAAGAAGACCCTCAGCACTGGATCGAGTAGTGTATGTAGTGTAGTGTAGTCTACTCCGTAATGAAGTAGTGTATCGGACTCGATGTGTGTAGGGTGGAGAGATACCATTCCCCATACTCGGAGTGGATGATAAAAGAATCCCTTCATGATATGATATGATAGTACAGAGTACAAGTACTCGTAGTTAGTACCCCCTCCGTAATTAAATTATAATTATCATTCCCATCATAGCTACACTTCCGTACTATACGAGTACCCCCCCCCCCCGGCTTTGATTTGCCTCCGTTCTACTTTCGTTCGCCCCTCCCCTCTTCCCTTTTCCCATTTCCCATTTCCACCTCTTCCCCTCCTCCTCTGGTTAATTCCCTTTAATTTAATTAACCCTCCTCATTTGGTCATCCGTGGCGTTTTTCAGGGTTTGATGACTTTTTCAGTCTTCTGCACTGCATGATCTTCAGGGCCTTTTAGAGTGCACACACTCCCCTCTTCTCATTCCCCTCCTCTTTTAGTGCCGAGAGCCGGTGGATCGCCCCTGGAGTGCCCCATTTGAGGAACGGCCAATTTTTTTTAAACCCAGAAAGTAAATCACTTTCGCGTCGACCCGTCAGACCCAGTTCTGGTTCTGGATCTGGATCCTTAGTCTCTGGTTCACCTGTGGCCTTGTCCTTGTCTTGTCCGTCTTCGTCGCTTCTCCGCAAAACTCGCGGCTCCACTTTTCCCCCGAATCCGTCGGCGCATCCGCAACGCATTCCATTCCACCTCTCTCTCACTCTCTCTTCCTCTCTTCTCCCCTCTTGCTCGTCCCCCTTAGCTTTCTTTCCCCTTGTTCTTACTCTTGTATTCTTGTCACTGCTTCTCTTGTTCCTCTTCCTCCCTTTCCCTCCTCCCCTCCCCTCCCTCCTCCTCCTCCCCCTCCTCCCCCCCCCAGCTTCGTCAAGTCTATATCCCTCGCCATGGAGGGCTTCGACACCATGGCCATGCCGCCCTATCTTGCTAGCCCGTTATCCCTCGGCAATCTTCAGGGTACCGATTATCTCAATGCTATGCCCGGTCTTGATTTGCCCGATCACCGTTCCAACTTTGATTCCGAGACTTTTGTTAGGTATGATCTATCTATCCTCCTCGTGCCTACTATCTACCCGCGGGTACAGGTACAATCTCCTCGTGGTCGGAGACTAATCTAAGGCGCGTTCTTCCGCCCTGCTTCTAGTGATGATCTTGCCTTCACTACTCAAAATGGCCTACCACACGCATTGAACCGCTTCCCCTCGGGTTATGATGATACCTTCACCGATATGGTCACTCCATTTGATCCCGTCCCTCCCGAGCAACCTCAGGATTCCTCCATCGATCACAACAATAAACTGCTGAGCTTCTCATTGCCCGCCTACCACTTCACCTTGCTCGACTACTCCATGCGCCGCACCTCATTGTCGGTTTCCGCTCAACTTCATGGAATGTTCTTCTTGGCCGAATCTCCATATACAACCTCCCCATCGGAGAACGCCCCACCTCAACAAGGTGCCGAGCTAACATGTTACCGCCGGAACCTCTTTCAGATCACTGGCTCCGTAACCCTACCCCGAGGAATGCGCTATATTATGACCGACCAAGGTGATCGGATTCCGATTCTCGCGCAAGAGCTTACCGTGTCGGCGACGGAATCAGTGGAAGGAAACCCAGTAAAGATCATATCGGTGCCATGGAAAACGCCATCAGCCGCTGCCGCCAACTCCGGGACTGCCCTCGACGAGACGAGCACTGGCACCGCTGCCAAGATTGAGAAGGAGCCCCCACCAATTCCGCTCGATATCATGGCTGGTCAGGACTTGGATACCGACTACGCGACCTTTCCGATTGCCTGGAAACGCTTGCAATTCCGCGTCGCGACTGCCAACAATGGACGGCGCAAGGAGCTACAGCAACACTTCGTCGTTAGGCTCAAGGTTGTAGCAACTCTCTCGACTGGCGCCAAGATCTCCATCTCCGAGGTTCAATCGGGTCCTGTGATTGTTCGCGGCCGCAGCCCGCGCAACTTCCAGTCCAGAAAGGATCTCCCACTAAGCGGCAGTGCCGCGGCCTCGCGAAAGAACCAGGCCAACTCGGCCGCTGCGCTCAACCGCACGCCGACCAGCGACTCAGTACCACGCCGCGCCAGCGTGACTCCAGCGAAAGCGAAGGCCCCCTCAACGACCGTGCAAAGTAGCTCCCCCGAGACAACCTCCGTACCACCCCCGACAATGATGCAACAACCCACCGACTGGACCCCTATCCCGCAATCCAACAACGCCATGATGTCCCACGCCCACCAATCCATCTTCCCCCACTCCAGTCCAGAGCAACAACTCTCACAAGCGGCCGACTCCCAACGACGCGTCAGCGGCACAACAGCCGGATCAGCAGCGCCGATTAATCTATCCCTCTTGGACGACGAAGACCGAGGTGACGTTGGGAGCTTGCAGCTAGATCAAAAGATGATGGCATCTTACGCCAACGTTCCGGAAATCCCTCAACAAAGATCTATAAATCTCGACCAATCCGCCGCACCACCTTCAAAGATGCGCAAGCTTTCCCACGGCATCTCCCAGCAGTCCCAGACTCCCTCTCGAAGCGCCTCCTCATCCATACCCCTAATCGAGACGGCCAATCTCCCGCAACAATTCGTGTCTTCACTACCATTCCCGAATGAGAGTACCGATTTTCTGTACGAATACTTCCCTCTCGGACTGGATGACTGGCAAGCCCCCGTGGACGCCGTTTACAGGCCCCATGTCGTTCATCATACCAATATCCCTGAGATGAAGTTCGTCGCTTCCCGGGGTCGCAGTAAGAGGTATTTTGCTGCTGAGGACGTGTTTTGAATGAAAGTTGAGATTATACCATTGGTTTGGGTTAGGGTTTGACCGGCGCTAAAGTGGCGTTTTCGTTTTCGTCTTTTTTTCGGCTTTGGAATGTTTGGGATTTGCATCTGCATTTACACTGGGATTTGGAGGGGTTATTTTGGCCTTTTGAGCTTTCTCGTTATTAGACGCTTTTCTTTTTTCCCTGTTCTGGCTGCTCGGGAGAAACGATTTTCCCTTCTCTGATAATATGCTGGGGTTGAGTCTTTTTTTTGGTTGGTTTCGCAGCATCGCCTCTGGGGATTGGATCACGGTGTGGATCTATTTTTGCTCATTGCTCTTTTGTGAGGGGAGGGGTTTGGGGGTGTTTTTTCGAATTGTTGTCAGGTGCAAAATCGGCGATCCAGGGCGGTGTTTTGGAGTTGTCTTTTCTTTTTCGCCTTATCTTTATGGATGGGTCTCGGATGGGTTTCAAACAAGTCTTTTCCTTCCCGTTATGGGGAGAAGCCTTGTCGAAACTAGGCTTTCGCTTTGGCTTTTGATTCTTTCATTGGTCACTCAGTGGGACTTGATTTGATATCTACGGATTTGATTCTATATGCTCGGTTCGGATCGGTTTTTTGGTTATATCCCACCTCGTGTTATGATGCTATGTTGCTATTTACTGCGTTTTTGATCTGGTCGATATTGAGAAATGGCCTCAGCGCACTTTACTCTACTCTACTCTATTCCTGGCAGAGGCCGGAACTAGATCAATACTTTTCAAGAAGAAAAATTTTAAACAGATACCAATTTTTTCCATTGCTTTCAAGTTTCTTCATAAATTATGCAGTTTTTTGGTAGTATGCATGCATCTGACTGGGAGGTGGTAGATATGTATCTTAGCTGCTGATCGTGAACGCGGTAATTCCTCTAGCCTAGACTAGATTGATAAACATAAGTGCCCGCAAAGAATATCTTCCATACATTTGCAAACTTGAATACTCTCTTATCCATTCTAGACCCCCCTTCCCTTTCTTTCCTCACATCACTCAGATATACCCCAATCCATCCCCACCAACAACCTCCAAATCAGCCCTAATCTCCCACTCCGTAGCCCCAACCCTCCCCGCAATCTCCGCCTGCCTCGACCTCCCCAAATTCAACCACTGTCTGACCAAAGTCCCATCAACCATCCCCCGCCCACCCGCACCATCACTCTCAACAGCGCGAAAGGCGCGCGGATTCAATCCGCCCGCGTGCTCGATCGTGTTGATTAATTGGGACTGTAGTGCTGAGAGGCGTCGGTAGGAATCTTCCGTGACGGATGTTACTAGGCCTACTGAGCCGTTTTGGGATGTTAGGAGGATTTGGTGTGTGGATGTTTGTGGGGGGATGTCGATGTCCATGTCCATGGCTGTGTCGGAGTCGGAGTGGGAGGTGGTGGTGGTGGATTTGAGTAGTTCGGATGAGACGGCTGTTCGGGGGAGGAGGTTGGCTGTTGTCGCGAAGTTTCCGGTGTGGAATTTGCTTCTATTTAGGAGACGGTCGCCGTTTGAGGATTTGGGGTCTATAAAGAGGATGGTGGGTTAGTTGGATGTTTGGGTTTGGGCTGCTAGCATAGCTAGCTGCACGCATCTTAACGATGGCGATGGCGATGGCGATAGTGATAACGTACCTTCAGGGTCATACTGCAGCACATGCAGATTGCAGTCACTGTCGGCGACCAAGATGTACAATTTATTCCCGTCCGGCAGGAAATCCGCGGTGACAACCTCGAGGTATTCCGGGTCCTTGCCGAAGAGAGCCATTTTATATGGATCCTCCTGTTGTGTAATTGATGGTCAGCTCATGTGTTCATGTAATGCGTCGTGATGGAGAGGAGAAAGTGCTAAGCTAATAGAGGGAGGAACGTACCGAGTAACCCGCAAACCAAAGACCCTTCATAGCATCTCCAAGTAAAACCATGCCCGTGCCTTTGAGTTCCTTCGTAACACTGACATAGCACTGCATGTCCATAAAAGCCACCGGGAGAAGACTACCATCTTCCTTCAAGCCACGGACCATGGCCTTTTGACCCTGGGCCACGATCACGAATCCCTGACCACCAATTCCCGATAGCGCAGTCACGGCGCCCTTGACGATCTCCTTGCCAATTAGCTTCAACTTGCGACCTGTTTCAGGCCGGTCCGGTTCAGGAACCACTTCAATCACGTCGAATACATAGATGCATCCACGTGCGGGGATATCTTCGCCCTTGGCCATGGCCGTTCCGACGACTATGAGGTCTCTACGCTCGTGCGTATTCTCCGAAACCTCGATGTTGACGTTCTTCACGGCTGTTACATGTTCCGCCAGCTCGAGCGGGTAACTGTCAATAACAGACCAAGACTTGGGACTTATGACTTTGATCGAGCTTTGCGGGACTTTGGGCAAGAATGATGAGCCTTCGCTCCGCCATTCTGGGTGTAGTTCGTCGTTCTCGGGAAGCTTGAAATCGACGTTGACGCTAGTGGCCACGACGTAGGTTTCCGAGGCGGTGGAATAGGCTAAAAGGTCCACTTGTTCATGGAGTGGGACTTTGCGCGTCGTCCACGAATGGTCGAATCGGGTTTCCGGTGCGAATTGGCATGCGCGAATTACATTCTCTGAATCGGCATAGATGAAGCCTTTCTCGCAGCCGAGTGACGAACTGTCAAAACCGTCTAGCCATTTCGTGAAATCTCCACGGAGACGGACTAGATGTGGGGAACTTGCTGAAGTTCGAAGGATAAATCCTGCAGAGACACCGGGTAGGAAAACTCCGCTAAGTCCTGATATGTCGTTGAATTTGCGCAGTGGCCTTGCGCGGCTTTGCATTTCTTCCGATGGTGATTTGGAAGTTATGTTCGAAAGGCTGTGATGGGCTTCTCGGAAGAATCGGAGCTCTTGGGTCGGCTGATCACCAGTTGTTATGGAGACTGTGACGGGTTTGTAGACAATGATTTCGTCGTTCTCGGTTCGAGCCTATTCTTCAGATTAGAATTTTGTCAAATGCCTAGTTAATGTAAAAGTTCATACAATTAAGTAGGGTGAAGCACTCCAACGATCGCCGAGGTCGGCAATGAGGATTTCGTTGATGGTTTCCTTCGTATTGGATCGTCGTGGTGGCTCGGCTGACAATATCGGCTGTAAGCAGTCAATGCCATCGATCAACGACAGTTGCTTCATGTCAGGAAGATGGATGATCTGAAAGAATCAGTGTTAGCCAGAGGCTCAGGCCCGAGCTCAAGGAGCATCGCGTTTTGCATCAATAATTTACCAGAATTTTGTAGTCTGAAGTCAAGACAAACAGAAGTGTGTCGCCACCATCCACAGCATCCGAGGCCGAAGTGAATGTGTGGCTTTTGTCCTTGTAGAGACAAATCGAACGACATTTCAGATTTGAAATGTCATCCTGTAGCGCAACTTCATCTAGATCGCCACTTTCATCCGCTTGGAGGAGCAAAAGAGAAGCATCGTCCCGAAGTATGGCAATGAAAGGATCCATTAAGCTCGCGCTGACAGCGACTCGCTCTTCATCGGTATCTTCGTCCCAGATCGGATATATCTGTGCTAAGCCCAGTTCTGGAGAAGTTTCTCTTATAAGCGTTCCATTTCAGATTACCCCCGTACATCAGAGATTATAACTTACCAGAGTCATAACTTCGAACTTCGTTCTGTAGGACTTGGACGAGACGGGATGATCCTGCCAAAGGTCCAATGTCGATGGTATGATCCCCGTTAGGGTTGAAATCAGGGGCCTTGTAAGGTTGCAAGGCTGAGTCTTCGACTTTCAAGACCTCGGACACTTCATTGATCTCTGTCTGGCATGAAACTATGACATATTGATTGGCAGCTTCCTCCTTGGTGAGAATGGTAGCAGACCATACGGCGTCGGCTCCATCGATGTTCACGGAGGCTGCCACAACAGGGTCTATCTCACGCTTCATGACGACCAAGCCACCGGCTCTGTCGGAACCTTGTGATGCGACTAGCTCCAAATCGGCAGAGACTTCCTTATCGGATGGATTTTCCTGATCTTGGTCCTGGTCTTGCTTCTTGGTAGCAGTGAAGGGTTTTCCCAGTGTCACATCTCTTAGAGGCCCAATATTAGAGAGTCGGTCATTCAAATAGAGGTGATAATATTCAGAGGTTGTATTATCCGAGCCTGTGCGTTGATCGGCTCGAATGGGCTCCGGTACAGAGGAGTAAAGATCATCGTCTTCGATCTCATCATCGTCAGAGAGATCATCCAAGCCATCAGCTCCTTGTCTCGATTCTAGTCTTGCCTTCTTATGGGAAGCAGTCGAATGGGACCACCCAATAAGAACCGAATCTGCATCTTCGCTGCCAATGAATACATTGCCGTCGCCGAAGCATGCAGAACAAGAAGCTGCTGAATTCAAAAGACTTCCATCTGAAGGTGCCGGTAGGCGATGAACTGACATTCCGGAAACGGATCGACCATCAAGCTTAAATCGGATCAAGGCCATATCCCCCAATGCAAGTGCGAGAACGAGATCACCACTGTCACCTCCGAGTCGCTCCACAACACAGCCCTCCAAGCGGAAAGCTAGATCAGATTGGTCGCTCATAGAGAATGACGAAACTAGGCGAGCAAATTCGTTCACGCCCACTGCGTTGGTTTTCCCGGCTTGGTCCACGTGCACAATCTCATTCGAACCAATGAGCAATGCACCTCCCACAGGAGGTGGAAGAGCCACTACCTTGAATAGATCACTGGGTAGCCTAGAGACAGATAAGAGGGTCGTCGAAGCCCGTTGCTCGAGATCTAGAGTGAAGACGGTGTAGAACATCACATCTTTCCTCTCGTGAACCAGGGCACTTGAAGTTGCAACGTGAGAATACAAGATTCCAAAAGTCGGCTCCCTATATTCGTAGAGGAATTCAAGGCTGACTGGGTGCAATAAAGAAGGGTCAAAAGCCGTCAAGGACAGGACAAATGAGGCCGCATAAGGGGTTTGATATGTTGTTCCGTCGTTATTCTTCCCAACAGCTGGGCGCTCTCCATCAAGATCTGAGTCATAGTCATCCATCACCAGATCATCCCCTGCTTGGTGAAAGGGTAAAATCGCGAGGTTGCGGATCCCGAAGTTGAACACCGCGCAACGACTACTCGGGTCCACGCTGAGAATGCTGCTACATCGGCTCAGATCAGGCGCCCAGGGGCTTCTCGTTAGATCATCTCGCTCGTAGTAGTGAATGGAGACGGTAGAGATTCCATGGCGTTCGGGATCCCATTCGATCAAGGAGAGCTTCGCGTTGCGAAGCGCCAAAAGAATGGCCTCTCCGCCACTTTTCGTGTTCAAAGTTTTGACGCGACTCAAGTCTGTGACTGTTCCAGGCAATTGATATTCCTTTTCCAGGAGTAGCTTCGTTCCTGATGGGTGAGATGTTGACGAGTGGGTCTCTGAGACTTCACCTTGTGTTTGAGCGGAGGCTTTGATGAGGGAGAACACCTGCAACAGGGAAGATCGCACCACGATCAAATTTTGTGCTGTAGCGGATATAAAGGGCACCGCCAATGCATGGGTGACCCCCGTTGGGGGTAGTAGCTCCGTATAGCACTGCATTGGAAATGGTCTCTCTCTTTCAGGAGATGTGGTTCCAATGGTCTATTGCCTGCGCTCGATATTGTCGATGAGCATTGCAGCTTCAGCTCTGACCAGGTTCAAAGCTTCTCCGTGTCCGTCGGAAGTGAAGTGAATTTGGGAAATGCAGATTTATGTCACTTGGATATCTCTCGGATTGTTTGTCGCAGGGCGGGTCGGAAGACATGGCACGTGATCCAGAGCAAACAAAGTCACGTTATCTGTCTCCAACCCAATCGGGTTAGCTTATGACGACAGACGCGGTGTCGGTTTACTTCGCGGCCTTTGGAATGAAACTTGGACTTGGACTTGGACTTGAATGCTAAGCTTGTTTTACTAAACTCGGTGACGGTGATTTCTATACCGTCTCACGTCAGTCGAAATTTCTGCTTCTCATGCGGAATCACTTCACTTCAACATGGCGCTTCTTCAGACATCTCTGATCTGGATCGTCTACGGAGCCGTGATAGCTGTCTTGCTCGCGGCAGCTTCGGTTTTCATTTATGTTTATCAAACTCCTCGAGATCGCTCGCCATCTGTAACTTTGACTTGTATCATTGCAATCACCAGTCTGCTTGCTACGGTGCTTCTGCTTCCGGTGGATGTCGCACTGGTGTCGTCAACTACTTCATCCAAACTAGGCCAACGGAAAGAGTGGGCAACCCAAGAGGCAGTCGACCGCATCACCTATTCTCTGACTATCATTTATTATATTCTTTATTCCCTGGATGCACTCTTATGTCTCCTGGTCATCCCCTTTGTCTACTTCTGGTACGAAGAATATGATGAAGTGGCCAGTGAAAGTGGAGAGCAGTCATTGGGGCAGCGCTTCTGGGGCGCTTTCAAGTACACCGTTTCATTCATTGCAATCGTGATTATCCTTTTCCTCGTGGGATTTTTCGCCCCTATCTCCGACAATAAGAGCGGCCTTGACTTTGATTATTTCAAGAAGTTGCTCACTGAGAACCGTAGGTCTTGGTCACAATCCACGAAATTTAAAACGAGACTAACATTGCTGCAGATGGGGAGCGTGCCTTGACATTTGCCCTTGGTTTGCTTATGACTCTTGGTCTCTGTCTTTATGTTCTATACACTTCATCCGGGCTCGCGTTGCTCCCGATTGGCTTGATCAAAACGGCTCCCTCGATATCCAACCCCACTTTGCGTGTGAATACTGCGCAGCAACTTGAGACAAATCAGGAACGACAACACCAGCTGGAGGGTCGCTGTGGGGCAAATCCGGAACTTTTATCCTCCAAGGACCGTCGGGAACTTGACACGCTCATTCGAGAGGAGAGAACTTTAATTCGACGTCAACGTCTAGTCGATGAAGCTCAAGGCGAAGGACGAAGCTGGCTCATACGGTTGTGGTTCAAGATCGAGGCCGTCTTCCGTCCATTCAAGCTGCTTGGAGGAGTTATCCTACTCTTGGTAGCGCTCTTAGTGTGGGTCTCAATGCTCCTCACGGCCATCGATAAAGCAAAGAACTCGATCTGCAAGCACCGCTGTGGATATATCCTCGGACATGTCAACATTTTCAATCCCGTGAACTGGGCTTTGGTTCATTCTGCCAAGTTCTTTCCAGTCGACTACGCCATCTTCACGGTGTTGGTGTTACTGCTATTCTGCAGCTCTGTTGCTGGCATTGCCGTGGTTGGTATTCGGTTCCTTTGGATTAGAATCTTCCAAATTCGAAAGGGCCATACCTCACCCCAGGCTCTGCTCATGGCAACTTCCATGTTGATGCTGATTACACTAGCGCTGAATTACTCCATTTCCATGGTAGTCGCTCCGCAGTATGCAACTTTTGGCCCACAAACGTTCTGCGACAGGGAATCAATTTTGCCTTTCGGGCAGCCAGACTGCTCAAACAGTAAGGAGCTCATCAAACCATGCTCTGAACTGGCGAAGAACCCTGCCGCGCAGCGGGTATGCACCCCTAGTGTTGTCAGCACGTTCTTAAACCGTATCACTCTTAATTTCCCTTTCTTTGGTGTGGTGTTTTTCTGGGCACAATTCTTTTTCCTCGGTGAGTATCCCTATCCCACGGTCTTTGTTAATGTGTTCGCGTCTTGAACTAATACCCCTTGCATTCAGGTGTATATCTGATCGTCTTCATTACTACTCTGTTCCGATCGCCGAAACTGGACGAGAGACAGCTGGACGAAGATGCCGAGGAGGCCGAAGAAGAGGGTCTCCTCGCGAATACTGGACGAAGAATCAACGCTAACTGGCAGGATATTACTGGAAGAAGTTCCCGGGCTGGATGATCCGGGGACTGATGGCTGTGGCGTGAATCAGGGTCTTGATTATTCTTGCATTTTGACTGAGAATTTTCATCATATTAATTTGTTAACTCTGATGTATACGATGTTTGAGCGTTCACAGAAATTGATTAAACAAATTTAAGGAATACATGGGAATCTCCATCTGGTGAAATTGATCACAGTCGCATAAGAATTGATAAATTGGCTCGGCATCCGCCAGCGGAGCTTGAACCAGAAGCCTTGTAGTTTAAGATAATCAAGATTAAGCCTTCATCTGCTCGTTGAGCAGGGCTAGGGCGCTCTGGAACGCCTTGACAACATCATTGTCTGCATGCAAAAGTCAGCCCTGTTCTCCGAGACAACTGAAGCACGATCGTCTCACTTACAGTGCTTTTTCTTATTCTCCACGCTCACTTCGGAGTTTTGTACGTGCTGCATCTGTGTCTTGAATCTATGGAATTTTTAGCTATCATTTTCATGGCCATGACCTTTGGAGGCAGTTTCCTGGAGGACAAGGTTTCATACCGTTTTAAAGCCCGTCTCTCATCTTGTAAGACAGTCGTTTGGGACCAAGCTGTGAAAGCCTATCTCATGGTCAATATTTAAATACATCACATTCGGGTGCAGGGATGAACAATTACCTCTAGCAATCTTGCGGTCTCGACGCGAAGCTCCTCCTCTACCCGGCTGTGCTCATCCATGGCATCCGTGTATTTTTCTTGCAGTTGGTCCCAGTCACATTCAGCGAGTCCTTGGGTGAGACGGGTGACAATGGGAAATTCTTCCACTGCAGCTGGGCTGTGGGTTTGACCAACCCCTATGGATTGAGATGTCATATTAGATTGGGCATCGCCTGTCGATTTCATGGTGACTGTTTTGCAATGGGCAATGATTTAATGGTAGTCCGAAAATTCAAGAAAACCCAGTGGCCAGTACCCAAATGAGTTGGTGGGCAATCAATGCATATCGGGATATTCCACTGGTTGTACACAACCCGTTAAAAGGGCACAGGCAGATCCTATGAGATTACATGGCTGGGTCCGCGCCCGGCCGTCAGGTGACGACATCACAACGCGCCCTCTCCGACACCGCTGCCAACTCTTCTCCTCACCCCTCATCCTCATGGTTCTCGGCGGCAGCTCTGGTAGCTCCTTCGACATACCGTGGAAATGCCGCCTCTGAACTTCCGTTGAGAGCTATAAACTAACTGCGATGAGCTGTCATATATGCGACTCTGCCCACTCCCGCCTCCCACACCTCTGTCCGACATGTGCCCGCAACCGTCTCTATCCTCTGCGCTTGGAAACCACACAGGCTCTTCTAGAGAAGGAAATCCTAGCAAACCAGATTGAAACAGCCGTTTCCCATGGACCTTTGGAAGACCAACACCTCGGGCCTGGAGAGCGGTCTTCGAGATTGAGCCATCAAAGTACTAGTACTCGTACTTGGTCTCTCCAAACGACCTCCAGCAAACAAGTCGCCTCAACATCAAGGAGGGACGACCTGTCCCGAAATACTGCAGCCTTGAAAGAGGAGATTAGGGTTAAAAAAGCTGACCTGGCGGAACGAAGAGCAACTCTGGCTCGGAGACGCGCCGATGCTGAATCTGCTCAGTACCAGCTTGTGGAGCGGGAAACGGCTAGTCTGACGGGTATTCAGAATGCAACCAAAAGAGCTGAGCATCTTTGGCATTCTTTGCATAGCAAGACGGCGGAGGCAAGGATCTTTCTTTGTCGAGAAGCTGCCCATCTCTATGGCTTACGACAAAAGACGGCGAGGAAGGGCGATCCTCATCAGCTATACGTGCTAGGAGGCATGCCTATAGTGGATTTAAGGGACATGAATGGCAAGTCTTCCACGATGGGCACAAGGATTGTGCGCGCACAGTATACTGACATCTTTCAAGGTGCCACGCCCGCTCAGATATCGACATCCTTCTCGAACGTTGCTCAGCTCCTTGTCCTAGTCTCACACTACCTCTCTCTCAGGCTACCAGCTGAAATAACCCTGCCTCATCGAGATTACCCAACCCCGACCATATACCCGCCTGCCTCCTCATATGATTTGCGCGGAATGAGCAGGAGGAATACCGCTCACTCTTCGCCGTCGAGTCAAGCCACCTCGAGAACGGGAGATACACGTACCCAGTCTCGTCCGCGGCCACTTTTCATTGACAAGTCTCTTCAACGGCTGGCAAAGGAAGACCCTGCCACATATGCGCTCTTTCTTGAGGGAGCAACATTGTTAGCCTGGGATGTGGCGTGGTTATGCCGAACTCAAGGCATCAACCTGACATCTGACTCTTGGGAAGAAGTTTGCGATATGGGAAAGAGCATGTACCAGCTACTAGTTGCTCCACCAGCCCAGCCGTCTTCTCTGATGCGAGCTTTTGCGAGTCGCGATACACAGACTAAGATCAAGTCCACCAAGGACTCCCCGCAAACGACGATACAACGCAGGAAATCATTCCCAATGCTTGGGCACTATTCACACGGCACAGTGCACTCTTTTCTAGCTGCATCCGAAGGATCCGAGTATGTGCGCACCTGGAAGCTACCAACGCCCACAAAGATCGTGGATAAATTAAAGGCCAATCTACTTGGAGAGATGACCAGTGCAGAATGGGAACTGTTAGAAGAAAATGAATGGGACGATGGGCCTACAGAGCCCAATCAGCCACCTTTCATACAGAATCCTGACATTTCAAGCTCACCTCCACCCCCCATCCAACCAAATGAAGGGGCAAACAATGAATCAGCCAGCAAGGGCCAGGGCCAGGGCCAGGGTCAGGGCCAGGGCGCAGATGAAGGCCGTCGCTCGAAAGGCAATAGCGGCTGGATGAAGCTCAACAATAGATAGAAATATGCGCATCAACGACAACAACGAACATACCTCAACCACACTTGCTAGTTTAGATATTAAATACAATACCATTTGCAGAACTCCTACCTACGAGTAACTCGGCATCATCCACCGGAAGCTCCATCTCCATCTCCATCGGCGAGGCTGCGGGATGGCCCCGGGATCCGCGCGGTTAGTAAGCTGCCGAGATAAGATGGATAATACGCGTGCCAGGTGGCCCGAAACTCTCCGCTTTGCTTTGCTTCAACGATGCGCCCGAGATCGGGATCGGGATCGCCTATACGGTGCTAGTACATTGCAGGATATTGTAACGCGAATCTGATTGCGTGATCCCAGCCTTGGCACCCGGCGGAACTTTCTTCTCCGCCCCTCGAATTGATCTTCCGAGCTTGCGGATGTGGCTCGGGCCCAGCAGCATCGAGTACACACCCCGATCAAAGATGCAGAATGCGCAGGCATTGGATGTAGGCGGGAAATCCCTTGGTGAGCAATCCATCCCAATACCAACCCCAACCCCAACCCCGCCAATACCGGGCGAGAACTTGCTTCTGACTGTCCGCCAGATTTCGCCCTCGACGCCCTCTCTCAACTCCCCGAATCTCTCCTACAAGCTGAGCTTAAACGACGAAATGGGAACTTTGTACGAGCTTCGGACACTGATGATGGATCAACCTGTGGCTCCGGGCAGCGAGGTGCGTATAACACGCCTCTGCATGTTATGGCGCTCTTCCTCATTCTCGTCTTGAGTACATTTGGTACGTACCACCTCCTTTTTCTGTCTGCTTCAGGATGGTGTTCAGCAAGAGATCGTCAAATAGTTAACAACCTCTCTCTATATTAGCATGCTCTTTCCCGGTTCTTGCACGCCGCTTCCCCGGTTTACCCATTCCACGTCGATTCCTTTTCATATCCAGACATTTTGGGACAGGCGTTTTGATCGCTACAGCATTCGTACACCTGCTTCCTACAGCCTTCATGTCATTGACAGATCCATGTCTCCCCAAGTTTTGGAGCCACTCCTACCGGGCAATGGCCGGGTTTGTCGCGATGATGTCTGTATTTGCCGTCGTGCTGGTAGAAATGTTCTTCGCGATGAAGGGGGCAGGCCATGTTCATGGAAACGATTATGATACTTTAATGGGCGATATTGGCCGTGAATCACTGGATGACTTCCGCCATGGGACTCGGGACTATTTACACGACCATGACCGGGAAGCATCGGGCAATATCCGCATGGAAGGCCTACGACAAAATGACCCGTTGGACTCCCCTGAGCCTACTGCCTCGCACGAATACGAATCCGAACACCCACATGCTATCGGCTCCCAATCAGATAAAGGGGAGGACGAAGATGCTGATATTGAAGGCCTTGACGTATATACAGACGACACCACCCCTATCAATGGACAACCCCGTTCCCGTCCCTCGGTGCACTCTACTACTGCTCGCCGTCACCGGCCGCAATTGAGCGAGCACTCCAACATGCCAATGCAAAATCCTCAACGGCAACTTTTGCAATGTCTCCTTTTGGAAGCCGGGATTTTGTTTCACAGCATTTTCATCGGCATGGCGCTTAGCGTTGCAACGGGGACCTCATTCGTCGTTCTACTCGTCGCCATCAGTTTCCATCAAACCTTTGAAGGCTTCGCCCTCGGTTCGCGCATTGCGTCGCTAATCCCCGACCTTTTTGGCCCCTCTTCCATGAAGCCTTGGCTCATGTCGCTTGCTTATGGAACTACTACACCTCTTGGTCAGGCACTTGGTCTAATTCTGCATAATTTTTATGACCCTGCGAGTGCGACGGGTCTGCTTATGGTGGGCATCACCAACGCTATTAGTAGCGGGCTTCTTCTGTTCGCGGGTCTTGTTGAGCTTCTTGCTGAAGACTTCCTCAGTGAGTCTAGCTATGAGACTCTTCAGGGTAGGCGGCGAGTTGAGGCTTGTGTGTCTGTTGCCTGTGGTGCTATTTTGATGGCGCTCGTTGGTGCTTTTGCCTAAGAGCCTTGTAAATGAAAATGTAGCATTAGTTTACGCCATCTCATGCCCTGTTACTGTTAATTTTTAGCTTTAGAACAACTTGAATGAACTATTCCACCTTGCATATGAAATTATCCAATTCATTTTCAACTTCCGTATGCTTTCTGTATATCAAAGCCAATAGTTTGAGTTCTTATATAGCAACTACTAGTTTTACATCAACACTTAACTACCACACGATCGATATACTAGTATACTTGGTCGAGTTTGAACATTCATAAAAATTAAGTTTTGTATTTCCGAAATTTTATTTGGTACGTAAACCCAGGTATCTACTACCAGCTATTCTTGTAGTGGTATCTCACACGCAGTGTTGAAAATCAGTTCATATCCATACATCATTAATATCCATTTAGAGGAGCTCGAGGACGAGGGCGCTAGCACCACCGCCACCGTTGCAGATGCCAACGCAGCCGAGCTTACCCTGCTTAGCCTTGAGGACACCGATCAGGGTAGACAGGATACGGGCACCGGAAGCACCAAGAGGGTGACCAATGGCAACAGCACCACCGTGGATGTTAACCTTGTCCTCAGAGATGCCGAGCAGCTTCATGTTGGCAAGGGAGACAACGCTGAAAGCCTCGTTGATCTCGAAAGCATCGATGGACTCCTGAGTCACGCCAGCGTGCTTGAGAGCCTTGGGGATAGCCAGGGCAGGGGCGGTGGTGAACTTGTTAGGCGCGTGAGCGGCATCACCCCAGCCGAGGATCTTGGCAATGGGCTTGAGACCGAGCTCCTTGACCTTGGCCTCGGAGACCAGGACGTGCGCGGCGGCACCGTCGTTCAGGGGGGAGGCATTGGGGGCAGTCACGGTGCCGGTGCCGGGGATGAAAGCGGGCTTCATGGCGCGCAGCTTCTCCGGGTTGAGGTTCTTGGGCTCGTCGTCCTGGGAAACGGTGACGCCGGGCTTGCCGCGGAAACCGGGGATCTCAATGGGAGCGATCTCGAAGTCGAAAACTCCGGCCTTCTGCGCGGCTTGGGCCTTCTGGTAGCTGCGGATGGCGTAGTCGTCCTGTTGCTCGCGGTTGAAACCGTGGTCCTCGGCGCACTCCTCGGCAGCGAAGCCCATGAGCTCCTGCTTGCCGTAGGCGTCCTGCAGACCGTCCTTCTGGATTCCGTCAACCAGGCTCTGGTTTCCGTACTTGGCACCAGTGCGCATGTTGGGGAGGTAGTGAGGGGTGTTGGACATGGACTCAGCGCCACCGGCGACGACGATGTCGGCGTTTCCGGTCATGATGGTCTGGGCACCGAGGATGACGGCCTTCAGGCCGGAGGCGCAGACCTTGTTGACGGTGGTACAGACGGTGGAATCCGCGAGGCCAGCACCGATAGCGCATTGGCGGGCAGGGTTCTGTCCGACACTGTTGTGAGAGAATTTGTTAGTGACATTGCCAAATGAGAGCAATTATCTATCCTATACCCTATCCTCAACTTACCCAGCAGACAGAACATTGCCAAAGAAGACCTCCTCGACATCGGCGGGGTTGATGCCCTCAGCACGCTCGACAGCAGCTATAGTCCTCTGTTAGCAATGGTTTCAAGGACGTGTCTCCGGGGTAATGATGAAGGATTGGACATACACTTGATAGCATGGGCACCGAGCTTGGGGGCGGCAAGGGTGGAAAGAGAGCTGCTTCATTGTTAGTTTATCTGGCGAAGAGGGCAACAAAATATGAGGGGCAAGTATATAATTACCCAAGGAAACCGCCCACAGGGGTACGGGCGGTGGAAACAATGTAGACGGGAGGAAGGGAAGACATTTTGGTGCAATGTAAAGGAATTGAGATCAATTGATGAAAAGGAGAAGGAGAAGATTCCACCGAGGGGAACGGTACTAATATAGTGGGGGGGGGGGAGCCCTGGAGTGAGGAGCTGTACGGTGTAGGCGGGAGTACTTGGGAACGCTCGGACCAAGTGAAAGTTGAGAATCTTCCAACCTTCCACTCCGTCACGCCAGCACCGAATCGGGGCTGCGGATCATCTTCACTTTGCGCCCATTCCTGCCAGTCCTACCCACAATGGAGGATCTTTATGACGAGTATGTTCTTTATATTCCCCCTCCTACCTGACTGCGCTTTCAATTTCTATTCCCCTTTACCAAATGCGCAACGCGTTCTAACCAGGGGCCCAGGTTCGGTAACTACATCGGCGAGGCCGACTCCGACGAGGAGCAAAATGAGCAGGTCCCCGAGGCGTTCAAGTTTGATGAAGCATTTGAAGATGAAGAGGAGGAAGAGGACGTGAACGACCAGCAGTTAATGGAGGTCGATGGTAAGCCTTGTTGCGCTGCTCTGCGCTTCGATTCATTTCCGCTCCCCGTTCGCTAATCCCCGTCTCGCGACAGATGGACCTTCAAACGCCGTCATTTTGCACGAAGACAAGCAATATTATCCTAGCGCACAACAACTATACGGTACCGATGTCGAGACCATGGTCCAAGAGGAAGATGCGCAACCTCTATCGGAACCCATCATCGCCCCCGTCCAACAGAAGAAATTTGCAATCGCCGAAACAGAGCTCCCTCCCGTTTATTTCTCTCGCGAATTCATGTCAGATCTGCTCAACTTCCCCGATCAAATAAGAAATGTCGCAGTTGTGGGCCACCTGCACCATGGAAAGACTGCGTTTATGGATATGCTGGTTCGACAGACACACGACCTGACGGAACGTCTTGAGAAGCGCATCGGTAAGCGCAAGGAGGAGCAACTGCGATACACCGATGTTCACTTTTTGGAACGCGAGCGCGGTCTTTCGGTCAAGTCAGCCCCGATGAGCTTAGTTCTCCAGGGCACCAAGGGCAAATCCCATCTTCTCAATATCATCGATACCCCCGGACATGTGAACTTTGTGGATGAAGTTGCTGCATCGGTTCGCTTGGCAGATGGTGTAGTCCTTGTTGTTGATGTTGTCGAGGGTGTTCAGGCGAATACTGAGCAGATCATCAAACATGCAGTGCTGGAAGATATTCCCATGACGCTGGTTGTGAACAAAATGGACCGCCTCATCCTGGAACTCAAGCTTCCGCCCAACGATGCCTACTTCAAACTGAAGCATGTGATTGAAGAAATCAACACAGTTATTGAAAACGTCTTGCCAGGACAAGGTGAACGCCGACGATTGAGCCCCGAGAAGGGAAATGTTGCGTTCGCTTCTAGTTCGATGAACTGGTGCTTCACATTGCAATCATTCGCCAGGATGTATGCAGACACCTATCCCCGACTTGACTCCACAGAGTTCGCCGCGCGACTGTGGGGAGATATCTTCTACAACCCCCGAAGCCGGAAGTTCACCCGCAAGGGCGTGGAAGAGAACTCCAAACGGGCTTTTGTGAAATTCGTCCTGGAGCCTATTTATAAGCTTTATTCTCACACCCTTAGCGAAAGTCCCGAGGACCTTAAGGAGACATTAGCTTCGGTGGGCGTCCACCTGAAGCCGTCTCAGTTGAAGTCGGATGCAACAGAGCTGCTTAACCTGGTTTGTGGGCAGTTCTTCGGCCCTCCCAGTGGTTTCGTCGATATGGCAGTGCAACACATCCCTTCGCCAGTCGAGGGCGCCCAGCGCATGCTAGAACGGTATTATACAGGGCCATTGGATTCAAAGGTTGCAAGCTCAATGGCAGCCTGTGACCAAGATGGACCCCTTGTGGTTCATGTCACCAAGCTTTTCAGCAGCACTGACGCTACTGGGTTCTACTCGTTCGGAAGAATTCTGAGTGGTACAGCTCGTCCCGGTCAGCAAGTTCGTGTCCTTGGTGAAGGCTATACCCCCGAGGATGAAGAAGACATGGTTGTCGCAACTATTTCCGACACATGGATCGCAGAGACTTGCTACAACATCTCCACAGATGGTGTTCCTGCTGGTAACTGGGTTCTCTTGGGAGGTGTGGATAACTCCATTGTTAAAACCGCCACCCTGGTCCCCCTTAAGCTCGAAGAAGACGAAGAACCATTTATCTTCCAGCCCATTAAGCACATGACCGAGTCGGTCTTCAAGGTCGCTGTGGAACCCGTCAACCCCTCCGAACTGCCGAAGATGCTTGACGGTCTGCGCAAAATTAACAAGAGCTACCCTTTGATCTCAACCAAGGTCGAAGAGTCTGGCGAGCACATCGTACTGGGTACGGGTGAGCTATATATGGACTGTGTGCTGCACGACCTTCGTCGACTGTACTCAGAGATGGAAATCAAGGTTTCTGATCCGGTGACACGTTTCTGTGAGACTGTCGTTGAGACCTCTGCGATCATGTGCTACTCGATCACCCCAAACAAGAAGAACAAGATCACCATGATTGCCGAGCCTCTGGATGAAGGAATCGCCGAGGACATTGAAAGCGGCCGGGTCAGCATCAAAGACCCTATCCGGAAGGTCGCTCGCTTTTTCGAGGATAATTACGACTGGGATAAGCTTGCCGCTCGCAGCATTTGGGCATTCGGCCCCGACGAGATGGGTCCCAATATTCTCCAAGATGATACCTTACCGTCTCAAGTGAACAAGCAGCTTCTTGGAACTGTCCGAGACTCGATCACTCAGGGTTTCAGCTGGGGAACCAGAGAAGGACCACTATGCGAAGAACGTAAGTCTTACTCTTTTCTTTGATTCATAGACATCGATACTAACCTTCTACTTCCAGCCATTCGCAATACCAAGTTCCGACTCACAGACGTCTCCCTTGCCGAGCAAGCAATCTACCGAGGAGGAGGTCAAATCATCCCAACCGCTCGTCGCGCCGTCTACTCTTCATTCCTAATGGCTTCCCCGCGTCTCATGGAACCAATCTATTCCTGCACAATGACCGGACCCGCTGACGCCGTGGCCTCGGTCTACACCGTTCTCTCTCGCCGACGCGGACACGTCCTCTCAGACGGTCCTATCGCGGGTACACCGCTATACTCCGTCCGCGGCTTGATACCAGTGATTGATTCCTTCGGTTTCGAAACGGATCTTCGCATCCACACCCAGGGCCAAGCCTCAGTGAATCTGGCCTTTGATAAGTGGAGCGTTGTACCCGGTGACCCCCTGGACCGCGATGTCAAGCTGAAGCCCCTCGAGCAGGCCGGTGCTATGGCCACGGCTCGCGACTTTGTTCTCAAGACGAGACGTCGTAAGGGGTTGGCGGAGGATGTTACAGTTAGCAAATTCCTGGAACCGGAATTATGGAAGGGATTGAAGGAGAGTGGTGTTTTGGACTCATAATTTCATTCATTGGTTTTTCTTCCAGTAAGGGAAGAAAAAGAAGAAGAAAAGGAAACGCAACGAAAAGGGTTTGGAGAACTATGGAGTCATCACCGATGCGCCGAGCGGCGTGGCGCAATCGCTTTATGTATTTCTACCCTAGGTAATGGTCTCAAGTCAATTATACACCGCATGAGTGTTTGCTTCATTCTTCCAAGTCTTGCTTATCGTATCATGGAGGTGAATACATAGAGAAAGTTCAAGTTTGGTTTATTTGGTTTTGGTTTTGTCATTCATTTCAAAGAGACCTTAAATCCCAGCCCTTATAAGTATCCATATCCATATCCTAAGGTACAATACATCGGTATCACAATCACATTCACTCATATTCATAAATCATATCATCGACAAGTCTCCATCATCTTAGCAATAACCTGCATAAGCGCCCCATTTTCCAGCGCCGCCGCAACGCGCTCCTTATCACCGAGCTGTTTATTCACCTCATCACCAGTGCTATGAGTGCCTTCTTTAATGCGTACATCCATCCGGAAGCGCGGGGGAAGAGATTGTTCCAGTCGAACGCGGACACCGAGGCCGATGACTGTTGCTAGACTGCAGTGTGTGATTGTGGGCGTGATGAGGACGGTGACTGTTTGGAGGGGAGAGGAGGGAACGCTTGGTAGGGTTGGTTTGATGGATATGTCGGGGAGGGAGACTACGGCTAGTTCGCCGAGGGAGAGGGGGTGTTCCGGGTCGGAGATTAATTTTATTAGATCTGGATAGGATGAGGTTAGTACAGTACACATGTACATGCACATAGACACTAGTTGGGCGCAGTCTTACCGAAGATCTCTTGCTCGTCGATGGGCTCCTCTAAAAGGTCGTCGTCTTCTGAGTCGGAGGAGAGGAAATCGGCCGGGTTGGGGACGGCGGCGAAGATACCGGAGGTATAATCATAGTCGCCGGATTTCTTGGTGGACCTGGATCTCGTGGGGAGATCGGCCACGTTTAGGATCGTGGGGTTTGAGTTCTGTACCTCCGCCATTGTGAGTGATGTGACGAGTATACGAGTAAGAGTAAGTGACGAGGGGCAAACTGAGGATTAGAGTCGACCCGATTTGGCAGTCCGTCCCACTCGGACCGATTGCGGGCTGATCAGGTGCATCCACGTGATCAATAACATTTCCTACCAGGTGATGTGATCACGTGAGAAGAAGCAGGATACAGTCGTGTTCACGTGACCAGGGCAAATGGAAAATAAATGGACCCGGTGGACTGGATCGACTGACTAGTAAAAGTTACAGGGTACTCTGGTGGAGGATACTGTAGGATCCTGTAGGGGTAGAGGGAGAGGGAGAGGGGACTATGGCCAGAGTCTGAGACATTACGTCGATTAGACTCCGGTCACGGCAAAAAATGGAAAGCTTCTTAATATCCAGTTCGGTACTTGGCATTTTCTACGGAGAATTTCTCTTCTGTGTGTATCTCAATCTACCCTTATCCTTATTCCCGTTAAGGTTCCCGGTCGACCCTAATAAACCTTTCTCCAGATTCTCCAACTCTGCGTAGCCAGTGTAAGTGTACGAGTACGCGTGTACGAGGACTCCGTAGGTACGAATTCGGAAGAACCTCGGCTCAATCGAGTCGAATTTGATCGCCCGGCTCCACGCTGACTGACAACAATTTGCCTCCTTTTTCCTACTTTCCCTAGCTTTTTTGCTTTTTCTCCTTTCTATGTGGTGATGTATTCCTTTTTTCCCCTCTCTATTCAGCTGTCCATCCCGAGCTGAAGAATACATCATTACTCCGTACGCGTAGTCAGCCTTGATTCTAACCCTAAACCCCCTCCCCCCCCCTAAACAAACTCCCCACGTCCCGAAAGCTTGGATTAGGTTTGGATAGTTTGGCAAGGTCGGGTATTTTCACTTGGGCAAGTTGCCGAAGTCGATCAGGATTGCTGCATGGGCCTCCACCGGAAGAACCCAGCAACGCAATTTGTAACCATGGCCGTTCCAGTTCGTGGGCTTCCAGAATCTCCTGGTCCCCACCCCTGTGTCCTTAGCTCTGCATGTCTCGCGCTCTTAGGGTTTGTGAAACCCAGGGCACCAATCCCGAGAACCAGGGAAGAGGGGGAGAGGAGGAAGAGGGTTTGGGGTGTTTCAACTGAATGAGCTTTGCCTTGACTTTGCCTTGACTTTGCCTCGACCGAGGTCTATCTACGTATGGTCATTGCTTTGTCTTTCTTGGCCGGGGTTTAGTGGGATTAGTGGGATGGATTCTTGTTCCAATACACTACACGTGTAGGAGGATGCATGGAGTAGATAAAGCAATGTCTGACTGAGCTACTTTATTCCTTACACTCAGTATACACTCAGTGTATACCAGTATAATACATACAAGTTGGTCAGATTACGACAGAATCAGAGCCAGAGTCAGAGGCAGTCAAGATATATGACATCCACTTAACCTCTCTGCTTCCACCTCGGGCCGTACTTAGTCAATAATTGGCCATGTGTTTAACCCTGGAGTTCGGGATCTGTAGATTAAACCAAAGCCCCCCGGTAAAGGTAGGGCTATTATTACGGAACACGAGGCAATCTTTGATCGCCCCCCTTCTCCACTTTGCAGTGGAGGAGTGGGCGCTATTGGATATCCATGAATGTCCACTACCTTCTTGGCAGTCGAAAGGTGCACCCCTCTCACCTCTCAGCTTCCTCCGCCATTTTCGATCCTCCCCCTCCTCCTCCCTAAACCAAAGTAAATGCCCCTTGTCTCCACCTTTCCACATTGCGCATTCATGATGCTCGTTCCTATTGCCGGTGTCGCCGTGTTGCATTTCCGACTGACTGTTCTGTTCTAAATCTAAAGTCTACTAAGTAACGTCTCCACGTCTCTCGGAAATCCTTCGATACTTCAGATCGCATGACTCGCTAACCTGCGCGCAGTCTGCACAAAGAGTCTTTTCCTCTCTCTCGCCCACACAACCTTTCCTTCTCGTCAAACCGAACTCCATCAACTGGCAATTGCGTGCGCGCGCGCATGGTCCACGCTTACAGATCTGCCCAATCTCTCTATCCCGGACGTGATCAAACCCGCCGTGCGGAGGCTGGTGCGATAACCCCGAACTCGCGACTTGCGCCGGCCCATAGCGCCGGCATTGTCTGGTCTCACTATTCGCCAGTAACAGTAAACCCCCCTGCTGTTAGATATTGCACGGACGATCCTCGCGCTCTCTTCTCGAAGTATCCCCTGTGTCGTTTCCGCCAGCTGCCGCCCGCGACGTGGCCTAGAGTTTACTCGGTGATATTCACGAATCTTCTTTCAGCTCCAATCTCTGTTCCTTTCAAACCACACACAAACACACGTCCTCCCTCCCTCTATCTCTCTCTCTCTATTGTTTTCGGTTTCCCAAGGCAGGCCCTTGCAAGTTCCGATTTCTTCAAGTCGCGGGTTTCTTGAATCGTGACGTGACCCATCAACTTATACTTATAATTCGACCTGCCTCCCCCTTTTTTTCAGAGAGATTGGAGCAATGCAGGGTTACTCATTCGCCCCTCCGTCAGGGCCTCCTCGAGAAGGCCAAAAAAGTAGATTCTCCCGGATATCAGTCCCCACCGCAGCCCAATATGAAACGCATGCTGATCTTTGGGCGTTTTAGACTATGTGTTTGTTGATGAACATAATCGACACAAAAGACTGAAGGGTTTGTAATCCCACTCCCTTCCGTTCCATGTTCTATCTCGACTTAGATGCTAATAATTGATAGTGATGCGGGCATGCAATGGCTGCCGGAAGCGAAAAATCAAGTGTGATGCTGCGACCACCAATACATGGCCTTGCTCGGCGTGCACGCGTCTGAAACTCGTCTGCGTCCCTCCCACTATCGGGCAGGACGGTGAATTCCTTGACGGACCGGGTGGAGAGTCCATCGATATGGGAGGCCCTTCCAGCGCCTCCGAAGCCTCTCATCATTCATTCCCGGTACCTCCGACATATAGAGATGGCAACCAGCCGACGATGGCACCCTTATCTTCTTATGACTCAATGGGCATGTATTCGCAATATGTTCAAGCACCGCCAAATCAGCCCGCGATGTATAATGACATGCGGTCCCCTCCAATGGTCATGTCGCACCAACCCTATCAACAACAACCTCAACCCCAATTGTATCCAGGGGCGCAGCACCCCTCGCTTGGCATTGCGGACCGAGGAGTGTATGCTGAGAGCGAGCCATCCACAGCCGAGAACCTGAGTGATGTTCTTGGAGAATTGAAGATTGATGAAACCGGCATAGGTATGGCTTTTGTGCTTCCTCCTGTATCACAGTGACGTTACGAGGTTACTAATCGATCGCAGCTCCATATATTAGAAGACAAAGAACAGATCGCGCCGAACCCGATGTACCGGTTCAAGATGACGTGGAAGAAAAACTCCCGCCTCTCAGCACAGGCGCTGGCGCGACAATCCGAATTCCACCCGAACTTATGCCCGACGAAGACGACGTGATGAACTACTTCAAAATTTATTTCGATGAGATCCATCCGTACCTCCCTGTCATACCACGTGCGCATCTGTATTATCAATGGCAGAATGATCGCCGCTCCATCTCTCCCCTCCTGCTGGAAGCTTTGTTCGCATGTGCAGGACGTCTGTCCGATGAGCCGGCCGAAGGTGCCCAATGGCTTGCTTTGGCAAATAGTAAGTCCATCACCATGACTCACCACAACCTTTGGCTAATTTCTCTCCTCCAGGGCACGAAACCAATTTCATGGATGTTCCGCGCTTAAGCACGATCCAGGCACTGCTCCTCTTATTGAAAGCACGGGAGTCATTGCCCAAGAAGGGCTATTACTACCGGTCCTGGCAAACGGTCAAGACAATCGTATCGATGGCCAAAGATTTAGACATACATGAACATTACAGCACTCATGCCGAAGGAAGACCCTGTGACCTGAGTCCGATTGAATGCCTGGTCCATACTCGAGTTTGGCAGGCTATCTTGGTAGTGGAGATCATGATCGGTGCTCCTCAAGGTAAGTGTCCATTTTCTATCTCTCGATAATTCGCTTGGGAGAAATCAGTCACTTACCATCTTAGGTCGCTCGGACTACGGCGTTGACATCGAAACTGTGGACATGCGCCCTACGCTGGACATCAGGGGCCTTGATGCATATGAATCGGATCGTTCCAGGCAATATGCATATTTTGTTCGCAATGCGCGTCATATTCGAATCATCACAGATATATATCACAAAATCAAAAAGCAGAAAGACTGGGGAGCCAATCCCCAGTTTGCGCAGAAGAATCCGCTATTTGCAGATTGGCTTCGCAGCTTACCGCCCGATCTTCAGGTCAATTACCCAACCGATGGCTCCCCGCCATGGATTCCGTCTCACTTTGTGGGTAATATGCATTCTCATTGCCACTTGGCCATTATTTTGTTGCATCGCCCGCAACTCGCCTCTCAGTCCTTTGCGGCTGGGGGTGACTGGAAAACACACTTTTCCTTGTGTTATTCCTCGGCAAAAAGTATCTGCCGACTACAGGAAGCCATTCTTGAACGATTCGGCCTCTCTGGCCTTCTTTATATGCAGCGCGGAATCAACTTTGCCATCTACTGCATTCTCACTTGCACCATGTTACACTTGGTTAGTGAATCTTTATCCCAATCCAATCGACTCTTCCTAATCCAAAAAACAGATTGCTATCACATCTCCAGATCCCGAATTCAACTCCGACGCGCGAGAGTTCTTCACGCGCCACATGCGCATACTGGAACGCTGCTCAACCGCCTGGCCTATGCCCGAGATCCAGGCCCAAATCGACTCACTACGGCTCGCCTTTTCCGCAGACATCCATCGACCATTTGAATTGAAGCCAAGTTTTCCATACGGGAGCCCGTCGGAGCCATATCAGCCCAGTCCTCCCATGGACGCGCACTATCATCCGCATCTAGGCAATGTCCAATCCAGAGTGGGTCTCAACGCACATCCAATCACCCCTCCGATATCCGCTGGTGCTGAAGACTCCAAGTCCGACACTTCCTCTCAGTTGCAGTCCTTAGGAATGGTTCCTCATCAACCGCCCACAACGCATCCCCTTGACGCTCCCCTGGTGGACGAAAATAGCTGGGACCCTACGCGCATTATCAAGTAATTAGCCCCGCCTCCTTTCCTTCCAAGGGTTCTCATTCCAGGTCTAGATTATCTGCGTGGTTGATTGCCCATACTGTTGAATGCGAATGCTAATATTTCCCTCTTTGAAATTTCTAGTCAATGGGACATGGCTTTCTCCGTCAACCCATCAACCGTCAGCACAAATTCACCCCCAATGCCAATGAACACCCCCCAACCACAACCAATCGGAAACATGGTGAATCAACATCAGCATCCACATCAACAATATCCCATGCAGTACGAGTCTCCTTCAAGAACCGTCCCATCAACCCATTCCGTCTCCGTTTCTCCCCCGCAATTCCAGGCCCCGCCTGTCGTCTTTAGCGCCAGGGACTGGCAACAAAGTGTGGCCAGTGTTTTCGATCCTCAGGGATTGAAGAGGCGGTGGAATTACTCTGTCGATATGAATGCCGACAATAATATGGCTAAACGACAAAGAGGATGAGACAAGCCCTGAGCCGATCCGATCCGATAGTTTCACAATCTCCATCCACATCCACATTTCCCTTTATTTGTTCATGTTTATCATTTTCATTTTCCGGTCCGATGTCCATACTACTCTACTACCCCCGGTGTCCAGGAACTACGACTACGGTTACGACTCGTGTATAAAATGTGATGTGATGTGGCCAGGTCGTCTACGAATCATTCTCTGATGTATTCACTGATGTCGATTGGCTGAAACGAAAAATTGGATTTCAATAAATCCACCCTTGTATATCATGACAACAAACTATGCCTCCAAATCCCTATCTCATCTCCTTTATCTTGAGGAAATGAGATTTGGATGGCCTTTCTGGTTCATATAAATCTTCCACCCAACGCCTCCAATTCGTGTATAGACTCATGTGTAGACGTAAATGAAAATTGCATTGCAGGGATAGGCCACCTGGGCAGGCGAATGAGTGGGTGTCTGGGTGTTGTGTGATGCATAGTGTGTCGTGTTCATCGGCTCAGCCGTGAAATATCATAGCCAATTAAATGGAATAAATAGATGGCAGAATAGAATTCCCAATCGTCATGAAACCCCAATTATATGGCCGTGAAACATTATCGTTTTTCGTATATTATTCTCAGATGTTTTGCGTTTTGCTGAAGAGGAGAAGGAAAGGCTCGTGGCCAAGGTCAAAGAGGAGCGTTTATTTGTCGGTGACGGATTGCGATGTCTCCAATCCAGCACAACACCATAGTATATCTATCATCCGGGCCATCACCCCTGTCGCCCGAGACCAATCCTCTCCTCACGCGAACGGACGATCCTCGCTTTATCACCGGGTAACGGTTTCAATTCATCACTTGGATCGAAGCCTGTGTTGGTGTTGGTGCCGCTCTTCCCTTGCTCAGATGTTGCACATCTGCTTTGTTCCTCTTGTTTGCGGAGCCGAGACTCTTCGAATGCGGCGATGTCTTCCATCGTGACTGTTATGGCGGTGGGTTTGCGGCGGAGCATTCTGATTGTGTAGTTGGTGTATTTTTTGTTTCCTTTTTCTTTCAGATTGAGAGAGAAATAAAATAAAACAATGGCCGTCAATCGTCGAGGTTGCGGTAGCCCGCATTGCGGTCAGGTGCGGTTTTCTGCCGGGGCAATAAATACACGGCGGTGCTGCATCTTTATATAGAGAACTGACAAAGTACCCCTCGGCCATTCACGTTTTTTCACCAAGAGAAGAAATCTATAATTTAGTATCTAGAATTAAGCTATTATACCAGTGAGCAGAAATAAAAGCAGCTTCCAGTACATTGACACAGTCAATCTACAAAGTACATAAGTTCAAGATAGAAAGGCGGCGTCCAAAGCGGTGAATCTTTGACGCGGCCCGCCGAGTTCAACTGAGTCTTTCCCAAAAGTTGAGTTGGTCCGGCCAGTGGGTTCGTTCAACTTTCCACCATCTCCTCACCTCACACCACAAGATGATGCGGCCTCAGCTCAGGCAACTCGCCCGTCACACGGAAGCCGTGCGAATTGGCCTCTCCGCACCCGTGCGTCCCTTTTCCGTTTCCTGCGCCGCGAGAGAAGACGAGAGCAAGCCATCAGGTAGGTTCAATCCATCCTCCACATACTATCTACACCTTAAGGGCTATATCAAGGTCCCAATGCATGAATTGGGCTACCAATGCTACCCACAATTCAAGTTTTCTGACATATTTCTTCCCCTGGACAGCACCAGCCAACCCCGAACGCCGACAGAACGCCCAGACCAAACCACGCAGACCTCCAACACAGTCGCGTGGCCCACCATCCGGCGCCCCGAACAGACGCCCGGCCAACTTGAAAGCAATTGATGCCCGATCGTTCGCCGCTCCCGCCGCAGGAACCGACCAACCTCGCATTATCCGCAGCCCGCGAGCACGCAACGTCCGACCCGGCGGCCAAGGCAACCAGGGCCAGGGCCAATTCCAACGCAAGCCCTTCAACAAAAAGCCCCTCGCCAAAGCCAAGGGCCGTCGTGAACGACGACCCCGCGACGCCAAGAGGGACGATGGCGACGAGACTCAGGAAGCCGCCGAGGAAGCTGCCATTGAAAAGATCGAGCAGGAACAGGCTTTGAAGGAGCGTCCGGTGCCGGTTCGTTATGAGCCGCGTGATATTGATTTCTCTACACTGAAGGCTACATGGCCTTCGCTTCCCTCGGATGCAGACTCCCGCTCTGCTGCCGTTCTCGAAAAGCTCGCGAGCCTTGGTGGTCGTTTTGCGAATGGGTATATTCCTCCCCATGAATTGGGTAGACGGATGTGGAAGGGTGAGAATGTCTTGTTTGAGAGTGAGGCTGAGCAGATTCAGGCGCTTGAGGAAGTTAAGCGTCTTTCTCAATTGCGTGCTGATAAGATCTCGCAACGGAAGGGTGAGCTTGTTGAGCCTAACGAGGTTAAATTCAGTGCCCTCAATGCTGAGGGTACGAAGACTTTGATGGAGAAGTACGCTCAAGGGAAATATCCTGCCCTGGAGGCGGTTGGCAAGGACCAGCCTGCTGCTCTGGGTGATGTGGTGCGGAATCTTCGAAACAATGGCACTTATGAGACGGCGGGTAAGAGGCCTCAGTTTTTGGCGAAGGTTGAGTCTTTACTCTCCTCCAGCTCCAGTCGTGTGAAGCGCGCTTGAGCATATTGAGATGGGCTTGATATGATCGTCTCATTGCAGCGTGTGGATTTTGTATTATACATGGGGTTTTCGTTTCCTTTTTTTCCTTTGCTGTTCTTTTTATCCCTGGCCTGGGCATGTTTTTGGGCCCTTCACAGGCTCTCAGACTCTTGTATCTAAATTTACATTTTACATTTGAAAAGTGTTACTACTATCACATCACCATCCAGAAAAGTCTTCTCAGGCTCGTAAGAAATCTGCTGAAGCTTATGCTTATGCTGTTTCCAACATCTTCCTAGCCCCATCAAACAAATCCTTAACCTCCTTATGACCCTTTTCCGTAACCTTCTCCATCTGGACCGTGGCATTGCGCACATCATCCGGTCTCGCCGTCTTCTTCTTCTGCATATCCTGTAGTCGTTTGTGCATGGAGCCACGCGCATCACGGACGCTAGCAGCTGCCTTTTCAAAAGCAGCCTTGGCAACAGTCACGCTTTGGTCTCGGGATTCTTTTGTCGGGGGTGGAATGGGGATGTTGAGTTGGAGCGGGTTGTGGGGGTCTGCTTGCGGGGTTAGGGATAGATTTGAAGAGATGATTGATGATGATATGGGTTTGATGTGCTGAGAGTATCGGTTAGATTAGCATTCAGTCGCATCCTTTCCATAATTGTGAACTGAACTGATTGTATTGAAACGGAAACTCACCTCCTCCTCAGCGGCTAAGATAGTAACCATCCGCCCACCCTTAGGCACGACCTGAGCCAAATCGCCCAGCTTGAACGAGTCGGCACTATCCTTGCTGAGCTGGACTTTTAATCCTTCTAGTGTGGCGGTGTTAAATCGGCCCCCGGCGCGAAGTTTCGAGAGGTCATCTTTCAATCGTGAAACGGCGGTTGATATGCCGGTTTGAAGGTGGGAGAGATCGAATGGGTCTGGGCCTTCGGAGCCGGTAGCGGCAGGGCTTGATTGTGAGTCCGAGGCGGAGGTGGGTGCTTTCTTGCTGCTGCCCTTGTCTTTCTTTTTGTATAGGCAGGGTGAATTGGCGAAGGTACGTTGGTGCAGATGCGATTGAGGCGAGGTCAGGTGAGGGAGGAGAGCAGGTTGCCAACCTTTAAATACAGGGCGAGATTGAGTGGTGAGCCTAGTCGGTAGGCGAGTCGCGACGCGTAGCATTGTGGGCAGGGGTTAAAGGTCTTAATTCGAAGTAGAGTAGAGTAGAGTAGAGTAGAGAGAATGTGAGGGTCTTGCTATCGGCCCCAGAGGGCAAAAAAAGGTTGGGGAAAGCGGAGAGCCTGCAGCTGCAGCTGCAGCTGCAACGACCAAGCATGAACTGCAACTTGGGTAGTTCAATCAGACCACCACTCATAGGTCATATTGAGCATCAAGCTGATAGACTACGACTACTTGTTACTACTCTACTCAGATACCACCAGTAACCAAGACACGCAGAGAAAAGGTCGTCACACATTAAATTTGCAACGTTAAATCTTCGTCTACAGGAACCGTACTTTTTAAAGACAAAATGGAAAGGGGTGACGGTGACGGGTGAAAAAAGAGAAAATACTGCGCCCAAGTGTGCCCGGCTTCAAACACAAAAAGCAAGGGCCAACGCTGCCCCTAGATCTATACGGCTGCGGCAGACCTTCCATTATCCGAGGAAGGGGGTCATATGTTGGCCGATCCTATGTTCATCGCTATCGCTTCGCTTCGTTCGCTTAGCGGGTAGCCATGGCCTTGGTCATGAGACGCTTGAGGGCCAGCTCCTTCTTCTTGAGGTCCTCGGGGGTGGAGTCCTCAACCTCCAGCTGGGCCATAGCGTCAGAGAGAGCGGACTCGATGCGCTCCTTGTTGCCACGCTTCAGCTTCATGGCCAGGGTAGGCTCGGAGATCATCTCCTCGACACGGGAGATGTAGGACTCGAGCTGCTGGCGGGACTCGAACTTCTTGGTGAAAGCCTCGTCGCTGGTCTTGAACTTGGCGGCGTCCTCAACCATCTGGTCGATCTCGGTGCTGGACAGCTTGCCGACAGCGTTGGAGATGGTGATGTTGGCGGTACGGCCGGAGGTCTTCTCAGTGGCGGTAACCTTGAGGATACCGTTGACATCAACCTCGAAAACACACTCCAGAGCGGCCTCACCGGCACGCATGGGGGGGGAGGGGAGCAAGAGTGAACTCTCCCAGGGAGGTGTTGTCGGCACAGTTGGTACGCTCACCCTGGTAGACGGGGAACTGGACGGTGCTCTGGTTGTCAACAACAGTGGTGAAGGTACGCTTCTTGATGGTGGGGACAGTCTGGCCACGGGTGACAACGGGGGCGAAGATGTTACCCTCCATGGCGACACCCAGGGAGAGGGGAACGACATCCAGAAGGAGGAGGTCAGCGGTCTCGGCGGAGGTAGCCTTTCCGGAGAGGATACCGGCCTGGACGGCGGCACCGTAGGCAACAGCCTCATCGGGGTTGATGCTCTTCTCGAGCTTCTTGCCATCGAAGAAGTCGGACAGGAGCTTCTGGATACGGGGAATACGGGTGGAACCACCAACCAGGACGATCTCATCGACCTTGGACTTGTCCATGCCGGAGTCCTTCATGACCTGCTGGACGGGGTCCAGGGTGCCGGAGAAGGCCTTGGCGTTCAGGTCCTCGAAACGGGCACGGGTGATGGTGGAGTTGAAGTCCTCACCATCGAAGAGGGAGTCAATCTCGACAGTGGTCTGGGTAGCGTTGGACAGAGTACGCTTAGCACGCTCGCAAGCAGTACGGAGACGGCGGAGGGCACGGGCATCGCCGGACAGATCCTTCTTGGTCTTCTTCTGGAACTCCTTCTTGAAGTGGTCAAGGAGGTTGGTGTCGAAATCCTGACCACCAAGGTGAGTGTCACCAGCGGTGGCCTTGACAGTGAAGACACCACCCTGGATGTTCAGCAGGGAAACATCGAAAGTACCACCACCCAGATCGTAGATGAGGACGTTGCGCTCCTTGTCAGACTTGCCAGCACCCAGACCGTAAGCAATAGCGGCAGCAGTGGGCTCGTTGATGATACGCAGAACGTTCAGGCCAGCAATGGCACCGGCGTCCTTGGTAGCCTGACGCTGGTTGTCGTTGAAGTAGGCGGGAACGGTGATGACGGCCTTCTCGACCTTCTTGCCGAGCTTGATCTCAGCAACCTCCTTCATCTGTTTTATTGGTTAGTATATTGCAATCTGTCTCTGAGGGGTTTTTTAAGGAAAAACTTGCCTTCATGAGGACCATGGAGGAGATCTCCTGGGGAGTGAAGGTCTTGTCCTCGCCGAGGTAGGCAACCTGGACGGCGGGCTGGTCACCCTGGGCGACGACCTTGAAGGGCCAGGACTCAACATCCTTCTTGACGATGGGGTCGTCGAAACGGCGACCAATCAGACGCCTGTGAAAAACCTTCTGGTCAGAATTTTTGTTCCGTTTAAAAAAAAAATAAAAAATTCAATTCTTCAAGGATATCCAAGTGGATCCCCGCAAAAAAGGAATATCAATGGATCTTGATAGACTCACTTGATGTCGAAGACGGTGTTGGCGGGGTTCATGGCAGCAGCGTTCTTGGCGGCCTCACCAATCAGACGCTCCTTCTCGGTGAAAGAGACGAACGAGGGGGTGGTGTAAGAACCCTGGTCGTTGGCGACTGGGTAAATGTTAGCATGGAAATGGAGCGAAGTGGTGGTTTGTCGAGTGAGAACGCACTGATCTCAACGTTGGTGCCCTCATAGTTGGCAACGCAAGAGTAGGTGGTACCTGCGCACAAAAGAAAAAAAATTGGTTAGCGGACGAATCTTGGGAAGAATGGAATTGAGACAATCATACCGAGATCGATACCGATCGCACCGTCGTACACCTCAGAGTCGGCCATTGTGAAAATAAGTGGTGGGAATGAAAGAGTGGGAAAGGATGGAGAAGAGGGAAGGGGAGGGGTCGAATTTTTTTAATAAAAGCAGTGCCACACATCGGGAGGGCAGAAATTTTTCGGGAGCGGTAGGTCACGTGTTATGGGGGAGGCGGAAACGAGGGAGGCTTACAGTAGCGTTGCAAAAGTTTGAAACCCCATATTGCCCACCATTATTGACCGCCTTCTAATGGGAAACTGGTAGCTACCTAGGATGGAAAAGATAGGCTAATCTATTCTGTCTTAAGTAGCTACTACTCTGCGATTAGAAGACGGAGACAAGAACAGTCAACAAGGGGTTTCAAACTTGTGCAACGCCACTGTACCAAATACAGTGGGTGATGAAATGTAGGAAAACTTAGGCGTAAGGCTTGAACTTTAGGGAAACCTCGGGTGAATATGATAGGTTTAATATTATGATAATGACCAAGACAATAACCAGAATAAAAAAAAAGAACAGAAGAGAGACTCGAGAGGCAAAAGAAAAGATAGAAGGGGGGAACGCATGATACCTCGGTGCTTCAACATACCCTCCTCCAATAAATGCAGTATGCAAGAATACACTCATCCAAATGTTATACAACAGACCTCATCGCAACAAATTGAAAAAAATAGTGACCCGCTCATAGTCCACTTCTGAGCCCGGGGGGCCGGATTTCGGTGCCCCTCTTGGCGGCCCGGCAATCGCCTCCAAATCAACCTTTGTAGTACCCGGGTGGAGTTGGATGTCGTACGCCAGCGTAGTTGTCTCCCCAGACGGGTGAAGTCGATGTGTGCCCATAACAGCGACCAATTTGGTCTGTTTCTCTGCCGTACTAGCTGCCAATGTAGGCCTGACCGTCAGGATGCGATGCGACGGCGGAAGGCTGATTGTGATTGCCTGTTGGCGGAGAGTTGACGATGGAGGGATGTCCAGGCATAAATCTTGTTGTAGAGCAAGTGATGGGTGGGTCGAAATTTGCACATTCTGAATCAGAGCAGAGCTTGCATCTGTATCACTGTCAGTGACTACATCCAATCTATTTGCTCGGTTTCTCGAATCAGCTTCGATTCGGGCGGACACTCACCTTGACCTGGGCGCCTCCATATTGAGTCGAGAGGTGACAATGATTCAGGGGGTGGGTGGGGAGGAGCTGGGACTAAATACATCAAAGTCAGCGCAATCAAGAGCATATGGGCAGGATCGAGGGATAGCGCCACACCATCATACGGAGCGACTCCACCAGTAGACTCGAGGGGGACGCCCTGGAGAACATGAGAAGAGCGTCTCTCGGGATGCTGAGATGATGCCATGGGCGTCTCATCTTTGACATGTGTAGCATCTCGCACATTCACAGGCACCCCGTGCGGCTGCTCAGAAGCAGAAGGAGTGGTGGCGATACTAGATCGGGGACTGCCGATCTGTCGTCGAAGAGATCTTGTTCGAGGAGAACGTGGTGCATCGGCATCTTGACTTTGACTGGCTGATCCGGTTCTCACAAGCTCTTGTTGTCGTTTTAGAGCGTCGTTATCAACAGCAACGCCAGATGACGGTACATCCTTAGGTGTCTCGGAGGTCTGTCCAGACATCTTCAATGTTAACCTTTGCGCTGCGGGCTCGGAATCCCTTGCACCCATCTTCAATCGAATTCGAGGCATTTCGGGGGCACCATCTACCTGCATAGAATCGGGCACCAGCTTCTTTGCTTCAGTCACGCGCCGATGGAAATACTCCTGGGTTGACATTAGCATTAGCACAAAGACCAGTGCAAATTTACATGATGCGATTCAGGAAAGACTTACCTCCAAAATCCCCGCAAGAACCACGATGTCACTATCGTCTTCGTTATACTCCCTCGCATTTCGCCAAAGATAGCTGACCTCTTCTTCGAATGATTGCCAGGTAGGAAATGCGGTCGTCTTGGAGGGATTTTTGCGACTTTCAGTGCCGCGCACCTTCTGCTGAATACTTCGTATTGACACGGGATGATGGATGAGCTCGTAATAGTCGCGGTATAGATTTCGGTCGGGCTTTCCGACAAACGGGTATGCCACTTCTTCACCACTGCGGAGAAGGTTGGTTAGCTTCGCGTCATCCTCCACGTTCCATGGGAAGCGAAAATGCCTACTCCGAATCCTTCAATCTGGACAGTTCAGATATGATCCTATCCTGTGCCGATTGAATAGTGTCGCCCTCGAAGTTCGCCTCAGATTCCTCTTCCTCTTCCTCTTCCTCTTCCTCTTCCTCCTCCTCTTCAGGGTCCGAGTTCACATCGTCCGCCTCGTCCGCCAGCTGAGTGTCTTCCTGGTCCGGTAAATCGTCATCCTGTCCCAAAGCTCGAAATGTTAGCGACACAATTCAATTCGCCCATGCGACGTAGAAGCGAATGAAGGAGGAAGTGGAGATGGAGATGGAGATGGAGATGGAGATGGAGGGGGTGCGGGCTCTGACTCGTGGCGGTCGGAGCTCGTCGCACAGCTCCGTCGCAAAGCAGATTTGCATGAGCGGAGCCCAGCATCCCTGCTTGGAGGAAGATCAATGCTAGACTGTCCGCAGGAGCGGGCTTTCAGACGCGCATCGGAGGGACGGGCAGTCATCTAAACAGGAGGAACGCGCACGATTACTTACAGAAACTTTGCGCCGCTTTTGTCTGCGGAGCTCTGGGGAAGCCGCAGCCGCCGAGCGCCGTTTCGAGCTCATATTTAGGTCGGGCAATTGAAGCGCAAGGACTGGATAAGGGAAAAGTAGTCTTGGACGAGGGATTCCCAGTTCATACCTCGAGGGGTGCAACCGACGCGCGCGCGCGGCGATCTGCCCCGGAGGGCCCACCCGTCGGCTCGCCGCCTTGGGTAAGTCAAGCAAGCATAGGCATTGGCAGACAAGTAGGTAATTAGATAGTAATTAGATAGTAATAAGATAGTAATAGTATCTATAATAGCTGGTATATGAATTTAGGTGTTCAATAATATCTCTGATTATTATGAATTGTAATTAATAACAATACTGCCTAGAGCATTAACATCTGTTAAGCAGAATAAACCATGTGACATATATGTACTTCACACATACTCCGAGTCCGAGTATAATAACGCCAAGGTCAAAGTCAAAGTGAGCAGACCTCGAGAAGTGCCGGATACTAGTTACTATTGATAAAATGCAGATACTATCCTTAACAGCACTTTTCGGTATTTATAAATTCAATCCAGAGCCAGACAGATCTCCCAGTAACATATCTACTAGTAATATACCCCATCCACTTGTCGCCTGAGGCAGCAACAAAGTCCACGCCGACCCCTCCATTTTCGTCCCGAAAACAAACCCGCTCTTCAAAACGCGACCCCATCTTTCTCTCTTTCCCCCTCCCTCTTTCATCTCGGTCTCCACTCCAAGGACACCTTGATATAATCTTGATCTCTCAATCAATTCCGGTCCGTGTCTACTCTCGCAAGCTGCGACACCCACCCTCCAAATTATTTCTCGCGGAACCCCCGACTGACCTCCGCCACGTGCAGCTACGGATTCCTCTACCACCCATTCTCCTAAGACCTTCACTTTCCTCCTTTCACAATGGATATCGATCCCATCCGGCGAAACAAGAAACCCCGTCTTCTGCTGGAGTCGGAGCGCGAGCGTCTTGACGAATTCATTGACTCCATCCACTACTCAGCCAGGTATGATATGAAATCGATGCTCGGGGGTTGCTCGGAGGTCCGACGATTTTTAAATCATTTACTGACTCGACTCGGTATCAGGTATTCCGATGACGCATTCGAGTATCGCCATGTCCAGCTGCCCAAAAACATGCTCAAGAAGATCCCCCAAGATTATTTCGACAGTGCCAAGGGAACGTTGAAGTTGCTCTGGGAGGAAGAATGGCGAGCGTTGGGGATCACACAGGTGCGTTTAGGTGGAGGTAGAAATGGAAATAGAAATGGAAATCTCCTTCTGCAGACCTCACTGACACGCTTCTTCATTTTCTAGAGTCTGGGCTGGGAGCATTACGAAGTCCATGAGCCAGAGCCTCATATTTTGCTATTCAAGTCCGTCACCCTCCAACTCCAACTCAAATCCCCAAATCTATCGCTGACCTGTGTTTCTCTCTTTCTTCTAGGCGTCCTCTTAACTACCAGCCCCCGCTGACCCAATAAGCTCCCTTTCCTCACGAATTGATGCTGTTGCAGTTGGAAATCCTACCTTACTCCTCCTCCCATACCATCCCCTCCTCCGTTCTCACTTCATATGCTAGGCTCGACTGTGGTCTTCCCCATTTTGTTTCCTTTTTATTCTCCTTTTCTTATGATCGCATGAACATGCATAGCTTGTTATGTTCACTAGGGCCCACGGCAGCTTCGTAATGGAAGTTCCGGAATGAGATATGATTCACATTTTCCTTCTTCAATTTCCTATGAACATGAACCGGCAGCGGCAGCGGCCTGGAATATCTAATGCATTGTGCAGAGCTGGGGCTGCTCCGCCTGCTTGCTCCCAAGACCTAGGTAGCACAGACACAGACACAGACACAGACACAGATGCGCGGCCTTTTGAATGTTTCTGTTCTGGCCATCAGACCACGTTCTTTGCCAGCCATTCCTCCCATTGAGCTGTGCTGAAACCACTGCTTATCCCACGCTCTTCCGCTCCCTGGGCGGTGTCAGTGATTTGGTTGCCTTTCCTTCGAGAGAGGTTTGTGCCTTACATTGAAAAATACAGTTGGTGATACGTGCACCCCAATCACTCGGTCCGTCTAGATTTGTGTCAGTCGGATGTTTCTTCCACTTCCAGGAGTTCTTCCTATATTGGGCGAGGGGCTGAAAAAAAAACAAAAAACAAAAACAAACCTTGACTATCCGCTTGATATCATCTGTGACCTGATTACCCACATTCAGCGCTCCATCCGGGCCGAGGGTATCGGGAATCTTCAATAGATCCAACACCTTCCCCTCATCGACGCCAACGGAGCCTGCAACCTGGGCCAGACGCTCGTATGTCTGGTTACGGGTTTCATTGACCACGTTCACGTCAAAGAATTCACCCTGGACTTTGAAAAGTGCCGCACTAAAGGCCCAGAATTTCTCGGGTGCTAGCCGGAGAACGGCGGCGCCGGCTTCGTGGGTGAGTGTGGAGGATGGGTGCCAGGGCTGGATATGCTGGCGGAAGATTACTTGGAGTCGTGGATTGTATCGTTGGGTGATTTCGGAACTCAGGGAATAGAATGTATTGAACAGTTTGGCTGAGAACTGAATAGCGGGTCCGAGGTTTTAGCTGAGATATCAAATCAAAGACGAGGCATGTAAGCAAGGATTAGATTAGACCAACCGGGCACACATAGTCAAGGTCTAGATAGGCCGGTCAGCATATTTCATCACGAAGAGGATATAACTCATACATACACAATTCAAGAGTATGCTGTGTTTCTTCTTTCTTACCGCCCGAGAGCTTGATACCGGCAAAGTTAGGAGGAACAGACATGGTGATGGTGATAGTAGTGATGATGGTGGAGGAAGTAGTAAAAGGGATGGTCTTGGGGCGGTCGTGGATCTGGCGTCATACTAGTATTTCCTTACCCCGCCGGTGGAGATCTGGGCCAGCACCGCCGAGCTATCTGCTTATAACGGGTTGGTGGTACTAGTAGTACATATACACATGACCCGCTATGATGACACCATGAACTACATTTTCCTCGGCTTCATACCCAGCTACGTAAATTTCACGGGTCATCTTGCTTCGGTACGGTGATTACCACCAGGATACCTGAAAGTTAAGTAAATTTACAATAAAATTGAGATTATCTTTTTAATCTGATATACATCTTGCTTGAAATGGGTATAAGAGTTATTGTTGGCTATTTTCAGATTCTGTGTACTTCCTTTGGTATGCGGTTAAGTGGGTTCGAGCTTGAAAAATGAGGGCAACACAAGAGAGCCAAGCAGACAACAGTCACCTCACCTGAGCGGCCGTTGTTTATGATAACTCAAGTCTTTGAGTTTTACATCCACAGTTCGCCATCCAGGCTTCGCTGGGTCATACTCGCCCCGAACTTCAAACCGGCAAGACCCATGCGGCCCCTGCACCCCCACGGGGCCAGAAAAGAAGAAAGAACCCCGGAGCGGAGTTCGAGGAGATTGAGATTGATGGTCGTGCAGCCTTAACTTGAAGGCTATAGATGCCAAATGAAGATCGGACCCTGGGCCGAGATCAGGCAAAGGGAGCCGCTGCAGTGACGATATGATAAATGATGGGTGGAGTTCGGGTTCGGCATTGGATGGGATGCTCTCCGTAGGACGGTCGGATATTCGCGGTTGCAGTTGAGACTGCTCATGGGTGGTCATGGGATTCGGTTGGCTTGAGAGGGTAAACCTCCCGTTCAACAATTGTACATCGTTCGGTTGACCGTCGGGGTTCATTAGGCGGTCCATTTGTCTCCTGTATAAGACATAATAGGCATCCCAGATTGCGAGTGCCACGTGCGTTGGTCTCATAAATGTCGACAGCCTATCACCTATCTCTGGGCTCATCGGTTTTGTCGCCCACAATATTCCGTCATCTGTAAGTTCCATCCTGTGTATGGTTAGCGCGAATTCATCAATTATATACGATTCAACTGGAGCCAAGCATACCCAGCGCGCACATATTCCGGCGGAGGACGAGACGGAAACTGTGGTACCAGCCAAAGTCCTGTTAATGATAGTGGACCTCCAAGAAATGGCGAGATCTGCTCAGAGGCACTCTGGAGGATAATGGCCGCAAGTTCATCTGGCATTTGTTAGTGTTGGCTCGATTCCGGTGGAATTCAGAAAACCAAACGAACCTCTCAGCTTTTGCAATTTCTCGCGATCCTTTGATATCTTCGAATACACCTGCCATTCCGGGTCTGATGCGGTGTAGAATTCACCCTCCTGTTCTTCCAAGTACCAAGTAAGGGGGATGAATACGGGCTCATCCTCCTCTGCCTCCTCCTCTGCTATTTCCTTATCTTGGCGCTTGGATTCAAGTAGTTCCTTTTCTTTGAGAGGTTTTTTACGTCTTTCCAGCTTTTCATCGGGGTCCTCGTCCCAGTTGGCGTAAACTCTAACAATGACAGTCCAGGTATGGAAAGCGACGCCGTAAAATAAACATTTTCCGATAAAGGACCTAGTTCATAAAACAGTCAGTGGAAAGATCCTTGTGAGAAAGCCGATATAGACATGAGCTTCCAATCGCCCAGGGAATTCCATCAGGGCTGCTGTGCTTTGTTGCCATTGACACAGGCATCTCTTCAAGTAGGGCCTGCGCTGGAAGGAACACAGAGCAGCAGGTCTGAAGCCGAGAAGAATGACCGGGTCCCAGTGGACCATCTTCCAATATCCCAAAAATATAACTTGAAAGTACTAGACTCACCTTAGCCAGGGTCGTCGAAATCTCACATGTCGAACAGGCGTGTGAGCGGTGATCGTTTGAGGCCCAGTATAGAAGCGCGAGGGACGTGCTTTACTTCGCAGTATCTGCCGTAGCCAAAGCATTGAGAAAATCCGTCCAGAAGAGATCCTCAGCCACAAGAAGCACCACGGGGTATTGATATTGACATGGAATGGTGGGAAGTCTTGGGTTTCGACGAATGTTAAGGAACACGCCGATCGCGGGCGCCGGCCGGCCGCTTGCCACGTGACGCGTTATCGCAATGGACAAGTTCCCGCTCGGGAGGGAGCTACGCTGTTGCTGTCTCCGTTCTGTCTTTGACCTTCTCGACTGACCCCATTCAAGACAGTCTCTTGTCGGCCCAGTAAATAAGGGCTCTTGTATGGCTGTCACGCCCACGACCACGACCACTCCTCGCCCAACCCAACCCAACCCTTATCCGTCTCGAACCACTTAAGCTTCTCCCATGATGCACTGGCTTTCGAAACTCCTGGCCCTGGCGGCCACGAGTGCAGTGGGGACGAATGCTTTCGAGTCCTCAATCTTCACATTTCATGCGGACAACCAGGCCTCCGCCGATTCCACCGGATCACAGACCGTCTCGGAAGATGTTGCCCGACTTATCCTAGAGCTCCGCATGAGGTCACCTTTACATTCGAAGCTGGGAAGCATGGATCCCGATGTTGTGGACAATCTTGATCAGTATGCGGACTTTCAGTACTCTCTTTTTGGAGGCTCGGATGCCGAGGATAAGCTCGGCCGGAGCATCATTTTCCTAGAGGGACTTGATGAGGAAGTTGGTATGTTGATTGAAACTCGTAAACCGATTTAAAACGACTCATCAGCTCACCATTTTGCCTTTTGATTACAGTGTCAACTCTCCGCAAGAGTCAAGATCATAGCATTTTTGTGCCCCATGCTTCGTCGGCCATGGTCAATGATGCCCTGGAGCCTCTTATGAACAAGGCCAATGGAAAGCATTGCACATATAGCCAGCACGATGGCGCATCCCAGAACTCTCGGGTATGAAAGCTTCCACCCCATTACTAGAATATGTGCCATTCCCTTTGCTAACAATTGGCTTTTAGTCTATTCAAGAGTGCCTCGCCTACAACCCCGTTCTCTTTCACGGCAGCGGCTTATCTGATCATGATATCCTCGGCCTAGTGGATTCAATGGAGACATTCGTCAGCAAGAATACAAAATTGACTAGTTCAAGACTGGTATTCGAGGTAAAATAAACACACATACGCAGCCCAGATGGAGTAATGGCAGCTAGCTAAACATTACCACAGACGAAATCAGTCAAGACTGCCCAAATCGCCAAGTCTCTCGAAGCTACCTTTGCCGATCTGGCCAAGACTGCCCAATCAACCAACATTGAAATCACAATCGTCGCACTCCCAGTAATCGACCACACCCAGGAATCCGCGCAAGTCCAACGACGCTCCGTGGAGGCTGTATCTCAAAGGTCCTCGGCGTCAGCGGACTTTGTGCACACAAACCTCGCACCAGTGTGCCACGCCTCAAACTCTTCATGCGAAGACGCAACAAATAACTGCTCCGGTCACGGATCCTGCTTCTTGAAGTTCGGACCTGGTAATGAGGACGCCAAGGGTAACTGCTACGCCTGCAAATGCCGACAAACGACCGTTAAAAGCAGTGATGGCTCTGTCAAGAAGATCCAGTGGGGCGGTGTTGCTTGTCAGAAAGAGGATATTAGTTCTCCATTCTTCCTTATTGCCAGCGTTACCATTTTGGTTATTGTTCTGGCGGGCAGTGCTATTGGAATGCTTTTTAGCATGGGCAATGAGGCCCTTCCCAGTGTTATTGGTGCTGGAGTGGGAACTTCAAAACAGCAGTCGTGATCTGATTTGATCTCATCTGATCTCATTTATTCCCAACATTCCCAATGGGATGGGGAATTTCGGTGTTTGGTATTTTTATTATCTTGTATGTGAACTCGGTTAATTGCTTTCTTTGGACATGACATGTATTCCAACTGCTTAGAATCTACCCTATCATTCGAGTATTTAAACTCGGGGCTTTCTGATATCCTTCATTCTTTATCGAGATCGAATTACTACTACGTAGTAGCGTCAGCTAGTGTCACATCTCAAAGTGACAGGTCTTAGTGTCTCTTGGCGTAATTAATAGAGACCAGAACTTGACGTTCGTATATTACTGTAGCTTATATTTACTTTCCTTTGGCGAAAAAAAAGCTGGATATAGTATGTAGCGTAAATCATCATTACAGGTTGCGCCCCAGAGAAAAAAAGGGCATGTTTCCCAGAATTGGAAAACAAGTACGCACACTTCAATCTCTTCAAATATCAAACACAAGGAGGAAAATTCTGCAATGCCACTCTGCTCTCACGAGACCAGGCCAGGCCATAGGGTGGGGCTTTGAAATGGGTATTGAGATGTCTTGCAAACGCGTACAGGACCGAGGTCGAGATCGAGGCCGAGTAATTACATAAAATAGATAAAGACATGGACAACGAAGCAGCTGCTTTATATCGACCAAACATTCCAGATGTTGATCCAGCATGCAAATGGTTTTTTAATATCAGTAAAATCGTATAGTCCAAAAGACTAGGAAAATCGGGGGCAAAATTCATTATGTAGTGCCAGCCTCGAGTTGGGCTGGGGTTCGAGTTTCTCCAGCGGCGAAGCCTGGAGCCGGAGAACTCCCGGGCAGTTGTTGTTCGTTTGTTGGAGATGTCTGTGTCTGCGGAGATGGATTCGAACGCAGACGAGAGGGGATGAAACGCGACCATCGCGACTGTGATTGTGTTTGGTTCATGTCGGATGTAGTTGGTTCGGGGCGAGTTCCTGCTCGCGGGGAGCTATCTTGTGGTGGGTATTGAGGTGGAGGGGACGATTGGAAAAACCGGCTAGGTAATGCCACCGGCATCCGGAATAGATTCGACGCGCCCCCGGGTCGTGCTGCTCGAACAGGCCTGGCGAGGAGATCAATACGACTTGTTGCAGCACGACGTCCGTTACGATCTGCACCGGCAGCCCCGTCGGGCGCCTGTGAGCGAGGCTTAGGAATATAGTAATCAGCCTTGCACAAAGGACAGCAAGCCCTTCGACTGGTCAACCACGGATCGACGCAGGAGGCATGGAAAGCGTGTCCACAGGTCAATCCACGAATATCATCATCGTCCTCGATGGTATCCAAGCAGATCGCGCAGGAATCACCAGGGTTTGGCAATAACTCGGAGGGAACGGCTTTTCGAATTTGATCACCGTCTTCCTCGTCCTCTTCGGCCTCGATGCCTTCGTTCACCAATGAGTGCCGCCACTTTTCTTCCGCATCGGCTGCATCGTCGTGGTGAACTACGGATACGCCCGTCGCAGGAGAAGCTTTCTCATCCGCTGGTCGTGAGGTTGATTCGAGATGTGAAGCAGGTGTAGAATCACTATGTGTTTCTTCACGCAGACCGTTTTCGACCGAAGGCGGCGAGGTTTCATCCGTAATGGGCGCAGGCGCAGTCGCAGTCGCAGTCGGGGCGGAAATAACACCACTTTCGTCAGCCAGACTCGGCGGTCTACTGTTCGGAGCCGTGATGCCACCTTCAGTTGGAAGGCCCTGGTGGGCACGGGATGACCTCCACACCTTGTATTTCACCAAGGGGAATCGCTCATTGACCTCATCCATCGACATGAGTTTCTTTTCGCGTCGTCGGCGATGAGGACGTGGCATGGCTACCAGGTCAATAGGGTCGCCAGTCTCCTCGCCGTGCAGCTGGCGGTTCCGTTGATTATATCGGAAACAGTATTTGACACCGACAATGATCCTGTTAACCGTGTTAGTATTGTGCCCAGTCGATTCTTCACGCCAAGGAGGCTGCAACGGCGCAGTTTAGTGATGATCCAACATACCATAGATTGGTGAAGACGACGCCAAATCCGAGCGCGACAAAAAATAGTAGCGGCGAGCTCGTGGCGCCTGAGCCCCCGCCGCCTCCGCTACTGCCAGTTGTGGTCGCAGCACTGGCGGCTGCCGTGGTGGTAGAAGGTGCCATCCTGATCAACAAGGCAGGGGGTTGGCGATGGGATCGTAGGGACGTAGGGATGCAAATCAAATGCTAGGTCCCACTAGATGTCAGGATTACAGGGCGTCCGTAACCATTCCTCCAGGTGCTGGATCGAGAAAGCGCACGATGCGTAAATGTTCACTTGTCGTGTTCTCAAGGGGGGTTTGCGGGGGTTGGAGGAGGAGAAGGAGGAGGTTGGTTGTTGGCTGTTGGCTGAGGGTGACCGACGCTTAGGTCAATGCGAGCTGCATGCAAGCCGATCAGACCAGGCAACTGAAGGGAAGAGGCGTTGCGGGTTAAAATTTTGAGAAGAGGCTCCGAATAGTCCACCAAAGGGATCAGCCAAGCGAAGTACTCATATCATCGTAAGGTGGATCCTGTAGGTAAAGCAAAGCAAGAAGGCTGGACGCATGCGGAGGAGCAGAAGAGGAGGTTGTCGGTCACGGGAACTCGGCTGGGGCTGAGAGGAGAGCGAGAGGGGGCTGGAATCAATAAAGGAAAAGGAGAATACGAAATACAAAGTAGATAAAGAAAAGAAAGTTCAGGTAAATTGTAAGGGGCAAGCAAGTTGAATAAAATTAAATTCAATGTAGATCAATATGAAAAAAAAGGTGTAGCGATAAGGGAGTGGAGTGGAGTGCGGTGCGGGTTCGGCGCGGCGATGTGATGTGGTGATGCTCGTCGGGAAGAAGATCCAACTCGACCAACCACCACCATCATCATCACTGCCAGCACCTCCGCCACCACCCCGAAGGGCCACCATTCTGCTATATTTCTGCTTGATTTTCGACCTCCAACGTCTTCAATACAGTTCGCCCTCCATCAAAACCGATCATGGCCGAATCCATCACCCCATCAGAAGCCACCAATCCTGTGGTCTTCTTTGATATTGCCCTTGCAGGTAAGGGCGGTGCTGTCAATGTCAATCCTAAAGCAGGATTTCAATTACCCATTGCATAAATCGCTAAACCCCAAATCATCTAGGCGAGGCCCTTGGCCGAGTGAAGATGGAGCTATTTGCCCACAAAACTCCACGAACAGCAGAGAACTTCCGCCAATTCTGTACGGGCGAAACCAAGTCCTCCAAGGGTCAACCACAAGGCTACAAGGGGAGCAAGTTTCACCGCGTTGTATGTACCCTTCAAGCTCTGGAGTCTTCTCTGGGGTTTAAATCCAAATTTCGAAAATCGCTAGTTATGGTTGGTTGATAACTAACCAACTGCGCCTCCTTTCCAGATTAAAGATTTCATGATCCAAGGTGGTGACTTCATCAACGGTGATGGCACGGGAAGTTGTACTATCTACGGCACTCCCAAATTCGCTGATGAAAACTTCGAGCTTCAGCATGATCGGCCTGGTCTGCTCAGTATGGCTGTAAGCACACCCCCTTCCCCTCTTCATTCTTTATTTGCATGTATTGACGCGATCAGAACTCCGGCCCAAACACCAACGGCTGTCAATTTTTCATCACAACCACCGCAACCCCATTTCTAAACAACAAACATGTGGTATTTGGCCAAGTCATTGATGGACTGGATGTGGTTCGTATGATTGAACACACACGTACCACCAGAGATAAGCCGAACCAAGATGTTTCCATCGTGCAGTGTGGAGAGATGTAAAAATAGCCCTACAGAAGAAAAGAAGAGAGAGAAAAATCAAGTGGCGATAATTGTGAAATGAAATATATCTTCATGGGATGTCAAACATCTGATCTATTCTGCCTATAAAACGCCACCACTTAAGAGACCCTGGCCTGAGATGGGGGCCACCGATACGAACTTTCGAAAATCGAAAACCTCAAGACTTTTTTTTGCCTCCCTAATTTGATATTTCTCGAAAATAGAATAAAATACCCCTTAGAGTCCTAAAGTAACATTTTGCCTTGCATATTGCCATTCAATACCATTATCGAACCAAACCAATTTAGATCTTGAATTTGCTCAAATATTCAGTTGCAAGCGAGACAGCCTCGTCAATTTTGTCTGGGTTGGTACCGTTTCCAAGAGAGGTTGCTCCTTTACCTCCAGCCTTGCCTCCAACGGCGCCGGAAACGACAGCGGCCCATTCTGTAGCAGATGCACCTTGGTCACCAAGTTCCTAAAAATTGTGAAATATTAGTTTAGTTCCCATCAAAAGCATGTTTTATTTGTATGTGACTTGACTTACCTTGGACACGAAGCAGCCATGAGCAACGCGGGTGTGCTCAGAGTCAACAGCCATAACATATACGTTCTTGTTCTGCATTTTCGACTTGACGTGGTTGATAGACTCGCTGACAGCCTTCGCGCTGGCCGGATTGGGCAGCTTCACGACAAACCACGAGGAATCTTTGTTCTCAGGGTCTTGGAAATGGGAGTTGATAGCGTCAACGGCCTGCTTAACCTCAAGCTTCTGTTGAGCCTTTTGTCCATCAAGGACCTGCTTGTTGATAGCAGTGAAACGAGTACGGAATCGCGCCTTCTGCACAGCGGAGATCACAAGTTGGTTGAGGTCCACTTGGATTTGCTTGGCGTCACGTTCCTTCTCGGCTCCAAGAGCCAGGCCATCCAATCGGTCAAGGCGCTGTCCAAATTCTTGGGCTAGACGCTGGACCTCGTGAGCCTCTTCGCCAGTGACGGCGATAATACGACGGATGCCCTTGGCGATTCCGCTCTCTTCCAGAATGATCAGGTCCTTGATATCGCCGGTCTTCTGGACGTGGGTTCCGCCGCAGAACTCGATGCTGACCTCCTTCCAGCGGGGATCCTTCACATCACGCAGGATTTCTTCCAGCTCAACGCCAACAGAGACAACACGGACGGGATCGGGGTAGGTTTCGCCAAAAACGGCTCGGACGCCGGAAATCTGCTGAGCAGTGGCCAGAGGGACTTCTTGGGAATAGACGGTGCAATTTTGGCGGATGTACTCGGTAGCCTTTGCTTCAATCTTCTCCAGATCGGTGTCGGAAACCGCGGCCTTGTGAGAGAAGTCGAATCGGAGCTTCTCGGCTGCGACAAGGGAACCCTTCTGGTCGATTCCATCGCCCAGAACTTCCTTCAGGGCAAAGTTGAGAATGTGAGTACCGGTGTGGTTGTTCCGGATCGGCCAGCGGCGGAGTTCGTCATACTCAGAGATGACAGAGTCACCCACGGACAGTTTACCATATTTCATGAAACCGGTGTGGAGAACGTATCCAGCGTAGGTCTGGACATCACCAACCTCAAGCTCGGCCTGGCCGTCAATGACAATCTTGCCGGTGTCACTTTCCTGGCCACCCTGCTCAGCATAGAAGTTGGTCTTGTCGAGGATGAGCCCAAGTTGCTCGCCCTCGGGGATGCTATCGGTATTTTCATGGAAACTTCTAGCATGGTAGATGGCCTTGACATGGGCAGTAATGTTTTCCCTGCCGAATTTGGCCGAATCGTCCGTCTTCGTAACACCGCTCATTTTCTCCAGCTTGTTGATATCGTGGACATCAAGCTTGACGGCACTTGCGGCCGCCTTCTTCTGTCCTTTGCTGGCCTCCTTGGCCTTCAGGCGTGCTTCTTCGAATTCAACATCGTCGATGCGAAGGCCACGTTCCTCAGCCATGATTTGGGTCAAGTCAACGGGGAAACCGAAAGTGTCATAAAGTCTCCAAACATCAGCCCCGTGGAGCTTGTCATCGCCCTTGACCTTGGCCTGCTGGGCGTATTGTTCGAATTGACGCTCGCCCCGATCCAAAGTCTTGGCAAATGACAATTCCTCCTCATCCAGAATCTCCATCACGTCCTGCTGCTTTCTCGTTAGCTCGGGGAACATCTCGCCAAGCTGCTCGACAACAGTGGGCACGAGCTTGGAGAAGAAGCTGCCGATTTCGACTTGGAAATATTTACGCGCGAAGCGAGCTCCTCGGCGCAGAACACGACGGATGACATAACCACGACCCTCATTGTTAGGGGCGACACCATCGGAGATAGCAAACATGAGAGTTCGCACATGGTCCGCCACTACACGGTAAGCAGTATCGATACCATCGGCATCTTCGGCACCAAATTTGCCGCGGTATTCCCGAGCTCCGGTGGTCTCTTGGATGGTCTGGAAGATAGGTGTGAAGACGTCGGTATCGTAGTTAGATGACTTATCCTGCAGGATAGAAACCAGACGCTCGAATCCCAGTCCAGTGTCGACGTGCTTGTTGGGGAGAGGTTGCAAGGAACGGTCTGCCTCGCGGTTGTATTGGATGAAGACGTTGTTCCAGATCTCCAGCACGTTGGGGTCATCCATGTTGACCAGGTGGGCGGCATTTCGGCCACCGATGCGGTCATAGTGCACCTCACTGCAAGGACCGCAGGGGCCTTGGTCACCCATCTCCCAGAAATTATCTTTCATGTTGCCAGAGAGGATGTTTGCCTCTGGAACACCCACGGATTTCCATAACTCCTTTGCCTCCAGGTCAGGTTCCACGCCACTGGCCTCATCGCCTTCGAAGTAAGTGACATATAGGCGGTCAGGTTGCAGGCCATAGACCTTGGTGAGCAAAGTCCACGAGTAGTTAATGGCTTCCTTCTTGAAGTAGTCGCCGAAACTCCAGTTACCGAGCATCTCGAAGAAGGTCTAAGATTGGCGCATGAGGTTAGATTGATTTCGAGTTAAGATGATCGCGATAGAGACTTTGTAGGCCAATACTCACATGGTGGTAGCTGTCCTTGCCGACATCGTCCAGATCCTACAGCGGGTGGTCAACAAACTGAACCATATTCTTACCACGGATGAATGATCATATCCTACTCACATTGTGTTTTCCACCGGCACGAATACACTGATAGGGAGTGTTAGCACAAGATTCACAAAAGAAAATACCCAGGGAATTGCTACCTTTTGCGAGTTCACTGCACTTTTTAATTTCGCAAAGTCTGACTGCGGGTCAACGGTACCGAGGAAAATCGACTTGAACTGGTTCATGCCAGCATTGGTGAAGAGGAGGGTTGGGTCGGAGAGAGGCGCGACGGCCGAGGAGGGAACTAAAAAGTAAAACCAACACCAGGTCAGTAAATGTCGTTGTGGTATAGGCGTGGGCGTGGGCGTGGCGGGGAGAGGAGAGGGGCAAAAGACGATCGCGGGGTCACTCACCAAAAGTATGACCATTCTCCTTGAAATAATTCAGGAAAGTCTCTCGGACCTTTGGAGCGGTCCATTCAGGACTATTGTCAGACGCCATCCTGGTAAGCGTTGGTGGCTTGGTGGAGGTGGAAGAGTGGACAAAGCGAGGATGGAAGGTTCTGGGAATTTGGAGTTGGCGCGCAAAGGGAAGATGAGTCAAGGTCAAAGCCAGTTCCCCCCTCAGAACAACCCCAGGCCCAACCCACATTGACCCCCCTTCTCAAGACTGATCTATTATACCAGAACGCACACACACACAGTTCCCCTTCCTACCAACCAAGATCTCTTGAGCTGCCGCTCGTACTCAATAACCAGAACAGGGGGTGTTGTGGATGGCGCGGAGTGATGAAAGATCGCAGCACGGCAAAAAGCGCGCCGCAGAGGGTGACCCGGATGGCGCGCAACCACTAACCAAGAGATTTGGTCGACTCCAATTAGGTATGTCCTCTCCCGGGGCTGACCAGGTGAAATGGGTTGCGATTGCGCTGCGACTGCGACTGTGTTGCGATTATGGATCTTCAATTGACATGTCTTCTATCTCGCAGACAATGTTAAGCCGAGCCCCGGTGCTCGGGCCAAATACCACGAGACTCCGACTCCAACTCCAACTCCAACTTCAACCTCAACCTCAACCCCAAATCCCCTCCCAGTCTGCCCACCTCAAGGCCAAGCCGATGACCATGAGTCGATGATCCTGGACGACACTAAACACACCACCTATGTATACGACCTAGATCGAGAATTGGCCGATTCCGATTCCCCGCCCGGCGCTCTAGTCCTTTTGCCTCTAGCGGAGCGTATGCTCGCCGTACCCGGTTCGGTCCTTTCAGATGATTCCTCCCAGGGGAAGGAGTTGGTTCTTTACTCTGATCCATCCTCGCTTTCGGTTCCGATAGAGCATGATAGTGTAAGAAGGGCTATAATTGAGTCAAGAGCCAGAGCGAGGGCCAAAAAGATTCAACAGCAACAGCATTCCCATTCGAACGATCCATCAGATATATCACCATTGTCATTGGCTCCATTATATTCGATTTCGCATTCGGATTCGGCTAATGTCTGTGATGACGACCCAATGGATATTGATTAAGAACTATGATCAATACCTGGACACTTGTAGAGAGAGAGAAGAGAGAGAGAATATAGTTGAAATATTGTTAATCATACACCCAACCATGTCATACAAATTGATTATCCCCTCCCGGTGAAACTTCTATCTCTTCCATCTTTGGAACCTTTTATTTAGATCTGAGTTAATCCCTTCAACTAGTAAACCTTATAGCAGGCATCATATCCTAAGACAATTTAAGTTTCCTTTCAAGACAAAGCTTTACATAGAGGGCACGTGTGCCTTAAAGCTTAGGCCAACCTATTTAACGTGGTTGGTAAGCGAGCTGCGCATACAAGCGAGCTGCGCAGCCGCCCACTTTTTTGCGTCCTCCCGCGTTCATCTATCTTCTATCAAGCACCATGCCTCTAACTCGCGTCCATTCAAGCCAAGACTCTATCGAAAGAGAGGGCCGTATATTACTTACTATATAGGCTATTTAAAGGGAAGAAATTATATCTATACGCAAAACAGTACGTCGCTTTAATGTACCCGAATCTACACTATATACACAACTCCACAGTACTACAAATCGCGCTATAACTCACGCAAACTATTATAAATTAATATAGATTAAAGAGGAACTTCTTCAGCAATGGATATTATTACTAGATTAACGTAGAGCTACCCCTATATAAGCTTACGTACGAGAAATAGCTAATTTGCTTCTTATAAAGCACGGTTCTACCCCTATCTAAACTATCAGTAAAAAATAGGTATATAACTTTATATAATGTTATTCAGAGCTTAAATCTTGTTATTTATAACGATATAACTATCAGTAAGCACTATAAGAAGATCTAAAGATTATCCAGAAGTAGTTTGATCTTGTTTAAACTATAATTCAGTAATACAGTATCCTTACAGATAATATCTATAACTTTAACGAAACTAATTTTGTAATAGGCCTCTGTATAACTTAGAAAGTAATTACTTAATCAGAATACTACAGTCAGAGATTAGTTTTATAGCCAGAAAATTATAAGTAGATAACCATAATTAAGTTAATCAGTACTTTAGGATAGGCTCTTCTACTAATACTTATCTTTAAGGATAAATAATATAACTAAGTATAGTTTAAAGAGCTTCTGTACAACTAGTACTTTAAAGTTAGTATAAATAGATAGATATCTAATAAAATAGGTCTTTACTGGCTTTAAAAGTAATTTATTCTATTAATAAATTATTATATATATAGATAATATTAACTCTTAATTCTTAATAGATATAGAAATTATCTTATACCAGAATTTAACTAAATCTATACAGATTATAATATTATACTGATTTATATACCTATATATTCTTTATATCTTTTATAACTACTTAATATTAGATATTTTACTGTTTTAAAATATACGTACGGTAATTTAGTCAGCCAGAAAATATAACTTAGGATCAGCTATATCAATAAACTTAATTTTCTTATAGCTTATCTATAAGCTTATATCAATATATTTAAGTCAGATACTATTTAAAATAGCTTTTAAACAGCTAGAATAGTGTTACAGGATTCAAAGTATACAATACCCCAGACTTTCAAGGCTGATTTATAGACGAATCCCCTTTGAGTCATCTGTATATCGATATCTACCCAAACCCTAATATATTTAAGATCCTATAAGTATTCTGGATTCTTAATCTTCTTAAGAATCAGTCTCTGTATTGACTACCTAATCTGATCTCTACTGTCCAATATCCTTGCCTAGTCATAGGTCTCTAGCCTAACAACTTAGTAACTATTATAATTCTGATTCTTCTCTTTTAACTACCTAAGGATTAAAGATAGTACTCTCTATATAATAAAACCCTATATCTTTCTGTAGTAGTATACAATCTAAAGTCACTATACCCCCCTCTCCTATAATTTGACCTAAGATTAAATCAGCCCCAGATTAGCATAAAAACCCTATAGAATCTAAGCCAGATCAGATATTAATCTATAGAGCTACTGTATATAATACTAACGTATCTCCTCCCCCCCTCTTATAGGATATAGATCAGAGGAATTATAGGTAAACCTATAACCAAGAGTATCCCTGAGCCTAGAAGTATTAATACAGATAGTCTAGAAGAGAAGAGATATAAACTAAGGTATCTTAAAGAGTTCCTAGCGATCTAGGCCTATATTAAAGAGCTTTCTGCTTAGGTTTCTAGAAATCTAAATACCAGAACCTTCCTAGATAAGCTATCTAAGAATTATAAAGAAACTAAGACCAAAAAGCATAAGAAAGTAGAGGGTTTTAAGGTCGATAAATTTAAGAGATTCTTTAGCCTTTAGGAGCAAGGAAACTAGCTTTCTTAGCTTAGATATATCTTCTAAGGTAATCCTAAAGTCTATAAGGATAAGGAAATAAGGATCCTTACAGAAGTTAAATATCTTAACTCTGACTATAAGAATAACTAGACTATAGAAGAGAGATACCTTAAAGATAATTATAATAACTGCTTTAGTAGCTAGGAATATTTTAAGGAATAAACTCTTACCTTAATATATAATAAAAATACCTTTACTAAAGAAGTTAGTAATAAGATAGAGTATTACTACTAGTAATCTAATAAAAAACTAAAGGTTTTTTACTACTGTCTTACAGACCTAGAATATTACCTTCCTTAGGTCCTCTAGGATAAGTAAGCTTACCGCTATATATTAAAGCTATAGCTATAGTTAATACTATATATTCAACAGTATATAAAGGTTTCTCTAGAAACTTAAGTATAATAAGTAGAAGAAGTATAGAGTACCTAGGAATTTACTAAAGTAAAAGTATATAAGTATAATCTATTTAATAATAATTCTAATTTAAGCTTAAAATACCTATAACTTAATAACTTATTTCTAAACTAGTCTAATAGTAAAGAATAAGATTAAAAGAATCCTAGAAATCTATACTTAAAGGATCCTTACAGTCCTAGAACTAACCTAAATTAAAATAACTATAACTTATACCTAAATTAAAATAACTCTAACTTATACCTAAATTAAAATAACTCTAACTTATACCTGAATTCTCTTTATTTTAATAGTAACCCTTATCTATTTTCCCCTTAAAATAATAATAATCTAAATAATATACTGTTACGGACCCTGCGGCAGGAGGGGTCAGGAACACAAATGGGCCATCAAGAGCCAACCATTCTACAAACACCATGACCGCCCGCAGGTCACGTGCAGAACACTGCGAGGAATCATGGCATTCCCACCGCGAGGAATCATGGCATTCCCACCGGAGCCATACGATACGCAATAATTAGGGAACGCAGTGGGAAGACCACGAAGATCATGACAAGGGATCAGCGTACAGGGGAAAGGAGGTAGGTCATGAGGCAGGGCACTTCGTACGAGCCCGGATGACCTACAACGGGACGGTCCGCACGACGGACCATAACCTACGATACGATGCGTCCTGAGGACAAGACTATCGCAGGACGAACCATAGTTTCTGGACAACTAGGCAAGGAACTATAGGGGTTCTTACGATAAGGCCTGACGCAGGGACAGGAGGGTCGCACGACTACTACGTGGCATCCTAACGGTACAATGGGATCCTATCCTACCAGTAGGATAGGAATCCCAACAACCGGATAGGACGAACTAGATATATAAGGGACGCTCATTACACATATATATTTAGTTCTTCGCGATCAATCAACCTAAGTTACTACAGTATACCTTTAGACTATTCTTCATTCAGTTTTATCTCTTGTAACAAACATACTACAAATAGGGGAGCTCTTCAGACTGACCTATTTGGCGCACTACCTAGCACATCCTTTAAAGTTACTCTACAGGATCCGAGTCCGTATAAGGCTTAGCACAGCAACAGTACGATTGCAAGTCGATACTTAAGGATTACAAGTAATAGATATCATACCCAATCAAGACACACTGAACAGCTAGTAAGTTGTTGTACAATAATCTAACCACTTACTGTGACCAGTTAGCAATACGTAACACATTGATCGCCCTGTCAACACAAAACTATAAAGTACAGTCATTATATCATCGTACGGCAGTAACAGCAAAGGCAAGGCAGCAGAGCCTATACCTCCGAAAACGCAAACACGTTAACCAGATCCAGAATCGGATGATAAAGACGAAAAAAGAGTCAAAGAGTTAGAAAGATAAGTCCACCTCCTCATCAGCCAACTCAATACGTTTGGTCAAGGATACAATCGTGATATAAACGAGCTATATAAGTCTATTCAACAGACTGACGTACAGCTCGGTGTACCATCGCCTATAGCACCAAAGTTACCTAAGGCGGAGAACTTCGATAGAACTCGCTCTAAGTTACGAGGATTCCTCATACAAATAAACATATACCTCAATGTCAACAAACATAGGCTGAACACTAAAATAAGCAAAGTCATCTTTGTATCAACCTATCTCCGAGGACAAGCATAGGATTAGCTCGAGCCATACGTCCAAGAATACTATAAAAAGGATAAATCAGAATGGTCAACCACCGTATGCAACATCTTCTTAAGCTACCTTAAGTTCAGGGAGTACTTAGAGAAGACGTTTGGCGACATTAATACAAAGAAGACAGCCGAACACAAACTTAAACGGCTTTAACAAACAACCTCAGCTTCCGTATACACTGCAGAGTTTATATAGCAAGCAGCTATCCTCAGATAGGACAACTATATATTAATCCCATACTACGACAAAGGGCTTAAGTTATACATCAAGGATAAGCTGGCACAAATGGATAGACCCGAGACGATAGACGCACTCATCGATTTCACAGTTTAAATCGACAACCGGTTTTACAACCGACAGATACAGAAACGAGAAGTAGAAGGATAGAGATAAGGCAATAGACGCTCGCCTTACCAACGCTTCCAATCTCAGCGACAACAGCAACGACCTAATCAGAACAGCGACCCGTACGGTCCACGACCTATAGAGCTCGACGCAGCGAGACTCCCGGACGAAGAACAGAAACATCGGAAAGACAACAGACTCTGTTTTAATT